CATAGGGGAGGGAGGGGGTCTAGATTTCTTAAAAAGTGCGAACGTAATATGTGAACAACGCCTAATACAATTTTTTATTCAATGATTTGTCGTTGTCTGAGCACATAATTACTGTATAAAATTGTTGATTACTTACACAATAGACAACATAAGTCCCCTCGAACTGAGGTATTTAGCGGACAGTACTGTTTCGGGACTAAACTTTAGTCTCGAAACAGTACTGTCCGCTAAATACCTCAGTTCGAGGGGACTTATGTTGTCTATTGTGTAAGTAATCAACTTTTTATAACAATTTTTCATATTTTTCATATATCTTTATATTTTCAGTTAAAAATCTAATCAACAATTATTCAAATTTATTGGTTTGTGAGAAAAAATGTATAAATTTGTTATTTTCATTAAACTATATAAAAGTGTTTGTCTTTTTATATATTTATTTATATTTTAATAAATTTAAAATTCAAATAAACTCATTGTTCACTTTGCTTAATATTATCTACATTTCAATCTAATTGAATGCTTCATAAAAAAATAAAAAATTGTTTATTTTTATATATTTCTATAAAGAAAACATATAAAAAATGAGACCATTATTATAAATATATATTCAAATCTTCTAATAACAAACAAATAATACTTAAATATGTATACTTATAATAGAGTTTATAAAAATAGAGTTTTATTAATTTAAAATTGTAAATTTGGCAATAAATTTCAAATAATTTGAATAACATTACAGTTATTATAGTAAATCTGAATATAAATATTACAGAAAATTTTAAAAACAAATATTTTATGAAATATATTATAAGTTATATTGAATTACAGTATTAATAAATATATTAAATGTCATATTCACGAACTCCTAAAAGGAGTACGAATCTGAATTCTTTATGTCTTTCTGTCCAAATATTTTAGCATTGAAAGCATCAAAAATAGGGTATAGAGGATCAGCATTAATATTTTGATATCTCATAACAACATAGAGAAAATGGCGGATAAAGTACAAAAAATGTTGATTTTAACAATTTTAAAATTGAATAAAACATGAAAAATATGATTTAGAATAATAAAATTATCTCTTCATTAACATAGAGAAAATGGATTTTTTAAATTTATTAAAATTTGTGTTAAGAATCATAATTTCTTTAAGTGAATTAATACCTTTATGACTAATGTTGAGTTTATTTTGTCGAATTGAGTCCATTTGATACCTAAATGATTAAAATTGAGTTTTTTGTAATTCTGAGTCATATAGTATTTTTCATAACTTAATTTAATGTTTAATTTGTATAAGGAGTTCGTCTGGAAATGCTTTCTAGCATTCTCAACTGGTTTTATTTGGTATCTATTATATAGTATTGAATAAATATTTATATTAAGTAAAACTAAAATAAATAGTATAACTTTATATGATATACAGAAATTATATATATACTACTGTAAAATAATTTACATTATAAATAATCATAATTTCCTACAGTATAATTGGTTTTTATAAATAATATATATATAATATACTGTGTATACAAAAATATTTTAATATTTAATTATTTTGGCATTAATTAAAAACAATTAAAATTTATTTAATGTATTAATTTGTTTTGCCTTTTTATATAAGGGATAATAATATCTCAAAAACCGACAATTGATTTCTGCTTTTATTTCCTTTTTTATGATACAAATAATGGGAAACTATAAAAATAGCAAAAAATATAATTTATAATCAAATTTATTAATAATAATTTATTATATTTTACAAAAATAATTATATAGTAATATATTACTGTCATATTTGGTATAATAGAAATGTCTTGTTTTTATTTGTAAATTATAATTGTTTTATAAACCAATTTATGTCTTTGAACTCAATTAACAAAGAATTGTCAACAATTTTATTATTTAAATTTACAAATTTAATACATCTTTATTATATATTTTTATTTTATTTTATTTTAAACATTGAATTATTTATTTATTTATTTTTAAATCGATTATATAATATATTTTAGTTAATAAATTGTTTATTAGATTTGTTACACAATAATCATTGCATTTGAAATGAATAGAGATATGAATTCAAGTGTATATTATGTGACAATATCTTCAATACTTGTTGTTATAGTTATGATACTAATGACAGTATATTGTGTTCATAGAAGAAGAAGAAGAAGAAGAGATAAGAAAGAAATAAAAATTTGTGAATCCATTAGAAATTCATTGAAAACCAACAATAATGACAATACGATTGTAACCATCAATGAAAACTGGACTCAACTCAATAAAAGTGACAATCAGTTAGCAAATGAACCAAATATTGAATCAATGAAGAGCTCGTCTCAAAGTCTCAATTCTTCATCATTTAGTGGTCAACAACAACCACAACAAGCAATCAATGAAACAAATCAAATGACTCATCAAAGGATGACATCATTGCGACTCAAAGTCAATGATAGTCTGATTAAAAGTCAATATAATTGTAGACAATGTCCACCACAAGACACTAATACCATTGATAATGACATATATGATGTCCCGCCCTCAAGGATGTCACCAAACATTGCCATTGATATGACTAATACATTGGTTAACAGTACTGTCAATGACTGTACCACTGATGAGACGATCGATGAAAGCAATACTTGAATCAAATTCACAAACAGACAGACAAACGATTGCTATAATTATATCTTTGATTCAAACTATTAATTTGTAGATATATTCAAATAATTAGCAAATTTGACATAAATTGCATTTAATTTATGGTAACTTTACAAACAAATTAATTACTAATTCAAGTAAATGACAATTTGTTTTTATTATTTACTATTTAATAAATACTTTTTGAACAATATTTTATATACATTGGTGTATAACATATAATAAACTATTAATATATATTACTTTTTGTAATTAAGTAATATAAATAAATAGCTTAAATAATTGTAATTTATTTTAATATTAATTTTATCAATTGTTCATTTTTTATTAAAATAATTAAATGTATTTTATTAATAAAATTCATGTGATTTTTGTTAATTAATTAAAACTTAATTAAAAGATGAATTTTGTTGATATTCTATAAAAATAATAATTTTCTCATTAAATTTAGTTATTGTAAATCTAAAACACAAAAAATTATTTAATTACATAAATAAATAAACATTGAAAGCATATTAAAGGTCTGAAACAAAACGGTTTCGGTTAAGGGAACCGTTTTTTGTAAATTTATGTCTATTTATAAATTATAATAAGTACATAAAATGCATTTAAATATAATTTTATATTATATAAATTAAAATTATTATTATTATCATATTCACAATCTAAACCTATTTAAGAAAATTATTAATTGAAATTTATGTTAAATTTATATTCAGTATATATATATATAACATATAATATTGTATGAAATGGATATTATTGATTACTATAAACATTATACTGTATTATAAAATATTTAAAACAGATCTTTCAATCATATTGTTTGACACAATAATCTGCATTTAGTTTACTTATCATAACTCATAATATATTGAATAATTGAATACAACTTATATATTAATATTCTTTAGTTAAAAGAAAAAGACAAATTAGTTATCAATTTTTATAATACAAAGTTTATATTACAAACAATCGATAAATACAATATATATATATTATTTTAACCATGGTCAATTGTCTGGTAAAATAAAACATTATGAAAAATTGTTTAGTTTAATACTATTTGTGTAAAATTATATAAAATATGGTATCATATAATATAATGAAATATCATATGACAAGTATATATTGATTATGATATTTCTATTATTTTTTTATTAGATTCACTATTTTATATTACTGTATAATACTATATCATATAATGTTTGTATTTATAGAAGTTTTAATTAAATAAATATCTAATTTAAAAGTTGCGCTCAAATTACAACAGTTTTATTGCAAACATGGATACAGTTATATCTAATTATAATATCTATTTCTTTTAAAACAACATTTTAAATTAATTTATTCAATCCATTAATAATTAAATAACATATAATCAAATGACAACAATTTATTTCTACAAAAATGATAATAAAAACAAACTAATGATTAAATGTAAAGCATATGCAAAGTGTGTGGACTTTGAGTATAAAACTGATGAAATGTTTAGTAAATGCAATTGAAAATAATGTATTACTATATTAATGACTATAAGGATTAGGGTTGAAAAATACAAGGTTTTGGATTTTGGTTTTTTATAATACTGTAAATGTATTATACATTTTTAAAAACTAATGAAAGTTTCTATACTTTAACGCCTATAAGTGTTTGTTCTGATACAACGTTAGAAAAATAAAAATAAATAAATCATATGATAATTATTCATTTGTTATTTAGTTAATTAAATCTTAATTTTATAATTAAGATTATGTCTATCAAACAATTAGATGTTTATATTGATGACTATTTGTCACAAACATTATAATACTGTATTAGCCGTGATATTAGTATAATGTACTAAAAAGCCGTCAAATATTGTCCGCCTCTCAACTTAAACCCAATTAAATTGAAATACAAACAAATATAAACATAATTTTAATTATAAAACTAAACTTATATTAATTAAATAACAAAAATAGCTAAAATATGATTTATTTTTTATTTTCAGTAACGTTGTATCAAAATAGACATTTACAGTGACCTAAAGTAAACAACAGCTAAACTAATATATAAATTGATGTTTAAAAAAGTTAATAAAAATTATTTAATGACAATATAATTGTTAGAATATTCATTATTTTTATAATAGTTTTCTGAGATTATAAATAAAATTAATAAAGATATCAAATTAAAATAAAATATCAAATTTATATTTAGTGGATATATTTATTTTTTTGCTTATATCAATGTTTTTGATACTAAGTGGCGCTAAATTTTGTTTTGTATTATACTGTATACAGTATTATATATAATACGCTTTTGTATTATTTATAATATTATAAATTAACAAACATTATGTCTCTGCCAACTCTGATCAACACATAATCAATGCATTCAAACCTAACATCACTTAAGGATTATTTGAAACACATTTGCAGTCATTGTTTGATTTTTTGTCATTCATTGTATTGCTTGTGACCAACAAATCGTCGGTAAAAATGTCGGTCAACGAAGAGACCAGTGTTTATATGAATGGCCACAACAACGGAACGGTGACCAATGACATCGTCGGCACTCTCAATGGTGACTACAATATGGATCTGTTTCTGTTTTCGTCGGAATCGGTCGGCGAAGGACATCCCGGTATGATATTACTGGTCGCCGATGTTGGTCACCACTGATTATCTTATAATTTAAACTTTATATATATATTTTAACAGATAAAATGTGTGACCAAATAAGTGATGCAATACTTGACGCCCATTTGGCAGTCGATCCCGACTCGAAGGTTGCGTGCGAGACGGCCACCAAAGGCGACCTTATTATTGTGTTCGGGGAAATCACATCAAAGGCCAAAGTGGACATCGAGGAAGTGGTCAGGAATACCGTCAAAAAGATTGGTTACGACGATCTTTCAAAAGGTTTGGCGCAAATCAATCAATCAATCGATAAATTAATTTATTCACAAAACTAAGTGTTTTTATTTAAGGTTTTGATTATAAGACCTGTAAAGTGATGATTCATATTGACCAACAAAGTCCTGAAATTGCATCCGGAGTTCATGTAAACAAAAGAGATGAAGATATTGGTGCCGGAGATCAGGGATTGATGTTTGGTTACGCCACCGATGAAACTGAAGAGTGTATGCCATTGACAGTGGTATTGGCCCACAAACTAAATGCCCGATTGGCAGACTTGCGACGCGATGGCACTTTCCCGTGGGCCAGACCTGACTCGAAAAGTCAAGTTACGGCTGAATACTACTTTCGTCGGGGAGCAGCCATTCCCACACGTATTCATACAGTTGTCATTTCGATTCAACATTCAGATGACATCTCTTTGGATGAGCTAAGAAAGCAAGTGAACGAAAAAGTTATACAAAAAGTGATTCCCAGTCAATATATGGATTCACGAACTGTTATACACATTAATCCGTGCGGGAAGTTTGTTTTGGGCGGACCTATTTCGGATGCTGGACTTACTGGTCGTAAGATTATTGTTGATACTTATGGTGGTTGGGGCGGACACGGAGGCGGCGCCTTTTCTGGTAAAGATCCGACAAAAGTAGACAGATCTGCTGCTTATGCCGCGCGTTATGTTGCAAAAGCATTGGTTACTTCAGGTCTCTGCAAGAGATGTCTCGTTCAGGTAAGCAATGTGTTTGATTCCGAAGACATGACTAAATATTTGTTGTTTTTTAGGTTTCATACGCTATTGGAATCGCAAAACCACTTTCAATAACAGTCTTCTCGTTCGGAACATCGAAGTTAAGCCAAAAAGAATTGGTGACAATTGTGAACAACAACTTTGATCTCAGACCAGGCATTATCATTAGAGACTTGAATCTCAAAAAACCTATTTATGAGGCGACCAGTGTTTACGGCCATTTTGGACGACAAGCCTTTCCGTGGGAAGCGTTAAAAAATCTCAAACTTCATTGAGAAGTGTATTTGGTTTGTGTTTAACTTAATTCAAGAATATTCCAATCTATCAGTATTTTTTGACTTAATTTTGGCACAAATATTAATATTATAATCAAATGCTTATTATATTTACAGCTAAATTAATTAGTTCCGTAAATGGACTTCAATGAAGTGTTTTATTGATAATATTAGAAAAAATTAATTTGTTTCTCTTAACGATTCAAAAATTATTGATACAGTATTTCAAGTTTATTAATTTAGGTTCTCTATACATATTAATGTTTTTTTTAATTTTAAATCTCATTTTACTTTATTATATTATTATATGATTTTTTATAACCATAATTGTGGTATTTATTAATATTTATTATTATTAAATGACATAACATAATACTCTATATGTTAAACATCATCTAATGTTAGGGTACTTATACGCCATTATGCTGTGTATATAAATTATACCATAAGCTATTGTAATAATTATAACAGTTATTGTGTGCAAATTATAAAATGTTTTTAATAAAATTGAAATCATTTTACATTATAATTAAAAGTTTAATTTAATAAATATTTGATTCAATTTTGAAATTAGTGTTTTATTTCATAAATAGTTTCTTAAATGACTAACACTGAACCTGTTTGACCATAATTACAAAGCCAGCATCGCTTACATTGGAATCGGTATGAAATTTGATAGGAATTTCCTCGTCTTTGAATTCATAAGTTTCTAAAATCATAAAATTATTATAAAATAACTTTTACAGTATATATCTTATAGTGACTAACTGGTTGCCGCATACGGCAATTTGCCGCATAATTTGGTGGAACCAATTTGAAGATAATCTTTATAGCAATTAGCGGATTCTTCCAAAGAAAAAGCATCAAATTTGACTTCAAGTGCACATATGTTTGATGTTGATTTGCGGACCAAGTATTGACAGTCTAGGAATGGCTGATAACTGCCGGTCTCGTAGTGTGGACTCAATATTTGTAGTGACCTTTCGCTGAATTGCATTTTACCGCACGACTCGGTAGAGCCGGGCATAAACTCTTGTTGCATGTGATTGTGCGGACAGTTGTCATCTATTTGTCTCACTTGTATTCGAAAGCCTCCGTAACGTACAGATGATTCCGTATGAAATCTGATATTATATTCTTGTTTATCGGAACCAAATTCAACAATCACTTGTCCTCCTTTACGACGACCACAATATTTAACATTATCGATCTCTACATAACCATTGCCACAACTCTTGTGATTAACATCTTCAATACCAACGTCGAAGTCATCAAATATGATCTCCAAACGACACACACGACGACTGGAACGGAATATCTTATAAACACAATTAGTAAATGGATTGTAAGCGTTTGGATAATTGTCACTTTGAAATGTGGACACATAGGCCGCTGAAGAGGAACAGATTTGCGGTGACGGTGTAATCATATTTATTGATGTATCCGGTAAGGGTCTACTGATCCGTCTCTGGAAGACCATTGGATCGATAGGCACTTCATTAATGGTGGATACACCGGGAGTCTTGTCAACTACTGGTTGTGTACATGAGTTGGGGATTTGTTCGGCTCTTAATTGAAATCCTGGACCAGTTAGCTGTCGATCCGAGTTGAATATAAGTCTCAATTCACTTGAATACTTGGGATAATTTATAACTAGATTGTAATAGATTTATAAATTAGTTGAAAGATATTTTAAAATTAATTGAAAATTACTTTTATCTTCTGGTTTAAAGAATTGTCCACAAAATCTTTCTCCCGATGACTCAATGAGGAGATAATCGTGATGACAGTCTTTACTGTTTTCTATATCCATATCTAATATTTTTATTTTCATCTGACAAACATATGATGATTTGACGAATGTATAGATACATCGGGTAACTGTCGGATAATTTTGCGGATAATTGGGACTCGATATTACCTCTATCTCAGAATTTATCATTTTATTGCAATTATAAAATGTATTGTTGTCCGCATATGTGTTTGGATAAGCGTAAGGTGATTGTGTGGTCAGGTATGGTGCGGAAGTAGATGACATATATGGAGGTTTTATTGTAAAGCCATAGTCATAATTATGGGAACAGGAATTAATTATTTGATTGACTCTAATCTCGTAACCCCTTTCCTCATGATTGTCATCGCTGTTGAAATAAAACATACCAATTCTGTCCCGGAATTTAGGAAAACGAAAAGTTCCTAAAGAATATTCAATATTTTTGGCAATAAATAAATTAATTATGAAAACAGTTGATCGATAAATCTATTATTAGGAGTACTAAAGTCTATACTAATCTCTCTCTCTTTTAAGGAATGTATGTGTCATTAGTTTATATCTGAAAATCAATATATAATACATAAGCCTTTAGATCCCACACTAAGATATATTCAGAGTGTTTTAATATATAAGAAAAACTCGTTCATAACTGTCATATATTTTATTAAGAATTTATTACTTTTAGTTGAAGAGAAGCCACAAATTCTGGTGCCGTCAGGGAATTGAAGGAAATCCTTGCGACAGTTCCCCAAATAATCTCTCGACGACTCGATATTAAAATTAAGTAATTCTATCTCATAGTCACAGGTATTTTGATCCATTGGTTCAACCAAATAGACGCACTGTTGTGACGGACCATAGAATTGCGGGTAATTTAACGAATGAATAGTCGTTATTTGGCCACTGATTGTTTGGTCACATTTGATAACTAAAAATGATTATTAAAAAAAATATTACAATTTAAAATACAATAGATATATGAATACCATTTTGCGAAGTTTTCTGATCGCATGAGTTTCTCAATTGTTTGACTTCTATCCAGAAACCGGTTACGTATTTATCGGGCTGATTGTCCGATACAAACTTCAATATTTGGAAATTACTTGACGATGAAAACGGATAGACCCTATGCTGAACCGGCACTTTACCACAGAGTCGGTTCCTATCTGGCAATTCAAAGTAATCTGAATCACAGCGACTATCACCAGCATTGATGTCAAACTGATTGAAGATTAGCTCAACTTTACATATATCAGAGGCGGCCCTAACATTGATAATATCATTCATTTTTAGTGTATTTTCATTTAATTTTTTAATTATAAATAATACCTTCTTATAGAGTAAGTACAGCTTTGATTGCTGTGATATCCATAAGGAAATCCCGGAGACCGAAGATCACCGATGACTTCCCCGATGTAGATATCACAATAAGAGCCCAAATAAACAGGTTGTCTATGAATTACTTGTGGTACTGACTCTGACACATGCATTACGTTTGGTACGTATGGCACAATCGGTTGTGTAGTTTTATTCATTAGATAATGTGGACAACTGTTCCTCATTTGTCTAATTTTGCCAATAAATCCTTTTCGAGTAATATCTCGGTTTGTGACAAATGTGAACTTAATTTCGTTATTATTTGAACCAAAAGTTAAAATTTCTTTCAATAGAAATATATTTACAATTAATTATGAGATAACATATTGAAGAAATTGTATAAAAAATATTGATATTTTATATGACTAACTTTTAGTGCCTGTCATGTATGTGCCACACATACGTGTGCTACCATTTCCCATATCCAAGTAGTCAGCCGAGCAGTCAGGTGTGTCCTCGACATCGAACTCACTTAATGTCAGATCAATCTAATGATAACATGGATTCAATTAATTCATAGAATGATTGCATTAAGTGATACATCAAATGCTTATATTAATATTTATAAGTTTACTCTATTAATACATAAAATGTATTTCAATAACAATTCATCTTTTAATAAATAGGTTTTTTTGTTGAATATCTATTTGAATATTTCCTATAAGTTATTTATTAAATGTTAAATTATACAATTGAAAAAAATTGAATGTCCATATATATTAAAAGATCGTTTGTTTTTAGCAAATCAATGTCAATGTTTAACTAAATGTATTTTAAGTACTTTTGACTAAAAACCAAATTTTGACCGAAAAAAATCAAATAACTATTTCAGTATATAAATGATATAAATGAGAGGGAATTAAAAAAATGATTATACTATTAAAAAAAGGATTACCAAAGTTTCAGAGGCAGGCAATACACAAATGGTGACATTGTTTCGCTAAAAAGTTATCACCTTTTGCTATATAACGACTTGCAATTGATTTTTACTTTACCGGTAAGTTAATTAAATTATACAAACAATAAAAATTTAAATAAAAGTCTATTTCTATTGATTTTATCACATTTTATGACCTCATTACTATATAATAATGACCTTAAAGTTACAAAAAACATATTATTAGTTGTAGTACTGTACTAACAATAAAATTATAGGTTAATCTTATAAATATACTGTACTACTAATTATTTATTATTATTAATTAATTTATAAAAAAACTTAATGCATGACATACACTGCAGACATCGTCACTGTATTTTATAATTTTATAAATACATTGAAGATAATTATCATAATTAGAGGGAAAGTTAGGTGAATATATCCAGCCCTCCATTTTGGTTACCGTTGTATCGCATCCCGAAACTCTTTGGCCATAATTGTATGGATTCTGTATAATGTTTACAATTAAAAGTTAACAATATTTTATTGTTATTCAAGTTATTTTATTTATAACTTTAAACATATTAATGCAAAATATTAAAATATTCTAATAATTTTATTTATATTAATATTTTTATAAGTTATTTATTTTATAATTATTTGAGAAATTAGTAAATTTTGTTTAGTTAAAAACAAATTGGTTTTTTATTCAACGATTATAATTATTTAACTAACTTAAGCATATTGAATATTAAATATTCAGTGTATATGAGATATATAAACATATAAATTACAATAGCCATAGCTCTTTTATAATATTTTGTTAGCATTTAATTTTCAGTAAAAATTGCTATAAAACATTATACTGTAATTTATTTAATATATATATATATATATTTGTATATACTGTATATATATATAACATAAAAGATTAGTTATATTTAATTATTAAATTAAAATTTGTTTAATGGAATATTTTATGTAAATGTTTATAATATATTAGAAACATCTAATTTGTAAATTTAATAATTTACGACTAAAAGGTAAATGTCTAAAAATTAAAGATTCAAATTATTATAAGTGATTTTACCCATCAATTTGCTTTCTAAAAATACTTATATATTTATACTTTCATAAATAAATGGTTATGAAATTGCATAATAATATTTTTCCTTTTTGAAATATTACTTAATTTATTAAAAACTTTAATTATTCATATTTTAAAATATACTGTATTTTAGATCATATAATAAATGACATTATTTAACATAAAAATTATTAAATAAGACTGAAATAGAGTAAAACGAGAATAAATAATATATAATAATAATGAAATTTTCATTTATTTATAATCAATTTACAAGGTTTTTTCAAAATACATCTAATTTTCAAATTTATAGATATTAATCGATTAGAAAATTTTATTTTGAATTATTTATAAATAATATTTCAGATTTTCTCAATTAAATCTTTATGTTTAATTTATTTAATATTATAACTAAAATATTGATATAAAATAACACTGATTGTATATTTTATATGAAAATTATACTTTTTAAAAACTTTAAAAACTTTTTAGTTAATTTTAATGATTAATCAAAAACAACTTACGCCATAAAAGACATGTCTCTGATTTTGACTTCTTAGTGATGTTGTTGTGATGTTTTGACATTTGCATAGATTGACAAATATTATTAAATTTAATACAAACAATTTAGTCGACAATAATCTATAAATTAAATTTAAACTCATTTTAAGCTAAACAAATGAGTGCACATTAATATAAAATTATCGTCAAAGTGGTTAATATTTATATATTCAAACATTTAATTTAATATTATTTGCCTAAAAGATGCAATATATTATTTTTTTTGTATTTTTCAAAATATACATAAATCTATATTTGCATATAATTTATGACAACAACAGAAAAACTTTATTTTTAATCTCATTAATAATAAATGAGTGAAAAATATATTATTTAAATTACTAGCAAAAAAATCATAGCATAACATAAACTCAGATAGTATTAAATATACAGTATATACTGTACTCTATAATGTATTGTATAAAGTATTAAATTTATATATGAATTGTTTGTTTGGTTGACTTCAAGGTAAGGTAGGTTTGCGATGCATAACACTAACCGAATGAACAATAATCTGATGAGAATTAAATGTCTCTTAATTTTCCTGGAAGTCAATCAATTGAATTGATTTTTTCAAAATTATAACATTAATTCATTAAAAACATTATCAATGCTTTTCAATAACATTTTCTTATATATATTTTTATATTCAAATTAAATTAATTTATTGTAATAGCAATACAAACCAAATCAGCAAACTTGACATTACAGTCGTACAATATAATTACATAAAAATCATTATTACCAAAATTATTGCATGCTATTATTTTTTATTATTTATGCTTTTAATTTAATATTGTTATTGTCTTTATTGGTTTATTACTTTCCCTATTAGTGTTTTAACTAGACTGGCGTATAATCCAGTTGTCACCTGTATTAAGGTATATATATATATATGAATGGGAAAATTAGGAAAATGTTATATAATTAGTAATTTAATTATTGTAATGCTGACAAAATTAATATTATTTACCAAATTTAATAATTAATTCAATATATTTCTGTGTTAATATTACTTTACACTACTTCATAAATTGTATTATTTATATTAATACTAAAGAAATTAACAAAAAAATATTGGGTAAGTCTATTATAATTATTATTGAAACATCGATAGCATTGAAGCGTTACTAATTTTTTGTGATGAAAAAAGTGTCAAATGAGTCAAAAAAATTAATTGAAAATTTTTAAAAGTATTTATTTATTTTGTAAAATTATCTCATATTGATTTTAATTTAATATATTTAGTATTTAGTAGTTTAGTAATCTCAACATAACTTAGAAATATATAATAAAATTAATAAATAAAAGTTATCACATTAATTGAATTAAATCAAGGTTTTTTCAAAAATATATAATATTAAATATATTTTTTATAATCTTTCTATTCATTTATTATAACGAATTGTTTTATTTTTTTTTCTTAAAATAATGACTGATTACTTGTCCTCACTTTTGTCTCTGAAAATTAATATTATTTTGTAAATGATTTTTTTTTATTTTTTATCTAATTTTTAAAAATAAATAATAAATTTTCATTTTTATGAAAAAATTCAAACTTCAAAACCGTTGATAACCTTCTTAGCAATGATTAAAATATAAATTTTGTTAAAAAATAATTTTTGTAATATATCTTGTTTTTTTAATTTACAATTATTTAGTAAAAATAAAATGCTATCACAGTTTGCTATTTCCATATATAGTGTATGACAAAGTGGTAAACACATAAAAAGTGAATCAAAAATTAAGTTTAATCACAATATTGTCTGTATTATAGTTTGTATCGAATGATAAATCAGAATATATTTATTTTTATTAAAATTATTTTTTTAATTCTTAAATTAATATATATTTATTTCAATTTAACTGAAATAAAATTTGTTGTCATTTTTTAAATGTGATAATTAGATGTTTAATGTAAACAATTTATGTCTATTTATAGAAGTGTATAAAATATTCAATAGTAAAATACAGTGCTCTCAAGTGCTGGTAATACACATTTATCAGATCCATGAGCTTACTTTGTTTTATTGATAGTTATCCAACCATATTGTGGATGATTGACCATAAAAATAGTCAAAGTATCTCCTCTTCTTATAAAATTGCAGTTCAGTAGTGAATGGCATAGTTGTTGTCGAGGGGTCACAACTAATCATGCATTAAATGTATGTCAGTCTAGTAGTGGTGTTGACTAATATTAGTTTAGTTTAGTTAAACACTTAGTCTTTCTATTGGCAAAACTAAATGATATCTTTTAAATAGTTATCTTCAAAAATGTTATTTATTGTCTGCCAATAGATATGGTATATGAACTGCACTTCAATCCTAAGACAGACTTTATAAGTTATATACAATATTTTCTTATTAACTATTTTATGAGTAAATGATATGAATAGGGGAATGAAATATTGAAATAAAATTATATTATATTATGCGCACACAATATAGCAGTAAAGCACTGGTAGATGAAGACTACAAGTTCTGGACCGGCGAACTTTGGACGACTGAAACTAGCAATTGAAATGATGGCAATAATTGTATCAAAATTTATTTATTAGATGAGAACAATACCTCACATTTTCAATTAATGCTAACCGTGTGAATGACATCTAACCACTTATGTCATCAAAAATGGATATTAATATTAGATTATTCAAAAAGTTATATAACATCAAAATAATCAATCGGACAATTTGTATTATCGATTTTATACCGTTTATCGGTCCCATTAAAAATGCCAGCGAATCACTGTTGGCCAACTCAAGTGATAACTCCAAACTGGCCAGAGATAAAGGTATCACCGCATTGGTCACCGCAGCTATTGACCTGTTGGGTCTCTGTCTGGCCATCGCTTCAATTGCTTATACATGTGAAAAGTTCAATCAAATCAATACATTTGCTGTATTAAAACATTTGGTAAATGTGGCCATTTTGTTGACTGTCGTCGCTCTGGTCAGTGGTTCCAAAGTGGTATTCAATCAATTGATCAAATTGTCTATCAATAACTTGGTTGGTGTGAACAACGCGAGTGCAGCTATGGTTAACTCAGTGACCATAACGGCGACTGGCATTGAGACCATTGTCGAGAGTGTTAGTAATACCACTTATGGTATGGTGTTTAGTGTCATAAGTAGTTACAGATCCGCACAATATATTGTGTGGACACCCGTCAGAGTAATCAAAATATTGACAAAAATTGCGGTCAAAGTTTGCCAATACATTGACCACACGTTTGACGGTTTAGTTGTCCGCAATTTCTTTTTTATTTATGGATATTTGACAACTTTATTGGAAATCATTATCACTATTACTTTGGTCTCAATCACATTATGTGTCAATGGATTTGCAAAAATTATTAGTTATTGTAGCAAATAATATCAATATAAGATACTAACATTTTATTTTTATACTTTATTTTATATAAATATTATATTTTAATTAAGGTAAATTAAAAGTACAAGAAATCAATGCATTTATTATTAGAATTTATAACATTTATATTATTTTCTTATTATAATCAGAATTTAAGAGTATTTTTAATAAATTATAATTTCTAAACAATTTCTATTTATGTTATTATGAATGAGAAGACTAATAAATAAAAACTTAAAATATATCAGTGATTATCAAATAATCAAATTACTGACACTTTTGGAAGTCCAGTCAGTTAATAGGATATTTGGTCAGTCATTAAATATTTTGAATTGTATAAAAATTTATGTAAAAAGTACTGTATTTTTATAATTATTACAATTACCAAAAGTTAGGTATAATTCAAATAATTAAAGTTCTATAAACATAAGTTATATAAATAGTTTACATTATTTATAACTTTATTTGCTTTCAAACTAAGTTAATTAAAAAAATATATTTCTAAAAATTAAATTAACTCATAAGTTATGTGAGAAAATATTTGACTAACATATCAAATAACAAACAGATATTGTATATTGATATAAATATTTTATGTAAGTTTTTTATTCAGTACATATTTTTTATTTATCCTAAACTATAATATATAATATTAAAAGTTTTGAAAAATGTTAAAGCTTTTAAAAAATTAAATTTTATAAATTGTTTAACTTATTATAATTATAAAATTCATTCAACTTCTAAATATAATGAAAGAACATTTAACATTTAATTAATTTGAGTCAATTAAATTAATTATTTATTTATATTGTAATCTTTATTAATATTTTTATTTAATATATTTTAATAAATAAATTTAAAATAATAAATTATATAAATACAATATTCATATGTTTAATAATTAAATTACAGTCATGAAGTTGCATAACAAAAATGAAGTAACATTGTTTAAAGTTAAATTTGTGCAAAAATTTATAAATAATTTATTTATATTATAATACAATAATAAATATTATTTTAAAATTATTAAATATTGTATTTTGTCAATAATATTGAATAAATTTAATAATATTTTTCAACCGTATAATATTATATATATAAATATATATATAGTTATAATTAGTTAATTATATAACTTTTATATTCATAAATATATCATTATATTTAATATATAATTAATAAAATAAGAAAATATTATTATTATTATTATTATTATTATTATTATTTGAAGTTTTTTATTACATTTATTGATGTTTTCAAAAATTCACATAACATACAAAAACTCAATGGCTTTTAATAAATCTTTTCAAAATTCATTTTATTCACAAAATATCGCTGATTTAAGTCATCCTTTATTCGAACTCCTTTTTCTATTAAAAAAATCATTAAAAATTAATAAATGTTTTAAATATATTATACATTGTTGTTAATTCAATACAATTCTATGTAAATATTTTATGTTATGTTAAAAATGTTAATGTATAAATCTATTCAATAGTATTTTAAAAATTTATATAGTTTTTGTGTTAAATTAAAGCATATATTTAATACTATAGTATATAGTCTTTTATCGATATTAGGCACTCATTTGATTTTATTGATAAGCCGTGTTTACTAAGTCCTGTCCACTCTATATCTGCAACTAAGCGGTACATGAATTGCATAACCATACTCTCAAAAGGCATATGTAAGCAAAAATTGAACAAAAATGTCGATTTGAATTAGTTTTCAAGTTTATTCATTTCAATAACGAAAATAGTTTGACTAAAAAAATTTAAATCCTTTTAAAAATAACAAAATCTGTGTACAATAAGTTTGACTGAATATATTTCAAGAGCTTAATGTCTGTATCTTTTTTCAGCTAAATTTTATATGATTTGAATGCTTGATAACATAAATATCAAAATCAATATAATAAAATGCAAAATATTATTAAAGGGATTTTAATAAATACATGAAATGCAAAACCCATGCAAACTAGTATTCCGTATTAAGCTATAATTTTATAAATATATATTTTTATTAAATGATACTATATTTATGATATGAGCTAACATTTTTCCAAAAATAACATCTATTACATAAATATTAATATAAATTCAACTATGTTTTTATTAGACTTGCATATAAATTAAAATTTGACAAATTCATGAGTAACATAATGATAACATTACATATCTAATTATTTAAATATTTGTCAAAAGTCATAATTTGTAACTACTGTATGAAAATTACGTTTTATGTTAAATCGTTTTTCATGTAAAGTATGTGAACCTATACATTGTATGAATGTATACTGTAGTATACAATGTATTTTATATTATGCAGTAATTTAATATTTTAGTAAAATAAGATTTATATATTTTAATAAACATGAAATTGTGAATTGCTATTAATGTAGTGAATTATACAAGTAAATTTTTAAATTATTTTTATAAGTTTAGATAATTTTATTATTGATAAAACAAATTATCTAATATAGAGTATCATTTAATACATAATTTATTAAAAATAAATAACTGGTTATAAATGGATTAACTCTATCTATACAACTAATAAAGTGAAAACAGTTAGTAATCATTGATTCGATAATCTATAATATTATATATATATTATTAATCCAACAATTTTCTAATTATAGCTAACAATCACATAGTATTTAAGCTGTTTTCTAATTAAATATTATATTCTATGCGAGTATTGGACAATACATCCATACAGTATGTATTCATATGTATTTAATATTATCTTTTTTATTAATTTATATAATAAGTAATTTATATTTTGTATTTTAATTATATACTTAAGCAAATATTTTATTATATTTATTATTTTGCAAAAATAAGCTAATAATGTTAAATCAAGTTATTATATTATTAGTGATAAAACAAAAATATTATACAGTATATGTCATCGCTACTCAATAATCATTGGTCTTTAATCAATAGATTAATACTTTAAGACAAATAAATAGTTTATAAGAAAACAATTGCAACTTTTGTTTATAACATTATATGTTTTCAATTAAGTCTCCTTTTGAAACAATTCATGTGTAATACAATAATTCACTCTAATTTGTGTTATTTGCTATACTTTAATACAATGTGAGATCACTTTGAGACACTAGTGATTAAGTCAAACAAATTAATTGTTATTGTCTATAAAATCCAACTATTTTTATAAAATAAAGCTATAAATGAATAAATTTAATATCAAAATTTCTTTAGTATTTATATTTAACAAATAATTTTATGTTATTTCTATTATATATATAAATCATATAAATTATTAAATATATGAAATAATAAGGCTCCAAATAAAGTTTAAATACAGTAATCTATATCAATATGAAAAATATGATATAATTTTTTTTAATAATTGGCTATAATAAAGCTTAAATTTATTTAATATGTATAATATAGAGTATAAAATTTTATAACTATTATTGTAAATATTAAGTATTAAATGTGATATTAATCTCAAAACGTAAGTCTCATTAACTGTTAGTATAGTATTATTAACATTCGTTGAATTGTCGGACACAAGATTTGTGTTATCATTAAATTATATTATAATATAAAAGTATAGTTTAAAAAATAATCTTTTATTATATAAAATTTTAATTTTCCATATTTTTATTGTGTTATTATACAAATATAATAAATTGATAAATTTAAAATGAAATTTGGATAATTATTTTATTGCATGTAAAATACTAGTTATCATAAGTTAATAAATGATTTATTTTATAAGACAATTATAATGAGAAACTTCTATAAAATAAAATGATTTGTGCAAAAATATTTAATAAAATTATATACAGTATATATATATGCTAGACTTTTGAATGTACGATATTAAAAAAGTAAGCTGGCAACACTATTTGAAATATATTATACAAACAGTAGGATAAACAGCAACAAAAATGGTAATTTGATTTTAACAGTATTACCAAAAAAAAAGTTTTAAAAGAAAATATATCTGAAAGATAGCTAAAACCAAAATAACATTTTCTACAAAAATGTATTTTACTTAACATATTTAGTACAATACTATTAATACTATATTGTAATATTGTAGTAAGTTTTTATTACAGTAATAGTGGAATCGCTATGTGAGCTCAGGGATGTGCAATATCTCAAAAACTAAAATAGCTATTTAAATTCTATTGATGCCAAACTATACTAGATGAAAATTGATTACATTTATAGTTTTCTAGATTTTTTCATGAATTAACTAGATGAGATGACAGGTAAATTTTATTTAATTATCAAAATTTCTAAATCTAAATGTATCCTAAAATAATAATCTCTAAATACCATATTTTTTAAATAATTAATTTCACTACATTTTATACTTAATATAGAATAAATCATTTGATTAAAACCATTTTTATAACCAAAATATAGAAATTGAGATATTTTATAAAATATATTTCAAAATATATAATTTTATAATATAATATACAGTAAAATGTCTGATATCTTAACACTTTATATATTTATAATGAATAAATATATTTTTATCAAATATATCAAATTCTATATATATAATATAGTTGTCATTTTATCTACAAATATATATTAAATTACTCTAATTTATATTTCCTGTATTTCTATAATATAGTCGTAGTTTGTATGATATTATACAGTATATTACAGTATTAATGTTGATGCCATTATACTACAGTATATGAATAGCCAAAAATTGACAATATTTAATATAAATAATACTATTCTACAATTGTTTTAAAATTTATTTGCATTTAGAAGTTAAAGTTTGACTCTTTAGTAAACAAACTATTTAGTATTATTTTAATCATTATTACAAATCACAAATCAATACAATTAAACTATAAACGATTTCTTTGAGGTAAATATTACTTAATTTTTATTTATATTCTATATATATATATATATATATTGACACTCATTCTTAGATTTACATTCAAGTCTAAAAATATATTAAACCCTATATTATATTATAATTTAAATGTAAATAAATCATAGTCACAATATATTCTATTAAAAAATATTTTGTATTCATAATATCAATTTGTAAAATTTTATTCATAATATTATAGCAATTTTTTGTTAAATATTTTATGTCATTTCTCAAATTTAATGTTAATTTTTTTAATATATTTGTCATATATACTCATATAACAAATTTAATATATTTAAATATTGTTTTATTTTATTTTTATATTGTTTAGTCTTATTTTTAATATTAAATAAAAAATATTTAGACTACACATTAACTTATTCAGTATTTATTTTAAATAATATTTTAACTTTTGATAATATTTTAAATGTTTAGTAATAATATATTATATAAATTATTATACTTAAAATACAAATGTTTTATATTTTAAGATTAAAGATAAAATTCATGTTAATTAAATTAATTAATTAATGTCAATTTAGTGTTTATCGAAAATAAAATTGTAGTATTTTACATATAGTGGTGACCTTTTTAAAATAAAATACTGTATAATCAATTATGTTAGTTTTATGAGATATGAGTCCTAAAATATGCATAAATAGTAAATAAATATTTAAATAAATTAGATAAAATAAATAAAAATCTATTAAATAGATAAACATATTCAATATTTTTTTTAAAAAGTCGACTTCTATAGAAATTTCATAGATTTTAAAAATAAAAATCAATTAACATTATATAACAAATTAACTTTATCTTAAATATATCGTTCGAATATAAATATATTAACTTATTTTTGTTTAAATTATAATTGTTTTATTATAAAATATTGATTTCTATAAACAGTATTAAATTTACAACTGTTTTAATTGTATTTAGTAATATAAATAAATTATTAAAATGCAAATAAAACTTTAATCTCACAATTATTAAATAAAATGTCAGTAGTTTATAATTATCTAAAATTTAATTATACAGTATATGTTTATAAATTCATGTCATATTAAAATTCTTAATTTAAATTGAATTTACTAAACATTTCTAAACATCATGTCATACACTTTATAAATTATTAATTTTTTAATTATATTTCAAGATAGAAATTGATTTATAAGTTTAATAATTATATTTCGATTCACACTTTATATAAAAAAATTCGTTGCATTTTCAAAAATAAATATAAATCTATTCATTTTAATGTCTGCAACAGTGTTATATATATACTATATTATAGTTATATAAATTATGAAAGTGAAAGAAAGAGAAAACTATATAATATAATTCATACACTACTTTATATAATATTATAAAATAAAGACTAACTTATTATGCTTTTCTATTATTTGTTGGACTGATTTATATTTCATTGAAAGCTATGTCCTACAGACCATAAAATAAATATGAAATTCAAGTCATAAATTCATATTTAGTGAAAGTGAATATAAAGACTGATATAAAGTACAGTACAGTTACTGTACTACAGTATGTGTAATACTGTAGTCATATCGTATCACTATATTGTGTGCAATTTAACGACAAATTTTTCTCGTTTTCACCAATAAATTCAATTTCAATTGTTTTTGTGCCGCTTTATGATATCATTTATATATATATATATATATATATATGAATAACGTATATATATATATTGTAAGAAAATATATTTATATAAAATTATTGCAAGTTTACAAACGCACGAAAGTTTGCAAAATTTTGTAATAATAACTATATAAAAGAATTGAGTTTAGATACATAAAAAATTATCTGTAAATATGAATTTACAGAAAATATTGATTAATATAAAGAGTTTTAAAAATTCATAATAATTTGTTGGAATATTTGTAAAATACTTTTTTAAATATTTTTTTCCAAATATAATTTATAATATTTTTAATGTTTTATAGAATAATGATATGCTATTAATTATTTATAATAGGATTGATTAATTTATAAAATATTATATTATAAGTAAGAAAATTATTTTTTAAGTGATTTGTTTTGTAATCAAATATAGAATTAATGCAATTAACTGTTTTGTAATAAAACAAAGCATTTATTAGTTAACATTTTATGATCAAAACATTGAAATATAATTTCACAATTTCGTGGCATTTGTGAATAAAATTACAATTTATCAGTTGCTTTATATTTATTGCTTCAAATTTTTTAATAGTGATAATTATGCAAACATAAAATAAATAATAGTCTTAAATTTTTAAATCTGAATATATTTAATACAATTTAATGCTTTTGTAGTTAAACACTTTTGTACGTGAAAAGTATTTTATAAGATTTTAAATATTATATTATAATATATATAAGATATAATTCAATGTAAAAAACACACGTTGACAAAAAAAATTCTAAAATAATAGAAAAATTTTTGGAAAGTTTCTAAAAGAAATTTCTGTCTATGGGATTATATGTCTATATTAATTTTGTTTTCTCTATATTTGTTATTTTGAAACAATTTATTATAACTAATTATTAACTATATTTTATTCAAAATAAAAAATAATCCATTTAATTATCACACATTAAACTAAAAATATAATTGAATTATAAATGAAATTTTACAAAAACTAAAATTATATTTATATGATTTTTATAAATAAGAATTCCATTAATATAGTAGTGTAGTGTATATTATGTATCATTAGTACAGTATTACAATAGCTATAATGATAAAGTAAAAGTTCTATAGAAATATATTCCTAAGAAACTTTCTAGAAATAATCTTATGGAAATTTATTAGAAAATTTCTATTTGCCAATCTCTAGATATTGATGATAATTATATTCATATTTTATTAAATTATTAAATATGAATTTTACAAAAATTTATTTAATTGAATAAATATCAAACAATTAATTAAACAATAAATTATTTTTACATATGAAATTTATAGCTAAATTTAAATTATGGCTTTAAAATGGATTGAAGTAATATTTTCATATTTTTGTGTGTAATTTGATTAAACATTATTAAATAAATAATTTAGTATAAATTTAATGTGTAAATTGTTTCAAATACAAAATGATAGTATATATATTTAATATGTATATATATATATTTATTTATATATATATTATACTGTATATGCATGACTCGTAAATCAGTAACAAATTATTAATTGTTTATAATTTTACTAAAATTAATTTATCATATAAATTAAATGTTTATTTCTTTAGTAAAAACAGACTTTTATATGTATCTAACAGTAAAAATAACAATTTTAGAAATCAATAATAATGAACTTTTAGCTTTTAATTATAGCGATTGCAATAATTTTCTTAAATAAATATTTATTGTTTGTATAGACCGATATACAGTATATTTGTGTATATAAATTATATATAAATCTAAAGTTGCAATATAACTGTATACACATTGTTATAATACACAGTACTGTATGTAATGTTTGAAAAATGGGTCAAAATTTTTATTTTTAATGCAACTTTCACTACAAATATAATCCACTAACTTTTCACACATTGGATTTATTATACTTTGAATCGTTTTTTCTCATTAAGTTGTATATAGAAATAAAATACAACAAAAATTATTTAAATTCTTTATAAGTCTGCAAAATTAAATAGGATTTGTGTAATATAGGTATTCAAAAAATTGCATTAATACTCTATATTTTTATAATAATATAAAATTAGTTTCTATATTGTTTAAAACCATATAATTTTCAGAGAAAACGTTTTATAGAATATTTTTTAATAATAATTATTTACACAGAAGTGTAAAATATTTGTAACTAAATATTTTTACAACTGTTAGTACTATATTTTAATAATAAAAAATCTAAAAGAATTAAAGAAATTCTTGAATTATATCCAAAATAAAAACAATTATATATTTAAATAATTTTTAGACAAATCTTTTGTAGTGTTATTTTTGTAAATTTTATGTCAAATATAGTGTATATTCAAAAAATCTGAGCACAAAATTATAAACTAATTTCTTTGAGATAATTTGCATAACAGTTAACATAGAATTTTTAAAATAAAGTCACTTTTCTAACTAAACATTTTGTTGCTTAATATTGCATAATATAAAACATTATTTCATAAAAACTAAAGTTTTCACAATTTATTGTTTATTTTCAATGCAAACAAATTCGTAGGAATTATCTTAAAAGTCACTATCATTTGTATTGAAATTTTTTAACAAATATGATAAAATATTTAGATTTTATGTTATTAAAAATAGAAATAAATTAACAAAATTTGAATAATTTTATGAATAAAAACTTACATTAAGTCCAATGGAAGAAATCCTGATTTTATCAAACATTAAATTTTCAATGATTTTTGGCACTGAATTACATGTTTAACTACAATCGTGAGATTCATTGGCCGTTCATTCAGTCAATTTGTGTAATGATTTTGTGCTTTAAATTTAAAATTTTCAGATAAAATATGTTTTTCTTTTTTTGAATGTATAAACAGTCAGTCAATTGTGTGATAATATATATCCGATCAATACTATCATAAAATAGAAAGACTTGTTTGGTTTTGATAAGAAAAAATTGTTTTATAAAAAATAAGACAAAATTATGGTTTTTGTGTTTTAATATAAATTGTTAGACGTGTTGAACAAACTCTGGATTAAGAAAAGAGAAGTTAGAGAACTCTGTTTGATCCAAATTCATCATAAATAGCTTATCAGTTGGCGTCAGATCTGTCTTCTCGGAAGTAAACTGTTTGTCAAAATTGGACACATCTTTTCTGTGCTTTATTTTCGGCTTAAATGGCGGTTGAACTTCACGATTGGCTATCTTTTCCCAATCTATTCGTCTAAAGAATGGATGCGATCGTACGTTCTCTTCACCCGTCTGTCCACAACCGAGTCGTTTCTGTGGATTCTTTGTGAGAAATCCTTTGCAGACCTCTTTTGACTCTTTAGACAGTGATTTAGGATAACTAACGTTATGGTCAGTAATCGATGCAAACAATTCTTCTTCATCTTCGCCATCAAATGGTGGCTGACCCACAAGCATCTCATATAATAATACGCCGAACGCCCACCAGTCCACCTAAACATTATAATTCATATAAATTATCACAAACTACTGTATATACAGTACGGTATATATCGCAAACATTATATATCCAAAAAAATTTCTTTAGATTTTAAAGTCCTTTGAATTTATTTAAACTAATTAACAATAAAAATATAAGTAATTATCAAACAAATAACAAAAGCGTTTCTCAATGTATGTGTTAAACATATAAATTGTTATAATTAGCTCTCTATCACTCTCTCTCTCTCACACACACACTCACACACTTTCACTCACTTTAATAAATCTTTATATGTTAGATACTGTATATCCAGTAATAAATTATTACATATATTAAGGATTTGATTTTATTTTAGTGAGAATTTAAAAAATTCTCTTTTATTTATTAGTTCTATGAATTGCAGAATAATTGTCTTATTATAAAATTAACTAAATTTAACAAATCATTGCAACAGTTTCTGCTAACTTAACAGTAAATGGTTTGGAAAACTGTTTTGTACTACTATATAGAAATATAAAAACTAAAAACACACACAAATAGCTATTATATGTTATAGTAAATAACTAATTAAGTTAGCAAATTTATTATATTTTTATTAATAAGATAAAAACTTTTATAATGATTATTAGTGGTAGTACTATATGTTAGTTAATTTATTGTAATCCCAAAATGTTTTTTAACAAAAATGGTAATTTCTGATTTAATATTTGATTAAAAATTTAATTAATTTTGTTGGTATATGAGATATATTGTATATCATATATACCATTATATCGAGTAAATAATAATAATAAGACTAACTTTGTATTTGTTTTAAGAACAACACATTAAATAAATTAAAACTTTAGACCAAAACATTGCTTAAACAAAGAACATAGTATTTCTTCAAATTCTCTTTTTTGTTAATGAATTACAGTATAAAATACATTATTTTTAGTATAGACTATACGTATGCCGCACACTATATGCACGCTTTTCATGTCAATAAAAATTAGTGTTTTTAGTAAATTAAATTTAGTAGGTTTTTAGTTACATATAAGAAACTGATAGCAAGTAAAGTGAATGACAGTGAATGAAGATTTACTATACAATAGAGAGAGAGAGAGAGAGAGAGAGAGAGAGAGAGAGAGAGAGAGAGAGAGAGAGAGAGAGAGAGAGAGAGACAGACAGACAGACAGAGAGCATTTTAATCAGTTTATTATAGAGAAAATGATTACTATATATAAAAATTTTTATACTGTATATAAATTTGTCGGTTTATTGTTTAAATATTCTAACAAACAATGCATTTACAGAAAATTAGTAAATTTTATTTATCTGTTTCGCAACACTACATCAAAATTGATGACATTATGACACATAGTCTATGAATAAATGAGTTATAAAGACATACCGACTTTCCGTACGGTTGGTATAATATAATCTCCGGTGCGATGTAGTCAGGCGTACCACAGAATGTTTTAGTAGTTTTGTCTCCAAAGATGTTTTCCTTACACATACCGAAGTCGGCAATCTTGATGTGTCCGTCGGCATCGAGTAATACATTATCTAATTTCAAGTCTCGGTAAACAATTCCGTGTGAATGTAGAAAAAACAAACCGATGGCTATTTCTGCCGCATAGAAGACTGCAATGGGTTCCTTGAATTTACCGCATTGTTGAATCTGAAACATTAGGTCACCGCCATTGATGTACTCCATAACAAAGTAGAGTCTATCCATAGTCTGGAAACAGGAGTGTAGCTGAACGAGAAACGGCGGCTTTTCGGCCAACGCGAGCACCCGTTTCTCAATCATTGCACACTCGACGTCGTCGTCCTGAATAATAATGTCTTTTTTGAGTATCTTCACGGCATACAACTCATCCGTTCCCTTTCTTTCAGCTAACATAACTTTACCAAAGCTCCCTTTCCCCAAAACCATTATATAATTAAAGTCTGACGCTCTGATCACATCGTGTTTACCCATATTGTGCGGTATATCAGATGCTGGCAAATCTGTGGGTGACTTACATCCTGGTCGGGGCGCTAACGATGTGACTGACTTTAATCGCGAGTTTTTTGCATCACTACTCTCTTCTCCGGCTGCCGGCACCGGAACATTGTAATACTCGCCCTCTTCTTGTGTCAATAATTTGAACCAACCGTTGGCCTCTTTTTTGATTATCTCAGAAATACCAAAAGAAAGCGCACCCATGAAGTCATTTCTTGAAGTGCGATCCCAATCCCAGATCTCAATCAATAGACGTCTATCTTTATCACTCGGTTTCAGATCAAATGATAGCGTTTCCATCCATTCGGGATTCAAATTGGCTTTAATAGTTCGGGTCTTTCTTTTCATGCTCTCTCCATTGTCTGGTATTAGTTTGCATTTGACATAAGGATCACTTGATCCGTTTGGATCCATAGGAATCAGATTCTTTGCCTGTTTTACTTCGCAAAACAATTTGGTACCATTTGAATAGACTTTGAGTTCAATTCTTCCTCTGCGTTCCGTGTGATCGCATCCACAAAGATTAGGAACCTATTTGATGTCATGGCTTTTGTCAACATTTTTACCTTTATTTAGCTATAAATATATATATATATTGTTAAACACATACAGAATCTTGACATTTCTTGTGAACATTCATATCACACGCTCGACATTTGTATCCCTGGTGTATGAGTCCGTATAGCAGTGACCCGCAGTGGTCACAAAATGTAGGCGAAGTATATGTATGGACAATAAACTGGTGTTTGGTTCGGGCGTCATCTGAGTCAACACCCTTATCAACACCGGGACACTTGAATGCAACAAATTCATGGCATCGCTTATGCACCACATATGAGCACACCTATCATATTACAAACATTTGCTTATAATTTACTATAATTATCATATTTATAAAATTATTTGTACTAATTTGACATTTTAAAAAATAATTTTTTATCTTTTAATAATAAATCTAATCTATTTAGTTTATTTAAGTCTATTTATTATAATAAATATTAATAAATAATAAATAAATATTATAATAAATCTAATAAATTTAAATATTTAAAAACCATTAAAAGCAATTCGTTAAATACCGGTATAAACTTCATTGATGAATTAAATGGATAAAAATAATAATTTATAATCAATATTATATGTTTAAAAAAGCATTAGTAAAATAAATGTTTGTTTAAATATAATTTTCTTAAAACATAACATATAAACAATGTTTAAGTATTTAAATATTGAATACATTTGCAAATATTTTCACATAAGTTAGCAAACAGTGATTTATCACACTATTTGTCGCAGTATTTATAGACATTTAATTCGTGTTTCAAAATGTTTAAATCATTTGCTTCTGACGTGACTTTTAAGCAACACATGAGATCATTGTCTCAATTAAAAGCTATCTATTAATCCATTGATAGTAATGAATAGCATTCATCTATAATAGTATTTCTATAATATAATTCTGGAGATAATTTATCTCAAATAAAATATAGTCCTATAAACTGTATATCATATCAATAGTATTATTATAAATACTATATATAATTAAATTTCATAAAATAGACAATTATTATATGAGACTGAATGGCGCTCTTAATGTAAGATATTTTAACAAAAAAATAATAATAAACGCAATGCCTTGACTTTAATTGAATAACTATTTGAGTTTTGCTTATTATAATAATAATATATAATTTTGTTATGAATATATAGTATTATATTAAGGTTATTATATTATTAGATTATAAGATTATTCATATTAATATCATCCAAATTTTTAAAATAATTTTTTATGTACCTTGATAAAAATATTTTATTCGTTTTTATGTTTATTGAAAAGTATACACATAAGTTAACTAATGTATATTCAAATTGTGTAAATGCCAATTTATACTAGACTAAAATGACACGTGTTTCAATATTTTTTTATAATAATAAATTTATGTATAGTATTTTTTAAATTAAAACAACCTTGAAATTTTAGCATCTTTTAATTTAATTTTGAATAGATTGAGTTATTTAAATAAATATTAATTATATATAACAATAAATCATCTTAAATTAATTTTAATAAAATTTATACTTTAAATAGAAATTATAATTCATTTATTATAATTTGTTTATTTAGAATTAATGTTAATCACAAGAATATTTTTTTAAATAATTATATTTGTATTAATATTTATTAATTTTAATAATAATTATTATTAGATAAACATAAATAAGTGATACCTGACACTGAAATCCCTGTTTGCCGAACCCCCAGATGAAGTCCTTGCAATGGGAGCAGAAAGTGGGTTGTTTGAAGAATCGGGGCAAGAATTTGTGGTTCTGTATGACAAACACATGCTTCTTCTTGAGCGCACCCTTTCGGGCTCTGACTATACCTTTTCCTGACTTTACGATATCATTGAGTGATGTCGACGGCGATGTTGTATCCGACAAGTTGTCCGGTGAGTAACTGTATAACTCTTCTCTCTCTTCGGCCATCGATTGTCTGATTCACTGACACTCACAATACACTCCACTGTCTGATGGTTTTGTAAGGAAAGCATCGGCTCTGGTGTTCAACACTTCTTCTTAGTCCTGCTTTTGCCATATTGTCATCGTATCTGATGTTTCACTATATGTGTCCAAACACTCCATCACATGCTCTGTACATCTCTTACTCAACACGCATGTGGTTATCAAATCTCTCTCTCAGTCTCTCCCAAACATACAATCCATGTGTATCTCATTGACTATATATCACTAATGTTACAACAAATACTACATTTATATACCGTTATATATATTTATATTAATATATAACAAAACCAAAATTCAATATATATTATACTGTATAATACACCTTATAATACTGTATGTGTATTTTGCTATACACAGTAATACTGTATGAATTGTTTCTGTATTTATATATAAATGTTATATAACTTTATTTAATAGTTAGACAAGACGTTAATATCACTTAACTGTAATTTTGGGTAATAGTCATTTAGATTAACCATAAATACATTGTTTTATATTTTAATCAATAAAACATGTTGAGAAATAACTATTGAATTATATAATAATATTATAACTTTTATATAAACTAGTTAAATTATTAAAATAAAAATAAATACTATATTTACTATTTATTGAGAATTACATTTTTAAAAGCTATGAACACATATTTTTACATATATTAGATATTTTACATTTTTCTTGACTAAAAATCTATTTTGAAGTTTTATAGTATTAAAAAGCAATTAAATAGTATTTAATTAATAATTTCAATTTAATACATTAAACAAATATAAGGTTTACTAATTTGAACTATTTTTAATAAATTAATGAATATAAGTTTAAAAAATAATCAATTTATATATAATATTTGCAGATTTATCTTTATCTCAAACATATTACTAATTTTATTTTAATTAGTAATTTCTTTAATTTAATTAGAAAATATTTAATCAATTTTCAAACAAATAATAGTAAACATTGTTGTAGATTCTCTTAAATAGAAATTAATAAAAATTGATTTTTTAAATACACGAATATTTTGATATTTTTACCGATTTTACAAAAGTGTAATATATTCTGATTCTAAAAATACATATTTTCTAAAGTCATATCATATCATAAAAACCCTATGACTTTGTAATAGATATAAAACTAACTTAAAAATTGTCACAATATTTAACCCGAAGTTAGTTTTTGTCATAAAAATAAATGTCTTTATAAAGTTGTGTCTCAAAACATACTAATCATCTGAGTTTTTAAGTTATTTCACAAAATAATGAAGTGTTTTCATGATCTCAATGTTTGTTGTTTGATATTTATTGTTGAAAAAAAGTTTTGTCGATAATGAAAATATACGTTAGTAATCATTGAGAAATGAGTTAGCATTGCTGTACAATACAATAATGGGTAAAACATTTTAGACATGGCTTTAGATATTTATATAATGATATTTTCATTAAACGATAAATCAATATCTCAGATATTTTTCCGGTATGTCAGTGCACACAACGTTAATGACTGTCAAACAAAATTGCTCTCTCTCTCTCTCTCTCTCTCTCTCTCTCTCTCTCTCTCTCTCTCATAAATAGCATTCCTCATATAGTATTTTTCATTGAATATAAATTTAACAATGAAATTATAATTATTTAGTTTTTTATAGAAAATTATATTAACAATTTGGTGACAATTTCATTCATTTCTAATATTAAATTATATATACTGTATATACAGTATATTATAAATTGTTGTATATTTTATGTGTTAATCAAGTGTTTTTGTGTCATTTTTGTATCTTTTGATATTTCATTGTAAATATAAATTTTTTCAACTAATGATAAAAATTTTGTTTTTAAAATGTCTTTCTTATAATAAATAATTTACAAATTTCATCATTAAATAAGAGATTTAGATAAGTGATGTGAGAATTGCATGACATTTAGTACTGAATTTCATATAAACACAAATAATAGCATTTCTCATAAAAACTTACAGAATATTCTGTTACTTACATTAAATTTATAATGACATAACATGTCATATACTAGTGCTTTAGACATGTCTTTATGTCTGTAGAGTACAGTGTATACAATAGTATTGTATTGTGTCTAGGGTTGGAAAAATACAAGGTTTTGAATTTTGGCTTTTTATAAGACAATATAATACAATGCAATTTTATTCTACATTTTTAAAAACTAATATACAGTATTTATATTTTGTTTATAAAATTATTTAATGACAATATAATAATTATATAACAATTATTGTTAGAAAATTAACTATTTTTATATTAATAATTGTTTTCTAAGAACAAAAATAAAATAAATTAAGACAAATTAATATCATATGTATTTTTATTATAAAATATGTTTATTTTTGGTTTATATAAATGGTTTTGATAACTACTAACTTTTGTTTTGTGTCACAATATTATACATTGTATTATAAAAACATTTTGTTTCAGCCAACACTAATTGTGTCTATACTGTACTGTATGTTCAATATATACTAATACAGTATTTATATATTTGCTGCGATAAAACAATAGGATTTTTGGATCAATTTTTTATATGCCGTCTCAAGTGAATTATAATTGTCAGATAACTAAAGAATAAAATTATAGGTAAATAACTATGGGATCAATTGCATAGTAACGTTTTGGATCAGATAAGAATCAATATCTGATTTGATTTTTTCTTCTATTTTATTTATTTAATACTATTTTTAAAATGTAAACATTTTTATTAGTAATTCTGTAAGACTTTAAGATTCAAAAAAATTGTGTAAAATATTTTTTTGATAAATATTTAGTACTATAGTGACTATATTTTAATTCCTAAGTTTTCATACTTTACATATATATTGGTGTCTCAGACAATACAAGACGATTCTGTAATCATAACTAATGCGAGTTTTATAAACAAACCGCAAAAGTGAATAACAGAGTCTTCACTTAAACTAATGAATAATTTGATGCGGTTTTTGTTTATTTGATTTAAATCAATAAAATGTAATTCAAAAAAAATCAATAAAATCTTTTAAAATTTGAAAAAATAAATTGTATTTATTTTTTTATTAAAACAAATAAAAATGTTTATCTCAGAGCTCAGAGTGTTGTATATCCCAACGGATCGGATATTTCGTTAAGAATTTCAACGGATGATTCTCTCAACTTCTTTAGGAAATCAGACAACAGTTCCTTTGAAAACATTTTATAAATGGCTTTACGTTCGTCGGCCACTAAATCGGCCAGTTTTAGACATTCTGACAAATTGTTTGATGACTTATGAATGGAATGAGCAATGAAAACAAGTTGAGGAATATATTGTTTCCTCAATTCTTCCATTTGGTTAAGTCTTAGTTCGTCTTTAGAGCCATCGTGTCTTTGGTCAGCCATCCATCCGCCGTCAGGGAAATGCAAGACGTGTTCTATCTTTTCTGCCGTCAGTTTTCCTTGTTTTTTAAGCATTTCCTTCCAGTAGTTTAAATCAGATTCATATTGTTTTAATGACTGTTCGTAAGCCACTGTATCGGCAAACCGTTTAGACACCGGTTTCAATGGTTCACGAGGTTTGGAGTTATGAAGACAATAGAGCCTTAAATTAATTAAAAAATAAGTTAATAACATAATAAAACATTTACTGTAAATATATCAATAATACCAGTCAGAAAAGGCATCATTTGCTTGAATATAAGCCTTATGACAAAGATATTCTCGAATAGCGTTGTCGTTATCGGTGTTCAATTGATTGCTACCAGTTCTGCGAATGCATTGATTATACACATTATCGATGATATCTTCGGGAAGTTTAAGAAATGTATCTTTCATTGCATCCACTTTTCGAGATAATAAAAAGTTTCTCATCATTGTATTCGATTGTTTAATAGCTTCAGTCCATTCTTGTACATCTTGAAAGAGTAGCCAATCTAATGAATTGATTTTCTTTTTGTCTTCAGTTGTAGTTGTGTTCATTAGTTCAGAAGCTGATGGCAATTCTTCCAATTTGGTTCTAACGTTGTCCACAACAGTCACAGTAATAGAATTGATATCGAGTTCTGCTTTCTTTGCCAAAGCAATGCATAGTTTACGGTCATCTTCGTCTTCAACGCCCTCCAAGAGTCGTGCAAAAGTCGTTATCTGATTGTTTTTCGGTAGTTTTGATGTATAATAAGTAACCAATTGGATCTGATTGTTGTCTATTAAATAATTTATATAATACTCGATTATAGCAACGGCTAACATCTCACGATTTGTCTTTACATTCAAATATCTAATAATAAAAATAATTAACTTTTAATTCAAATTAATATAATAAATACAAACCTTAAAGTCAATACTAAATGAGCAAAAAATCGGAGCAATTGTGGATTAACTATCAACTCTTTTTTCTCTGATTTGCGGCCACTTCTAGTTTCGACTTTTGTTGGTCGCATATCAGCGACAAATTTGGAACATTCATACATATAATCAATAAGACCGTCAATATCGCAAAGTATTATAAACTTTTGGATATTTTGGTGATAAGTTTCCTCAACAAGAGATGAAAGACTTCCGTGAGTTTCCATTTCTCTGAAAATCTGATTTGAATTCAATTGATTGTCCCAATAAAGATCGGGTAAATCAATAGTAAAACGAGGTTTGGCTTCCGGTCTAACACTGAGAGTGTTTTTCAGTTCACTCTCAATATGAACGTCAAGTGAGCTCCTGTTGTCGCGAAAAAATCAATTACCGGTTAATCACAAAAACTAAATAATACTCACTTAAAATAAGCCCAAAGTTTATCATTCCATTTGGGACAGAGTGGCAATAAAATGGCCAAATTCCCGGTCAGAGCGGCATATATAGCTCTCTCGTAAATGTTGGTTCCCTCAGCCTTGGAAGCTCTCCAACAGACATACTTCCAAAGATCGCGATTAGCGTTACCTTCAATTGGCTCTAAAACTTTGCGCGTCTCTTTGTCGTTGATGTAATTGGGATCATGATATAGAAGCCATCCATCGAGAGCTGCAGACAACCAATGATATCCTAATTTAAGAAACAATTATTATAATCATTACTAATAAACTAATTTAAATAACAAACCGAGTCTTTGTGTCACTTCTTTTGCGTCAAACAGTTGTCCGGCGCGAAGCAATTGGAAAATATAGCGATACAATCGGTTCTCGTCTTCAACATCGAGATCGTGAAGTGATTGACGAGTTCTGATAGGACCGTCCGGATCCATTCGTTGACATAATTGTCGTCCGCTTTCATAGTTTTCATCTCTTGTTTTCAATGAGTGTAAAGTATTTTCCCAAGAATATGGACCTAATAATGGTTAAGAAGTTTAGACAATGAAATGCAATAAAAAACAAATACAAACCCTCGGAATAGAACTGAATGCGATCATTGGCCACATCCTCGTTATCATCCAATTGGTTCTTCTCTAACCAATCAATAACTAATTGCATTTGTCTTAATTGATTGTTTGTCTCAAACGTGCGTTCAATCAATGTTTTGTCACTCATTTTAGTTACGATATCGTCGACCATCATATCATCCTGAGAATTGTCTTCACTTCTGAGTCTGTCCTCAAAAATGGCCCGAATTAGTCTCCAACTGTTTCTCTCGAGTCGAAACACATTCTCCAGTTTGTTCATGTCTTGTGATTCGGCCAAATGTCTTACTTTCGATTTTAACATATTGGCGGTGACCACCAAATGATCGCAACACAAAAGTTCAAATTCAGTCAACATTTCAAAGATATTGTCGACATCTATTGAATACTTCTGATTCGTCTCAAAGAACTGTTGGCAAACAGTCAAAGAAGATCTGGCAGTGATTGTCTCGTCCTCTTGTGTTTCATCTTCTTTAATATCAAAGTCAAGACGACTATTTGGTTCCATCGTTTCATTTGCCAAAAAGACACTTTGATTGATTAAATTTGATGATAACAAATGCATTGAAGACATCTCGGCAAAGGAATCTCAAGAATAGAAAACAATCGGTCAAACAGTGGATTAAAAAATCATTTATTAAATCAATACTTTGTATAAATCTGTTGGCGTGTCGTGAAGTGCTGTCTCTAATGGACGGCGATTCCAACAGAAGTGAATTGTAATAAAGCGACGAATGATTGGATTTATCCATTGATTCCGCTCTTCAAAGACGTCGAAGAATATCAAAGAAGTGAATGTCAAGCGATCGGCAAAAAACACATTTCATTTGAAAATATATTCAAAACGAAAGTCAAGTCCTCATAGATTACGCCCTCCGGTGGACAACACACTCACCGATTGGGCATTACTTCCACGTTATATACAGTGATATACTGTTACGGCATATACTGACGGCTCTCTAACTATTGCTTAGTATTTGTTAATACAATCATTGTTTGAATACATAGATATCGTAACCATTAGTGAAGGGATGGGAATGAGTGTCAAAAACAACACATCATATCATATGAAATGTAAACACAAACCGATTGACTGACTATTGACTGACATATTGATTGTTAGCCGAAGTGGACACACAATGGGAGCCATTATGTCGCTGTCGATATCGCCGTTATCACCGATTCTCCAGTTTATGGCCCTATCGTTGGTGTCCATCATTCTTACGGTTCTCATTCCGTTCACAAAAGTGGAGGAATCGTTTGCCATTCAATCGATTCACGATTTCATATATTTGAGTGAACCAAACAATTTGGTCCAACTGTTTGGCCATTTATGGCATTTTCCCGATTACCACAACTACAGCAACGGTGTCGACCTTTTGCACAAACTTCTTGATTTGAATAACCATTCGTTACGGAATTGGGATCACAAAGACTATCCCGGTTTGTGTTTAATAACCTGAAGAATAATATAGTGATTGATTGTCTTCATAGGTGTAGTTCACCGAACATTTATAGGTCCGGCGTTTGTGTCCGCACTCACCAAACCGTTTTCGCTGTTGATTCAATCGGACGACAAGTTTTTCGTCCAAACGATGGCCCGAGTGTTGCTTTCGCTGTCAGTGATGTATTCGTTTTCGGTGTTCGGTCGGTCCATTCAATTGCGTTACGGAGCGACCAGTCGTCGGGCGCTTTCGGTTCTTACGTTAACTCAGTTTCACTTTCTATTCTATTCTTCACGAACTCTTCCCAATACATTCGCGTTAATTGCTGTTATGATAGCGTACGCCAAATGGTTGGACAAAAAGTGGAATCAATATATCTTTAGCGTCGCCTTCACTGTCATTGTTCTGCGCGTCGAAACCATCATTTTGTTTGCTTGGATTACACTTTACGAACTCATAATCACAAGAGAACTGACTTTTGGAAGACTCATCAAAGTTGGAATTCCGTCGGGAATCATATCTTTAGTCATAACTGTTGTCTTTGATTCGTATTTATGGGCCAAACCTTTGTGGCCCGAAGGTAGGCTTAAAGTTGTCTTTTCATTACAATAACAACTCTTTCTATGATTTCAGGCGACGCTATTTTGTTCAATATTGTGGAGAACCGATCGCACGAATGGGGAACTCAGCCTTTCTTCTGGTACTTCTATTCAGCGCTTCCACGAGCGATGCTTCTGACACTTATTTTTGTGCCATTTTGTTGCAAACAAATGCTGAAGACTTTGGCCTCAATTGTGTTTTTATATTTGATTTCCTATTCATTTCTTCCGCATAAAGAGTTGCGTTTTATTATTTACGTCATTCCTCTTCTGAACGCTTGTGCGGCCAATACTATTGCTGTTGTTATTGAGAAGTTTGAAGATTCGGTGACAAAGAAGAACGAGTCTTATCTTATCGGTCGGATTTGGAACTACTTTTGGCCGAATGACGTCAACTCTTCCAATGGAAATCTGGTTAAAGATGAGAACAAATACGACGCCATTCCCACAAATAATCGCAGTCTTCGGCGACGCGGCAAACATTCGGTTGAAGAAGATTTGGACCAACAATACGAAAAGATTACTCAACAACAACTGCTTCAAAGCAGTGACAAGTGTTCGGCGCCCAATGGATGGTAAGTTTGGAATTGGTTTCAAATTGCAAATTAAGACTCGTTTGTTGTTTAGGGCAATGACTTTGGCGTTTGTAGTCATGGCTATTCATGTCTGGTGTAATGTGGCCGCAACTGTCTTCATGTCATTGGCCGCGTGGCACAACTATCCGGGCGGAGAAGCCGTCTCGTGGCTCAACCGACATATCACGACAATCGACAATTATCACGAACGCTCAACAGTTGGCGTCTATGTCTGCAATTTGGCCGCTCAGACGGGATTCACACGATTTCTCGAATTGGACGGCATTTTCTATGACAAACAACCGAAACTGGTCGATGAAACCTTTGTTCGATTTGCAGTCACTTATTTGGTACTCGAGAAGAGCGACGTTCAATCATTGCAGTCGCGCTGTTCGGGAACCGGTTCGGATGTCAGTTGTCATATCGGGAAACACATTCGCAACTGTCGGATAATGAAATCCATTACCGGCTTTAATGGTCTCGACTTTTCTCTATCCAAACAAGTTGTGATTAAAACAGCGCCAATGCTTTGGATATTTCGCTGTCAAAAGTGACACTCAAACTGACATTCATTGTTCTCAATGAATCCATTTTTTTTGGCAAACATTGATTGATTATAATATGTTACGAATCAGTACTGAAATGAATTATTTTTTGAAAAACTAAAATTGAAGCGTTTATTTGATCTCAAACCAGTCATAATTGTTTTGTGATATATTTGCAGTTTTTCTCCTAATTTATTGACAAAAAATAAGAGTTTAGTCTAATTGTGGTCAGAATTTAGTGTTTTTTGCATTCATTTCTGTAAATGTTTTCAAATTTGTTTAATAGACTAATAAAACATTATTGAAATGCTATTTGCAAAACACAATTCGTATATTTATTTACAATATGTTTACAATTAAATGACATTTTATGATAAATAACTGATTGAATCGGATTTATTTTAATCGTATAACTTATAAAAACATATTATAAGGCCGAGTCTTAAGACTATTAGTTAATTATATACAATTAATTTATAAATTATTTATTATATAACCATTTGGTCATTAGTGAATCTGGTGGACAGTTGACCCCATATATACATATGATATGTAATTAAAAGCATCGCCGCCGTAATCATTGCATTAAAACTAAAAGATTTTAATAAATGTGTTTTAAATTAAAAATATTTTCTAATTTAATTTATTTCTAAACTTAGTTAACATAGTTTAAAAATAGTGTAGTTTTAAAAATATATACTTTAGAAGCAATTTAACTTAAAAATCAATTTAATCTTTTAATCTTATAATACCTGTTATATTACTGTATTAGTTATACTGTATAACATTAGTCCAGTAAAAGTCCAGTTATTATCACTATTTAAAGAAAGTCTTATCAGATCTTCAAAAGTGATTGTCCACTGAAAGCATGTGCTCTTTAAACACACTTTTAGTTTCTTGTTTTTCATGGCTTTCCTCTGATTTCAATACAATTTCTAATATTATTCAGTGTTTTGTCAAATAATTTTGCCAAAAAAAAATATTTTAATTTGTAATTAATATCAATTTTATTGTTATTTTGATTGTTTTTGTGTCTGTTTTTATACCACATAATAACTGATTTGATATATTTGTTTAATATTTGATCACTTGTTAGACTTTAAGTTAATTGAAATGTTTGTGTTTTATGTGACAAAACTTATAAGACTTTATATAAGTGTTATTCATATCGTTTTGTTGTTGATTTTCGGTCAAAACTACCGAAATCTGTTGGACAGAGTCATCAAAATCTATTGGTTTGTCACAAAAGTCATGTCCACGACTGTCAAAGAGCCGGACATCCAATCATTGAGTGAACGACTCGAACGAACTGAAGAGCGTCTGTTGGCAGTGACCAACACTATTGAATGGCATGTATTGGCGCTTCAAAACCAAATCATTTCACTCGAGAAACAAGTCTACGAACTCAAGAAAGCAAAGTTAGCCGCAAATGCTTATCCGAAACCCGTTGTTCCTCAACGTCGGCTCATTATGGAGTTGGCCAAGACTTTGGCACACGAAAGCATCGGCAGATTTGATGAACAATTGACACACAACTTAATGGACAACAACGACAATACTAAACAAAAGATAACAAACAAACAAATCAAAAGCAAAGTCGAGAAGAAGACACACAAAAACTTTACAAACTCTTTATGAGATTTGTTTGTCATATATATTGTCATTAATTTTGACGATTTCTCTATTTATTTGAAATTTTTTATAAAAGTTTTTGTATATATATTTGTATTTAAGATTTAATGTATTTATAATTAATTAATTTAATTAATATATTAATTATTTTGAGTAATAATTAATTATATGAAAAGTGGTATAATTTTGTCGATAAATACTGTATTAATGAAAGACATAATTGATGTAAAAACCAATAGATTTGTTGAAGTGATCTAAACATAGGTTTAGTCGCGAATCTCAACAATCAATAAATCGCTAATAAATTGCAACAAATATTAGATTTTTTGGACACAAAATGTCGGCCAAAAACGTCGCGGACTGTACTCACTATAGCTTCGTGTTTATGCGGCCATTCACTCGCGGTCTGGCCATAGCAGCGGCCGCTTATATCTCGTATATATTGATTACGCCGTCAAAGTTTTGCGAACGGATTCCTCCCAATTATGAGGCCATTCGTCGGCAAAAACAGTTACCCGATATTCCTGTCAAACATCCGGCCGGGATGTTCGGCAAAGGCTATCGTATTATTCCCGACGAAGAACTAGTGATCAGAACTCGCAACTGATCCACATATTGGTCACCAAAAGGATTGTAGTCTACGTTATGTTATTATTATTTAGTTGTAAAATATTTATCACAATTTGTTTCAATAAATTATATCTTTAGATGACTTGAATATCCATTTAATTATTGATTGAAATAATGTTTTTGTTTTATTTCAATTGAAATGTCTTGAGTTGTCTTTGAAAATTGGATCAATTGAAATGCATTTATATTTAATCTTAATTAACATTTTCATGTATTTTTCATTTGAATTTCAATAAATTATTTTACTGTAAATCATATAAACATTGTTTTGATTTACAAAAGTGTTATTAATTTACAGATCAATAGTTATGAATCTTATAATTAGAGTAACTTTCCCCGAGAGGGAAGTTCCCCAATAAAATTGCTCCAATTTTCCCAAAAATATCCTTTTCTTCATCGTTACAAATACTCTGTAATAAAGTTAAGAAATGAGAATTTGTTAATTGCTATATAAATAACTGAATTGACATTTATTTTCAAATTTATAACCAATTATTAGAAATTTTTAAACTATTATTTTCATTATTGATTAGTATTTCTAAAAAATCTTTAAAAATCTATTTTATTATTAGATATTTAATATTTTTTGTAAATTATAGGAAATTTTAAAAATATTTATAAGTGTTATAATAACCTATATTTTCTCAAAATAACATATACTGTACTATAGTTTTGGTTAATCTTTAGTAATAGTAATTGAAAATCGTTTTAACATTAGTTTAAAGATAAGACAAACTGAGAGAAAAACAAATTTTAAATTAATTGCAAATTATTTGAGAACTTGTTATTTGATTTAGTTTTTCATAATTTGCTAAAAAACAAAAATAAATACAAAGTTTTGATTAGAAAACGAAGCGATCGATCGCTTCTTAACGCAGACTCTCTTTCCTTCGGTTATGTAAACACTCTCTTCTGTCAAAAAATAGACATTTATTGGAAACGTCGTCAAAAATATGCCGAAACGCAGGAGTGAGGATTCGCTGGAAGGCGAAGAACCGATAGATGACATGTCTATTCCGTTACCGATTCAGACATTCCTTTGGCGCCAAACCAGGTATGAGTGACCGCCAATTGAGTGGACAATAGCATTATAGACTTGAATTTATTGGAACAGTCCGTTCATTCGGCCAAAAATCAGTCGTCTTCAAGATGCGGCTGCAATGGAACAAAGGGAGGCGTGTAAGTCGTTTGAGAAGGTGTTGGTTCAGAACATTCAGTTCGGATTGTCTCCCAGTCTGACCGAAGCCATCAAAAGTATCAGCAGGTATTGTCTGTCCGTCCGTTGACTCACTGAGACTGAGACTTGTTTTTTAGGTGGCGTTTGGTTTTGTCTGCTTTACCGCATGTAATGCACTGTTGTTCGGCTTTACTGTACGGAAGACGAAACAGCTCTTTCGACAAGTTGTCGGCCGCCGAAACCAAACTGCTCTATACTTTGCATTGGATTTTGTTGGACGCGGCCGAAGAGTGTGCGGACGCGGAGTGCGAACAAGGAATCATTCGAAGACCGGAATACTATTTGTTGCCGATAACCACTATTCAGGTCTTTATCTATTTGTTCGCACCGCTCATGTCTCGCCTCAAAGATTCCGACTTTCTGACCAGTTTTCGACTCGAGAACGGCTACAAGATTTGGTCTCCTCTGTTCGCTCATTCGCATCCGGAGTAAGATATCGTTTGTATTGTCTTTTTCTCACGTTTTTTCTTAAGAATAACTTCATTCACATCACAAGTCAAACCCAAACGAAACATATTACGCGCCACAAGACATGAACGCAAATCACAAGCGGTTCCAAAGTTCGGAGACGTCTTTCTCGGTGTATTGGGTGCTGACCCGAGACGAGAGTTCACACCCACGCCTTCAATGGCTTCTTCCAACGGACAACAACTCACTCCAATTCCGACTCCAATTCCGACTCCAATTCCGACCCCAATTCCGCCCCCGACTCCGACTTCGACCCCGACTTCGACTCCGTTTTTGAGTTCGCCGATTGCGGCCACTTCGAGTGTGTCGATTGAGAAGATTGAAGGAAAAGAGTCGATAACTCCGACGAAAAGCAGTTCTTCGGCCGAAAAGAAAACCTTCGAAATCGAGTCCAAACCAATGATCAATCCAGCGATGGCCACCTATTTGGATGTCGCAGTTCTTCGGTGTCTTTTTTCCAATCAATGGCTTGAAGAAGGTGTCGAGTGGGCGCTTAACTTTGTCCTCAATCGGTTTGTTATCTTTTTTCAGAACATTCTTTGTCCTAATTATTAGTTTCTTAAAAGACTTAAAACCATTGGTTTGGATTCGGTTTCCAAAGAAAAGTCGCGAAACAGAAGTTCTTCTCTTCCGTTACCGAAAAAAGAAAAACCAAATCAATCTTCTTTTGAGCCGAAAAACAAATCCGAAGACAAAACGGTTCCGAAAGTTGTTTTGGATGACAGGAATTTGCAATCTTTGCCGTCAAAGTCGCCGTCAATGCAAGACTTGCGTCGTTCGTCGTTCTCAGGTTTGCCCGGATTGGTCGGATTCATTAGTTCGGCAAATCCTCTGCCAATCGGTCGAGTGGGCAGTGAAAAGATCAAATCGCCCAAAAGACAGAAGAAGTGCGAACAGCCGACCGACAAAGCGAGTGGCGAACAGAATCTGGAAAAATTGGTGGACGGAGAGGACGTCGTGTCGAACAAACTGCAGAAACAGGTCGACAGAGGAGACGCAGTGTTTCTGTCCAAAGAGTTTGTTCGTCCGCCGCCACGACCAAAGTCGACAATTGGACATTACGAGAAGAAATTGTTGGACAACTCGGAAATGCAAAGAGGAAAGTCCATGCCTTCTCTTCATTTGTCATCTTTGTTTACTTCAGACAAGTCGTGGAGACTTTCGGCTCCCGACAAGTCGCCCAAGAAGTCCGCAGCGCAATCGTATTCAGTTCCGTATCCGATAATCACAATTACCGAACACTCGCCGGTCACTTCTATTCAGTTCTTTTTGAATCAAGAAACCCGTGATTCACCGAAAGAAGAGTCCTATAACTGGCAATCGGCGCCGACACCGACGCCAGCGATAACTCGAAGTCAGACCGACTCAGACATCAGTTATTATTCGGATAACATGTCAGAAGCGCCCGCATCCATGCATTACGTGACCAAAAGCGGACAGTTGAGTCTTGTAGTGATTCTGAAGGCCGTTCACGCGATTTCTCTGAAAGACTCTGTTTGTTCTTTGGCTGTTTGTCGAGCCATTCATGAGATTCTCAACCGACTCATCAATATGGGTGTTCTTCCCGCTTTCATCGCTCCGGTCGAACCCGAATCCGTCAGTCCGGTCAACGGCGAAGTCAATGGACGCAATAAACCCGAAAACGAAGAACTATCGATTCATCATCTTTTTATGGATACTTTGATTCGATTGATAAAACATTTGGGATGTCCTCACGGTTGTGGAGAAGGACATCGAGCTGAAGAAGCCATTCAACTGAAACGTGGCATTTCCATCACTCTTTCTTATTTGCATCAGTCTTCAGAATCTCATTTTAGTCGCTTTTTTGACGAAATGGTAAACAGAAGAGCCGTTCAAGAGATTGTAGACGTTTTCCATGCTTTCCTTGGCTTTTGTTTAGACGGAAATCAAAACAACAATCAAAGGAAACAATCAAACAATCCGACTCTAACTAGTCAACAGTCAGTTGATTCAAATTCTGGTTCCGGAGGAAGGAGTGGGTATTCTACTAATTTTGGGGCCGGATTCGGGAAATTGTGTGTCAAAGGTCAGACACAAGAGAGACGAGAGAAAGGAATGGTTGATATGTTTTAATAAGATTTGTTTTATAGGTATTGAAGGCGTTATAATCGGATGTATTTTAAAGCCATTTATCAGTCGTTTGACAAAAATGACAAAAGAATTGCGTCTTCAGGAGAATATGAGTCTCTATTGTGAAATCCGACAGTTTGTCGCTTACGTTCGGTAAATAGTCTTCAGAAATGAATTTCTTCTCATCAAAAGTCTTTCCGTCTTTTTAGTGATACTCACGGCGGAGCTTTCAGAAGAGTGGCTTTAAGCGGACTGTTGGACTCTGCACATCAGTTGCAGAAAAAACAAGACAAACAAACCAGTCCTTCAGCCATAAGACGTGCAGAAGAACAACGAAGTGGTCAACATTCGCCGACACAGACCGAAGAAACAGATATCAAAAGTCATAAGAAGTTCTTCAAGAAAAAGAGTTCGACCGCAGGAATCAAAGCCGCGCCGAGCAGTCAAAGTATTCACGACGACAATCAACTGCTCAATGAATGGCCACTTCCCGGAACTGGATTGAGTCAGACTCACGGCAGTACCGGTGCTCTTCGTGTCCAGAGAGCGGCGTCTCCGCGATTGTCGATAACAGACGACGACGCAGTGATAATGATGCAAAAGCAGAAGAGCGGAAAAGCATTTGCAAATTTGGCCAATTGGTTCAAAACGGGTGCCAAACCCGAGTCATTACATCCAGATTCGGCTGTTTTGCTGGACAACGGACAGACTTTGGGATTTGTTTCGGCGTCCGAACCGTCAACTGACAAACTGGTGAGAAGAGCCAGTTTTAGTCGGACTCCAGTCAAAGGCGGATCTGTTGTTGCGGGAGGAAGTGGTCAACAGAAACATTCGACTTTTGTGAAAGCGCGCAAAAGAATGGAAGATCAGTTTCGCTTTGTTTTTGGAAAATCCAAAGCCAAACACGGATCCAGTTTTGAAGACACTCCGGATTTGTCTCGACGAAACTCCTTTGATTTCGACCGAACAAACGATGGCGACGTTCTCTTAGCGCGAGAATCACGAGTCGTGTCTTTACCCGCAGTTCGCGACGGAATGATTCGCTTTCAGTTTCTGTTGGAAGCCTGTACTCCGGGAACTCTTCCCGACGCGCCTCTTGTGGCCGCAATGCTCGACCTTCGCGCTCCGGTAGTGGCACGTGCCGCCTTCTACTTGGAATGCGCGCATTTCGTGCACCGTTGTAACCGCGGACTCTGGCCGACTTGGATGCGCCACAACTTCAGTTTGTTTCGTCCGTCGGCTCCGGCGCGTACCGGTTCGCAGTCGGCGATTCGCGGTCGAGCGTCGAATGCATTGCAGCGAATGGCCGGTCGGGCGTTCTATCAATGGGCGGAAATGTTGGGCGCGAGACTCGAAGAGATTGTTCTGAATGACATCAATACTGACAAATCGGCAAATCTGACCGATGATGGCAAACGAAGACAACTCAAGTACGACGACGAAGACGAAGACTTCTTGGACGAAGCGTTTGTCAACGCCGACGGAAATCAGTGTCCGTTTGCTCTAAAACTAGTCGCGTGTCAATTGCTGTACGAAATTACGGCTTTTCTTCGCGAAACACAACAGTATTTGCCATCCCGTTCCTCGCGATCGTCTATTCGCGAACGCAGTTCTACTTTCGAACCGAAGACAGTGACAGCCAATAGAAGATGGTCAATGGCTTTGAGTAAGAAGTGATTCTTTGTTTTCGGTTTAATCTTTAGAATAATTAATTTCCAGCAAATATCGGACCAATTGATGGATTCAATCATCCGTCGCAAACATTCGGAGAAAGAAGAATCAGTTTTGTTCTTCAGGAAGCCGACGGAGAAGACGGATCCACGAGTGATATCTCTGGAGTTGATGACGGAACTCTGGACAAAAAGCGATTGTCACAAACGGGAGTTGCGGGTCGTCCGCATTTGTTGCGTCGTTCGACGGGTGGGAGTGGACACGGCAGTTTCAAAAGACGATCGATTAAACTGAAAAAAGGCGCCGAAAGAAAACCGAAACAGCGTTCGTCTACTGTCGCCGACGAAGAAGAGGGCGACACTCAGAAACACTCTATTCTTCGGCGATCAGACTCTCTTCGGTCGCGACGGAAAGTCAGCGGAATTTCTGAACGTTCGGATACTTCGGAACGCGTTTCGGGAGACGAATCGCCGGGAGTTTTGTCAGACGACGGACAGATGGACACTCCGTCAGATACGGTAGAAACGGATGATACAGAAATCACATCGAATTTGCCATGGCTTAAGATAATGAATCAAATGGTTTCGAATTTGTCTTTCAATTGTTCTCACGTTAATTATTGTCAAAACGATTGCTTTCGAAGACAAATGAGAAGCGCTTCCCGACTCATGAAAGCCGTTAACAAAGTCTATAACGAAGAGTCGGTCGAAAAGAATAAATCCCCGATTGTGACCTTACGGCTGTTTGAGGACAAAGACGACGCGGCAAAGCGTGAAAAGAAACTCAAGAAAATAGTCACGGGACCTTCTTCGCCTATAAGACGCAAGATCTCGGTCGGTCACGGTCTGGAACGCGACCATGGTCAGTCCGTGCATTCGTCGACCACTTATTTGGCGCATCAGGTGGACTTGGAAGCTGGTCCGGCGGACGCTGAAGACCCGCGACGCACGTTCATAGAAGTGGCCAATCAGAAGGCGCAAATCAGACGCGAAGAGAACCCGACTTTGAAGTACACGACAACTCATGTCAAAAACCCTTTCGGCTCTCCATTGGCTGCGGCTCTTAAGGGAGCGTTAGTGTTGTCTCAAACAGACTTTGAATGTGTTTTGCGTATGTCTTGGGATCTGTTGTTGGAATCAGACGCGGAATTAGTGGCGACATCTGCCGTTGCGGTAATTGTTTGTTCTCTTAAATGTCCGCAATCTGTAGCCGATCTTCTAGAAAGAGAACTGACTCATGAAAAGCCAGAACGACGTTCTCTGGCTGTCGACAAGTTCTACCGAATTTGGTCAGCGCGGTTCCAGTGTTGGCCTCGACTCGAAGACGGAGCGCATCTCTACTTGAAAGTCCCCCCTCCGGCCATTGAATTCACTCTTCCGTCGCCACGAATTGCTTTGGAATCGATTCCAGTTGTAGATCCGGCTTATATGCCGACAGCGCGTGCAAAAGTCGAAGAAGTGACAATAAGTCAAGAACCGGCGATTCAGAGGTCTTTTGTTGCGGCCACGAAGACGCGACGCAAACAACAGATCGAAATGGTCACGAGAGCTCTGCAACAGGAAGAAGACCGTTTGCGTGAAGAACGCGAGAACTATCGGTTGTCTGCCGTCCCGATTCTGCTTCAGGCCGCTTACGAACCGGCGCTCTTCCATACCGTCGAAGAACACGAAGACGATTCGGACGAAGCGCTCGAACGTCCGCCGGCGCACAACATCCAGATGGCTCAGGCCGTCTTTCCGTCGACTCTGTGTTCGGCGGCTGTCAGTATTATCAATCTTCTGGACGATCCCGAGGTTGCATCGGACGGAAGCGCTGTTTACGAAGTGGCCTATAAAGTGATTTGGCATTGTCTTGTTGAAGACGCGTCACTCTTTTTGCGCCATTTTCTCGAACGCCTGACTCGCGAACGACAATCTGTTATTTTCCAGACTTTGCGCCGTTTGATCCGTTTTATGCCACGACTGCCCGCTCAGGCGGCTTACACGCTCTACAACTATCTCATCGGATTTGTCATGTATCACGTGCGCGCTCCGGTAGAGAACAGTCAGGAAGTGATTGCTTCCGTTCTATCGATTCTATGGCTCGTCGTTCCCAATGTCCACGGACTCTTCCTCAAGGATCTCAAACAAATTCTACGCAAAGAACAGTGCGACGCATCCCTTCTGGTTACGGCCAATGTGCCGTCGGCCAAGAAGATCATTGTTCACGGACCGGACGCTTCGGTAATTCCGTCGCAATTTCCGATTCACGAAGACACGCAATTCGCACAGATTCTGACCGATAGTCTGGACTTTTTCGGAATTGACGAATCGCAACACGAGCAGTACTTTTTGGTCGATTCCAAGACCAGTGAGTTTCAAACCGTTGTTTCCGTTGTTTCACTCTTTTCCGTCTTTTTCAGATCAAATGCATAATTTGAATGCTTTTGTTCGCGACTTTTATTTCTTCAAACGTTCACAATATCCGCAGATTTCTTTGGTTCACATGAATCCCGAAGAAGCCTTCGATCGTCTTCAGAGACAGGCTTTTACTCTTCAATTTGTTGAATTAGGAAAAGTAGGTCTAAATCTTTGCAATTCTTTTCTCACTGTTTTCTTCGCAGACTTTGATGTGTCTTTCGTTAATAAAATCGCAATTTCTGGGAACACAACGCGTTCTCTTCTTACACGAAGAACTCATGAAACTTCCGTCTTTTCCTCGTAAAGCACTTGAAGCCAACTTCTCGCTCTACTCGGAACCGAACGGTCAGGAAGTGCTTGGAATGGACACTTTGCATAAACTGGTCTGGGTCAAACTGGTCGCGCGTATGTTTGAGGCCACGAGTGGTTTCTTCGCTCAGTCTTCGGACATCCATTTGTTCCTGAATGTAGTGAACGGAGCTCTTGTTCTTCACTGCGAGAACTCGTCCATGTTGCGTCTTTGTATGGCCACTTATATCAACGGCGCGCATCAGTTCCGCAATATTTTCGCCCAAAACGGGTATTTATTGATTTTGCCGACAATCGCGAGGATCTATTCGAACCATCAGACGAACGGTCTGTTGTGTCGCGCCGTAGAGTTTGTTTGCAAACAGTTTTATATTCTTCACCGAAAACCGTTTGTTTTGCAAATGTTCGGATCCGTCGCTCCTCTTCTCGATTTGGACACTGGATGTGCTTTCGGCGACGCCAGTAAAGTCCAACCCCGGGCTTTCTTTCAATTGTTGCAATCTCTGGGCCAATACATTGTGGATCCGTTGGATATCTTGGAATTAGTCGAAGCGGAGAAACCTCTGAAAGTGAGACTTGTTTTCAGTTTAATCAGTCTTTAATTAGTTGTCTCTTCAGGCGCTCGACTTTTGCTACCAAATGGACGCGGAAACTCTGACTGTTTTGGACGCCATATCTTTGTGCGTGACTGTCGTGTCTTATGCGGCCGACACAGAGCGTGGACTTCAAATGTTGATTGTTTTGGAAGCTATACTTCCTTTGCATTTAAAACACATGCAAACATTGACGACAAAGAAAGAGACTCCCGGCGGTCCAAGAACCGAATTACAACACATCCATAATGTTTCTGTTTGTATGAAAACTCTTGTCTATAATTGCGAAGCTCTGACTCGCAATTTCACGGGTCCGCAACGGGCCATTGATTTGCGTGGTTCGTCCATCAAGAACGCGTCTCGAAGTCCTCCCGCCGGCATTGAAGTGGACGACGACTCGCACTCCAAGTTCGTGTCCGACAATTACTTCAACCGAAGAGTCGGAGCCGACAGTAGTGACGGAGAGACTCTGAGGACGGAATTCCGTCGTCCGCGAGATGTTCTTCTCAAAGTCGTGGCCGAGTTCTTGAGCCGAAGTGCAGCGCGTTTGGCCGATCTGAGTAAGAAACTGCCGGATCTTCACGCGAAAGGAACTTCCTACGAGTTGTTGGACGTGAGATGTCATTTGCGTTTAGCAGAAGTTGCGCATTCTCTGCTCAAGATGGCACCTTATGATCCGCTGACAATGGCCTGTCGAGGTCTGGTCAGATATATGACCGAAATTCTGCCCAATTCCGAGTGGCGTCAGGAACAGATGCGTCCCGCGCTTATTATGGTCTTAAGACGTCTCGACAAGACTTTCTCTAAGATCGCAAAGAAGTCGGCGATAAAGAGGTCGACGGATTGGGAAGCGGCGCGTCGGCTCTTGAAAGGCGTGTATTTGACGTTCGCGAGACATCCATATATCGTTCATTTACCACATCTCAAGTCTTTGATTGCCGTTTGTCAGAACATTGTTTTGGGAGACCGACAGACAGACGCTCAAACAGACACCACATCTGCCGTCCCTTCGTGGGCAGTGGCCTTATCTCAGACGTCTCCTCCCGGCTTCACGTCTGTGGCCGTCCGTCTGGTGGCGCTTCAGATGTTGCAATTGGGAGACGCGCAGTCTCTGGAGACGCTGTGTTCTTCGGCTTTCGCTTCTGCGGACAAAGCGGACATTTATCTCATGAATCTGATTTACCCGATGTGTATTCGCGTGACTTCTGGTCTGAAAGAAGTTCCGCGACTTCGACAACACGACATAACATTCGCGTTGTCTGTCGTTCTTCAGACTTTGCGTCCGCTTTCGGTTAAGCCGGTGAAAGGCAGTGATTCGTCGGTTGGACAGTCGGCTCAACAATCCACTTATTCCGTCGGTTTTCTTGGACTCAAAATCCTTATTGTTTGCTTCGAACGCCAGTTGACGACTGAGTGGTCGCGAATCGCACGATGTATTCGTGAATTGGCCGCCAAGACACAGGGAGGCGTCACATTGTGGGCGTTCCTCGATTTTGTGGTCACTTATCGGACGCCTCTGTTTCTACTTTTGGCGCCTTTGATTCGCTGCAAGTTTTTGCTGAAGATCTGCGACAACGACAACGAATACATCTTTCAACAGCAGATCCGCGACAAAATGGCCGGAAGAGGATTACCACACAACAGATCCAAAGGTATGGCTTTTTTCGTTATTAAGAAAAGTTTGTCAAAAGTTTTGAAAAAAGAAAATCTTTGATAAAATAGAGTAAAAACTGATTATTATTTGAAAACAACATTAAAAGTATTAAATCTTAATATAAAAAGACATTTATTGAAAACTTGAGTACTTTTTGATATATTTTATACAAAAACTGTGATAACTGTCTCACAAACGCACACTTTATTAATAGTAAATCATTTTTTTATAGACTTTGAATATGTTTTGTGGAAAAGGTTTAGAAAAACTATTTTTATTTAATATAAAAATAGAATATATATTGAAATAAACGAAAGCTTTGAAAGAAAACCTGAATTTAATTATTGATTAATAATTAAAATCAAATGAAAAACAACTTCTCAGACAATGTCTTGAATTTTAGGCCAACTTTTGGTTCAACTGATGTCCGAAATGCGAATTTTACGCGAAGAACTCATATCTCGCAAAACCATGTCTCAGGACGAGCGCAACAAATCCATTGTTCCGGACGCTTCTTCGGGTGGCGAACGACCCGAAGGTCACCGTTTGTCTTTTGCTTTCGCTCAGTCGGCTTCGCGTTTGTCTAATGTGTCTTCGAATTCAAACACTCCTCAAACCCAACCTAACGTTGCTTCGACTCCGACCTCTTCGTCGCGTCCATCTCTGCTCAGGGGTTTGTCATTCCGACTGACCACTTCCCGAACTCCCGACCGAATGTTTTCGCCGCGAAATTTGTCTGTAAAGTTGACACGTGATGACGGAAGACGTCAAATGGAAGGAATGATAAGACGCACGAGTTATCCCGACCCGAAGGAGGCGTTGGCCGAAATGACGGCCAAAGAATGTCATTCGGAACCAAAACTGTTCCGCAAATCAACGCTTCATATAAAACGCGGATCAGCTAAGAGAAACAAAGAATCGCCTCTTGCGTCTTCGGCGGTCACGTCGTCCTTCAGCGGAGAAGCGTTGGCTGAAGGAGTGACTATTGATGACGAACAAGAGATCAGAAGTCAAATCGGGAGAAAGGATTCGGCGGAAGAAGAGGCGGAGTGTGGACTCAAAGGACATCGATTGCAACGACAAAAAGCGCAATCGAGAAAAACATTCAGATTTAGAAAATCGAAAAGAGGTTTCAAAACAGACGAAAACATTCCTCTTCAGCAAAGACAAACAGAACAAACAGAAACACAAACAGTCGCTCTGGCCGAAGAAGAAAGCTCTTCGATTGCCGAACGATCGCGTGAAGCGGAAGCAGTGGTGGCGCTGTTGTCGCCTCAAGACGCGCAAAGACACGACTCGGAAGAGTCGCTGAACGAGTGTGCGGCCCTCCTGTCGAACGAGGAGGCGGCAGTTCCGTTCGCAGACGACGACGAAGAAGTCGTTTGAATTGGTTTTGAATCACTTTATGACTAGTTTTTGACTAGTTTTTGACAAAAATAAAGAAATGACTCATTTGTTGAGTTTGTTTTGGAGTTGAATCAGTTGTTGATGTGATAAACCGTCTTCTTCGGTGTTCTGTTGGATCTGAAGACCCGAATCAATCCATTTTAGGGCTTCTTTGGGTTTTTTCATTGCAATCAAGACTTTTGCAATCCATAAATGATTTCCAATCCATTCGTTTCTCAATTCATTTGCTTTTTCCAAAGCATTCAACGCCTCCGCGAAAGTCGACTCAGGAGGCGTTCCGAAGAAGGTTGCGGCCAACTTGCGTTCCATCCAAGACAGAGACGCCACTTCATAGCACCATCGTCCGTACATATGGTGCAGAAGTCGGTCGTTTGGGTCGAGTTTTCGAGCGATATCTGAATGGACTTTGAATTCATGTCCGCATTCGATGCGTTCTTTAGTCGGCAGAAAAGGAGACAACCGGCCGACTGCCGCACACAACCATTTGTGGGCTTCGAGAGACTGTTGTTCGGCGACTACGGCTGCTTTTGCGTGACCGACGGCTGCAATAGACCAACGCTTGCATTCGTCTTTTTGACCGTTTTTTTCGGCCAAATCTGACAGAAGAAGAGCCACTTTGGCCAAACGCCAGAGAAGTTGGACGTCGTTTGGATTATCGGCGGAAGCGGTGTTGAGTTGTTTGTAGATTTGGTTTTTGTCGGCGGAAATGGAGTCGATTTGTTGGTCGAGAAGAGAGAAATCCATTTTTGCGACGTTTTTCTCGAGTGTTTGGTTTGTAATGAGTTTTTTGAGTACTTTTTCAGTGTTTTATCTCTAATACTAATATCTAATGCTTTTTAATGACATTTAAATGTTAGATAAGATGTGAGGCGAGGAAAGACCTCAATGTAGTGAATAAACAGTTGTTTGAGTCATAAAATAATTGCAAACTCTGTTAATTGGTTTTAATTGCGGCAAAAATCCGAAATATATTTACATTAATACATAATTTGTGAGAATTTTGTGCAAAAACTCTGGATTTTTTGCGTTTCGTTTGGATTTGAATTTCAAATAATTTATTAATAACTGCTTTTCATGACAAATGAGTTCGTATTTGCAATAAAAAAGTTTATTGTATGAAAAAACTTGATTTATAGGCAATGAATGCGCGCTTAAGGCAGACCTATAGTGCACTAATCACAGGTAGTTGAGTGCACAGGTAGTGCAGTCGTAGTAGTCGTAGTCGTAGTAGTGGTAGAGAGCGCACGGTTGGCCAAAACGACTAATTTTAATAAATAATTGTTTTAAAGGTTTTTTGAGAAATTAAGTCTATTTTGGTGTTTGTCTTGTAATTGGTTTTGATTTTCTCCACGAAAGTCATTAGTCGTTAATTTAATTGCGAGTTTCGCTTTGATTTTGGGTTTATTTCGTGTTTGGAAAACAAGTGTTGGTTGTGTTGACCGAAACAGAGCCTCAGGCGCTCTCAGATTCAGAGAAAGCGGTTAATGTGTTTCAGGAGAGAGTCATTAAAAAGTTTTTCAATCAAATCATTATTTATTATTCAAACAAAAAAAAATTACACGAAATCTCTGTCTTTAATAACAAATCAAATAACAAATGCATAAAATTTCTATAAAACAAAACGTTTTCTAAATTTCTACAAAAAACACAACAAAATAAAGTCTACCGGTTTTACAATGAGTCTAGAGATCATCGGGAGTACACGTGATGACTATTTACAGGACAGAGGTGTCGGCGGCGGACAACTGACGGACGGATTGACGCAATATCAAAGACTAAGGCATAGGTTTATAGGTTTATAGGCTTTCTCTCTAAAGCTCTTAATAAATATGAAAAATGCGAACGAATGAGGCTTTCGTTGACTGAGAAGCGACCCAAAGACCCACTGACCCAACACTGACCCTCACTTGCACTCAGACGGTCGCCAACCCGTCGCGTTTGGACCGAATTTGTAGACAAGTCTTCGGCCGAAAACGGGAAGCAAAACTTGCGATTTGTAGTAATATCTGAACGGAAAACGGGATTCAGAACGGGAAAACGGGAACGGGAATCGTGAAAACGGGATTACTGACCGCATTGCGCGACTTAGCTTTTCGTAAGTCATTCTCGGGTTTTGTTTGCGTTCGCCCCACATTTTGGCCACTTTATCGGACTGGACGAACTTGAAGACGCCATCTTCACGTCTTTCCCATCGAATCATTCCTGGATTTGTCGCCGAATTGAGCAGAAGATCGCGAATAAATTCCCAAAGTTTTCCATTTCCTTTTGCTATCAATTAATTGCAATTAAACTCCAATTCCTTCCAAAATATGACTCACTTCTGACTTTTGCGTCCTTTTTCGGAGGCCTTCCTCTGCGTCCAGCTCTCTTTACGGCCAATTGTGGAGTAGGAACGGGAGTTGAGTCGACGGCCAGAGAATTGGCGCACATTTGAGTGGAAAACAAAGGTTTGCGTTCATTGACGGCCGTCGGGTTGGAGGCCGTGGACTCGCGGTCCGAATCTGAGTTCGGATTCGTTGAGAAAAAGAGAGAAAAGTGTAAAAGACTTACCGGAAGATGGAGAAGCGTTTTGACAGCAATGAGCGTCCAAATCGAGACAAGTTGTGGTCAAGAGGTCGGAAGGGAAGTTGGAGGAAGAGAGGGGAGGAATGGGACGGAATTGGGATTGCGTTTGATGAAGAGCGTCGAAGATCTGGTGTCCGAAAGCCGGACAAACGGACGTGAAGTACTCTCTACGCATTTGACACAATTCGAAGCCCGGCATTGGGTTATAGAGCAGATGAGCAAGGTCCAGGTCCGCAACACCGTTGTGTATGGCCCAGGCGCGCATCCAGTCGGAAGTGTCGGTTGGAGACCATTGATCGGGAGGACGAAGAGCCCAACCGTCGCAGAAATCAAGAGCGAAATCGTCTGCAGAGGAAAATGCAGAAGAAGTCGATCCGAAAAGCGGATTGTCTTCAGAGTCGAGAAGACATTGAGAATCCATTTCGTAGAACTCGAAGAACTGATTCGTCGGATATATAGAGGCCATGACTGAAGAGATAAATGTGAAGAAAGAGAGAGAAGTGAAGTGAAAGTCAAAATACGACCGATTTTTAAGACCGGTTTGGGGAGGGGAAGGGGCGGGCAAAACGGGACTGACTGACTGACCGACCGGGTGGCCGGGGGCGAGAGTTGGACTCTTATAACGACTCAATGAAAACCGGTTTTGACTCTGCTTTCACTGATTGACCTAAAAGTCTAAGAAATAGAGGTCGTCTTCAAAGAGGACAAGAGTTCAGTAGCGCATTGGGTCGACCGTTAGTTATAGCGTGAGTCCCGTCCCGTTAGTCCCGTCCCGTCCCGTTCGAGACTTTCATTACTCACTTCTCCTCTCTTTAGAACTGAATAAACGACTCATTCTTTCGCTTCGTTTTCGACTCAAAACTCTGTTTCAAAACTATTAGAATTACGTCACAAAACGTCAAACCATGCGATTGGCTTAGAGTGAGAGGGGGCGGGACGGCCGGCGGTGATTGACGCGGAAACTGCGGCGGAAGGAACAGACAGCGATTCGCGGAAATAATAAATGAGTGATTTTATTGAGTGATGCGTTTGATGTGACATTTCTGGCACAAAAGGTGTCCGTTCAAGGGATAGCACGTGCCGTCGGTTAACTGGAGATGACATTCTTCGCAGATATAACAATCGACGTGAAAGTCTTTGTCCATCGAAACGACGCGAACCGTCTCTTCAGAACCTTCCAGCGGAACTATTGGAGTCAAACAAACGGCACACTTCGGGGCAAACAGTTTGTGGTAATCATTGACACAAAATATCCGATTCTGAACGTCAACAGTGAACGGAACGCCGTCTAAACACTCGTTGCACGCGTGACACCGGAAGCACCCAGGGTGGTACGACTTTCCCATCGCCTGCAATATCATCTCCATTATGAGATGTCCACAAATGGCACATCTGTCGGCCGTTTGTTGAAAACCGCAGTAAAGATAGTCTTCTTCGCAATAAACTTTTCCCAAAACGTTGTAAAAGGCTTTTCCTCTGAGAGGACGTCCACAAGAACAACACGTGAAACAATGCGTGTGATACAGATTGCCCATTGCTTGACACGCGTCGATAACGCCGTTCACTCTTTCGCAACACTGACAACAGATCCCGAAGAAGTCTCCTTTCGGTTCGTTTTCCATTTCGCGTTCGATCGCCGAAGTCAGCGCTTCCACCTTAATTCACCGACAATTAACGTCTTAATCTCAAAACATATCCAAACAAACCTTTTTCTCGGCTTCTGTCATTCCTCGAGGTCGTGGAGGCGTCACTTCATATGACAACAAAGGCTGAGAACGCGGAAAATCCTGTGTTTTCGACCGCACTTTTGTGGTCACGTGTTGCGCCGAAACCGACTTCGGAGCCGTCGGAGGATCTGTTGGTCACGAAATTGTCAAAATGGGATCAATTGGTAGAAATACTGACCGGAGACGGGCGCAGTCGGGAGCGGTGCGGCGGCGCGCTGGTGGAGAGCGGGTGGCGGTGGTGGCGGACGAAGCGGTCGGCGAACGCTTTTGTCTGTCTTTTTCTCATCAAACGAGAGATCTTTGAAAATGTCTTTCAAGTCGTCCATCACTTGAAGTGCTTTTACTTTGTTGTCTGAAAAACGCTTTTCGTTGTCAACAGAGGGCGACACGTGTTCTGTCGAAATGCAGTTTCGATTCAAAGTGTCGAACAATTGGACGAAAAAATCAATCGTAAGTCGAAAGTAGACGTAAAAAGTGGCCAAACATTCGTCGGGAATCGGCTTTAATTCAGTTCGGATCAAATCGCTTCCGATTCGGAAAATCGGGAATCGCGACAAAAATGCGGCCGAGGATTGAGTTTTCCGACAAAATGTTTACCGAAAAGTGTTTTCAGTTTTTGTCTGATTTTCGGCTGAATTTCCGAAACTTTTTTTGTTGTTTTAAATAAAGATTTTTTTAAAAAGATTTTTTGTTTTATTTCATTCATTGCTTTAATTGAATAGAAATTAGAGATAAATTCAATTCTTTTAATTGATTGGTCTTTAAATTAATTAAAACCCGATTTCTGACCATTGAGTCAATGATTGGTCACTTAATGATCGCGATTTCCGACTTTGTCTTTCAATTGATCCGAAAGGTGTCGCTTCTCTGGTAAACAAAGCGGTGATCAGTTGGATGAGCGCATGCGTGGAGTGAGTGCTGAAGTGCTCGCCATTTGTCTAAAAGTTTGGATAATTTGGAAGAATGAAAGCCGAAGACCACGACTTCGACGGTTGGCGGTCGTCGTCCGCCTCTCATTATACAAGCCATGGCCAGTCTTTGGGTGGATCAGGGTCTGGGTCTGAGTATCACATGTCATACTATCCGGTGAGCACTCCTGCAGCCGTTTTTCCGTATTCCGAATCGGGATCTCAGCCGTGGAGTAATGGAGAACACATGCCGTTTCTGACCGGACAATACACCGATCATTCTCAACAACAACAACAACACTATCCGATGGATTTGTTTGGTTCTCAAAACACATACGGTTTCGGTTCAATGGCTTCGACCGTTCCGTCGACGCCCTTCAACTTCTTTCCCTCCAATTCGGACCCGTTTTGGGGTAACTCCAAGAACCGATCGCTCGCACCGACGGCCGCACCTCAGTATAGACTTCATGACGACTATAGCTATCATTCGACCGATTCTTATGCCGTCAATGATATGAAACCTCTTGAGTCTGGAATCGGAGGTAAGTGTGTCGTCCGAGACGACGACTGGACGACACAGAGACGACGTATTGATTGATGCGATTGTATTTCAGGTCTATCTTTGGACAATTTCACCAAAACTAGTGATCAGTTCTCCAAACCGTTTGACAAGAAGTTTGATTCGATGTCCGCCGCGTCTGTCGTCGGTTCGCAACCCAAGAAGACCACGTGGGCATCGATCGCGTCACAACCGGCAAAACCAGCGCCAAAGTCGCTCAAATCGAAGATGTCTTCGGCGTCTGTTTTGACGGGTCAGACCAAGCATTTACCGCCAGCGATGGACGCGATCGGAACCTGGGACCAGAAGAATGGATCGGCAGTTAAGACACCACCTCTACCGCCCCCGCCTCTCATCCAGAAGACGCCAACCACCACAACCACTACCAGTACTCCTTCGCAGTGGACGCCATCTTCGGCATCTCGAGCTGTGGCGCAAACGCCTCGATCGCAACCACAAACACGACGCGAAGAGACGACGGCTTCCGTGCCGTCAAATGATGGTCCGTCGTCCGGGACGTCGACGAATGCGTCGTCCGGAGCGCCGCATCCGGTTTTAGATAAACTTCGCGTTGAAAACAATTATAATCCAAAAGAGTTTGATTTAAACGCAAAAAACATCCGTTTTTTCATTATTAAGTCGTATTCTGAAGACGATATTCATCGATCCATTAAGTACTCGATCTGGTGTTCGACCGAACACGGAAACAAACGACTGGACGCGGCCTGGAGGGCACATGAAGGCAAAGGAGTCATTTATCTGTTGTATTCCGTCAACGGATCCGGTATTTCATTTTCCCAACGATTTTCCCATTAATTCCGATTAATTGCGTTTCAGGCCACTTCTGCGGAATGGCACAGATGATGTCTCCGGTCGATTACCAGGCGTCATCGTCGGTTTGGGCTCAAGACAAGTGGCGTGGTCAATTTCGCGTGAAATGGATTTACGTGAAGGACGTCCCGAACGCCCAATTGCGTCACATCCGACTGGAAAACAATGAGAACAAACCCGTGACCAACTCGAGAGACACTCAGGAGGTTCCGGCGGAAAAGGGGAAGCAAGTGGTGAAGATTATGCATCTTTTCAAGCATTCGACGTCTATTTTCGATGATTTCCTTCATTACGAGAAACGACAAGAAGAAGAGTCCATCCGAAGAGTGGAAGTCGTCGAAAGAGTTCCCGAACGACCAGAACGGCCGGTCGAGCGGGAACGGGAGCGTGACAGGGACCGGGAGAGGGACCGGGAGAGGGATCGCGAGCGGCGAACAAACGACAGCCGAAGACAATGGAAATGAAGACAAGAGTGCAGTGAAAGTGTTTAAAGGGTTTTAAAGACAGTTAAAGACAGTTAAAGACAGTCTGTGACAGAACTGAAGTGACTTTTTTACAATAAATGCGTTCGTGAGACCACTTCTAGTGGTTCTCACGCGCGATCACGTGCACAAAGTTGTCGCAATGCGCCAAATGCCGGCCCAACCACGTCATGGGCGTTTCGGGGGGCGGCTCCACGCCCTGAACGACCAGACGCCATTGTCGCCAATCGGATCCAATCACCGACTCCGCCACTTCACCCAAAGTCGCCGAACTCGAGACGAGTTTCTGCGCATGCGGTGTAGAGCGGAAGTGGACTCTCGTGGGAACATGGCGGAATTCGCCGGAAACCAGTTTGCGGTTGATTGTCCAGAACTGTTCGAATCGATTGTTGCAAAGACCGCGGAACAGCTCCTGGTGATCGCGTTTCTGCAGCTGAGCCATGACTGGCGGCTTATTCTTGAGCGCATCTGATTCCTTCAGAGCAGACATGAGAATGGCTTCTACGGCTGCGCGAGACTGACATCTGACGAGAATGTCTTCGGGAAAGTCGCGGAAATGGATGTTTAGAATCCAAGGAATGCCTTGTTTTTCGCCAAACAAGTCGAATAAGACTCCGATCGGTAAATGCCATCTCAAGGGTTGTCCATCGCAATCAAGCCAAACGTCTTTTGCCGTAGTTTTCGGTTTCAATTGTTGGATAACGCGATCCAAAATCAACGGTAAATACGATTGTCTCGGAACCATTGTCTTCGGTATAATTCAATCAATTAGAATATCATCAATTAGAATACTCACGAAAAAGGGATCTGGTTCGGCCAGAGAGTCGACCTCATTGGCCGCCAGACGGAAACCGATCGGTAAAAGCGAAGACCAGACGAGTCGCGCGACATCTGCTTCTTCAGTCATTTCAACGCTTTTGTTGACAAATTCAATGTTTTTCTACGCATTTCTTCTACACTTTGAGTCGATATTTGTGTACTGTTTCTATAGTAACAGTTTGTTCTGTGTTTTGGACGCCATTTGCGTCATGTCTTTGATCTGCGAAACGATTGCTTCGGACGAAGAGTTATCGCACGGAAAGACAGATGAAGACGAACTCGACTTCGATGAAGAGGTCAGAGAAGCAGACACTGGAGTGAATGCGACGGAAGAGCGCACTGAAGAAGGTTTGAGTGGTTTTTAGGAAAAAGAGTTTGAATTGAATTTGAATTTTAAGGAGAATTGGATGAAGACGACGACTTGGAGGAAGGCGAGGTCAAGGAGGACGACGAAGAGGAGGGCGAGGACAAGGCAGAGGCCGTCAAGGAGGCGGGCGGGCGCTCGACCAGTATTTGTCGGTTTTACGGAAGAGGACAATGTGAGCGAGTCATGTGACCACACCTTTGTCTAACTGTCTTGTTCTTCAGGCACGTGGGGCAACAACTGCCGATTCGTCCATCCGTCCGGAACTCTTGTGAATCCAATTAATCCGCAAATAAATCACGTCTCAAATCAACCAATCAAACGACCGCCTCCTCCTCCACCACGAAGACCTGCACGCGATTTCTATTCGGCCGTAAATGCCGTCAATGCGGGCGTTGAGGGAGGCGTGGGAGGAGGGCCGGGAGTGGGCGGAGGAGAGAGTGCGTGGGAGAGGGGTTTGAAGCAAGCGAAGGAAATGATTGTTAGATCCGCGAGACGTAAAGAACAAGAAACCGATTTCGAAGACAAAAGATTTCATTTAGGAGTCGAAGAAGAGTCGGAAATAAATGCCGGAAATGACGGACGCGAAGACGAATACGAACGCAGAAGGAGACTGGCCTTCGAGTCGGCTCCGTGGAACAACGACGAACCCACCCAAGGAGCACCGCCGCCCGGACCGCCGCAAAGACGCAAAGATCCGGAACAATTCAGAGATCCGTGGCGCAGATCTACTACTCCACCCGTTGCCGGCAATTGTCCTCCAATACGACGAAGACCTGAACAGCAAAGACCGAAACAGAGATCGGATTCAATGTCTTCTATTTCGGGATCGGATTCGGGTTCAGAGTTTTCCGGATCTTCTTCTGAATTTTCTGAATCCACAGAAGGATCTGGAAGATCTGGAGGAAGAAGAAGATATCGGAAAACAGAGGGCGAAAAGAAACCGAAACGAGGCTTAAGAGAAGCCAAACCCAGACCAGAAAATACCGAAAAATTCACCGAAAATTGGGCCAAAACTCAGACCGACGTCCGGGACGACGACTACGATTCGTGGAGCGAGAGTTTAAGTGAATCCGAAGACTCTTCCGCTTCTTTTTGCTCCGAATCAGACGCTTCAGGAGAAGCGCGCATTCCCAAACGCGCCGATGGACATCCGCCTCCTCCGAAGCGAGCAAAAGTTCAAACACAACGACCCGACGGCCCGAAAAAGTCGCCGATAAAAATGACTTTTATGAAAAAGGTTTGCTTTCTATTAATTAATTTGTTTTAATTGTTTTGATTGTTTAGCACCCGAACCTCAAGAAGGACATCGGAGCGACGGTTGCGCAGAAACTAAACGGCGGCCGTGAAGTGTCTCCCGAAGGCCCGATACCGGACGACGACCGCATTTCCACGAAAACGGCGTCTCCTTTGGCTTCAGAACCGACTTCTCCTCCGCCGCCGCGTGATTCCAAGTCTTTGATGGCAACAGTTTCGCGCAGAGAAGAGCTTTTACAGCAATTGAAAGCCGTTGAGGACGCGATCGCCAGAAAGCGGTCGAAAATCAATTGATTTTCATTTAATAATACTTTTCATTCATTTCTATAATAAATGTTTTCACACGTTATTTGTGTTTATTTATTGAACATTTGATTGTTTGGTCTTTTGTTGAGTATGTATTGCATTGCGTTCCAGTGTTTAAAAGGTCTAAAGTGTCGGTTAATGTGTTATTATAATTGACTTCCTTTTCCTTTTTGTCTGTCTTTTAGTTAACTCTTGTTTTAGAAAAAAGTCTTGTATTTTTGGATCCGATTTAGAGAACAATTAAAAGACAAAATGCCGGCAAAACGTATGGGAATGATCCCAAACGCTCACTTCCGTAAGGATTGGCAGCGATTTGTGAAGACATGGTTTGATCAGCCGATGCGCAAAAAGAGACGGCATTTGGTGCGCGTGGCCAAAGCGGCCAAAGTCGCCCCGAGGCCAACACATCGACTCAGACCAGTCGTTCATTGTCCGACAATTAAATACAACTCGAAGGTTCGGTTGGGACGAGGATTCTCTTTAGAAGAGTTGAAAGCCGCGGGAATTGCGAGACGAGAGGCGCCGAGTGAGTCTTCTCTCGGATCAGTTTAATCTTTACTAATCATTGCTTTCCGTAGCTATTGGAATATCTGTGGATCACCGAAGAACCAACAAATCGGTGGAATCGCTTCAGAGAAACGTCAGAAGACTAAAGGAATATCGATCGAGGTTTGCATCAAATCTTTGGTTAATTCGAGACAATTATTATAATTTTATTTCAGATTAATCCTCTTCCCATTGGTCAACAAAAAGCCGCGCAAAGGCGACGCTTCGGCTGAAGAACAGAAACTGGCGCATCAATTGGTCGGAACTATTCTTCCGCTGAAACGAGGAAAACAGTTCCTCAAGAGTGAAAAGTCACGTGTTCCCACTGAAGAGGAGCGCAAAGCGAACGCCTATCACAGCATTCGTCAGGCGCGGGCCAACGCGGCTCTGATCGGCAAAAGGGCGAAGAAGGCCAAGGAGGCGGCCGAGAGTTTGGATGCGCCGAAGAAAGCGGCGAAAGAGTGAATAAATGAAAGTTTTATTGAATAAAAGTTCGGTTAATGTTTAGACACGAATGACTTGAGACTAATCGAGAGATTAATAAAGATTAATAAAGACCACAACCGCGAAGGTTATTGGCAATGATGACGTCAGTGACCGCGTCGAACACGAACTGGATGTTCGTGGTGTCGGTGGCGCACGTCATGTGACAGTAGATCTCTTTGGTGGTCGACTTGTTCTTCGCCTCGAATTGCGCCTGAATGTAGGCCGCGGCTTCTCCGTACTCTTGCGCGCCTAAGAGTCAGGGATTAGTTGTATTGTATGGATTGAATGGATAATTACCGGTATATTCGGGAAAACAGATAGTAAGCGGAGATTTTTTGATCTTTTCTTCGAATAAATCCTTTTTATTGAGAAAAAGAATAATCGAAGTGTCGGTAAACCACTTGTTATTACAAATGGAGTCAAAAAGCTTCAGACTTTCTTGCATTCGATTCTGTAATCATTTCAGCGATTAATCGAAAATCGATATCGAAGTCAATCAACAATACAAACCGTGGTCTCGTCCTCGTGAAGCACCTGATCGTATTCACTCATTGCAACGCAAAAGATAATAGCCGTCACGTCTTCGAAGCAATGGATCCATTTCTTGCGTTCCGACCTTTGACCTCCGACGTCGAACAACTTGAAGTTGAGGTTTTTGAAGGAGAAGTGGACTTCGACGATTCCCGTGGTCTTAACTCTTGTTCTCAGAATATCCTGTTCCGTCGGCATATAGTCTTTGCGTCCCAATCGGTCCAAGTCGTCCAGAAAACTAAGCGGAAGTTCAAACATTAATCCTTAATATAAGAAAGTCATGAAAAACGGACTATTTTGCCGAATCGTTGAGTTGGTATTCATTGGAACGTCCGAAACACTCCTGAACCCCTATATCCACCCAAAGACGCTTCATTGCGGCCAACAGTTCGTCGGAAAAGGGCTCCGTGTCTTCCATACGCGACACGACGTCGAACACCATCTTGGCGTCTTGGTCGCGGTCATTCCCGCCGAACGCGAGACCAAGGTTCGGCATTGCGCGCAGAATGGCCACCATTGACTGAATGGTGTTCGAGTAGACGACCGGTTTGTACTGTTTGAAGTCTTCGGGAGTGAATCCCGAGTCGTGGATGATTCTATAGAAAGTGGGAGTGGTCAGTCAGTCAGTGTTTAATCAGTTTTTCCGATAATTACTTCATTTGTTTGACAATTGTCGACTTTCCGCTCTCTCCGGCGCCTGAAATCAAAACGGATCAGTTGGCAGTCATTTCAGTGAATCAGCAATAATACCCAGAAGAAGCAGTTTAATGTCTTTGGCGGCTTGAATCCCATCTTCCTTAAGATTCTTCTCAATCTGTTTGGATCGGGCCAAAGCCGCCCTTTCCTCTGCAGACATCGCGCATCCCATTCTCGCGCACAACTCCAGACCGACTGTTCCTCGAAAAGTCTTCAAAAGGACGAAACGCGGCCTCAAGACAGCGCTTCCATGAAAAACATCGCAAATTAGAACTCAAATCGATTGCAAACAGAAAATGGAGAAAAACACTGACGAAGAGAGAGAGCGCGCGCGCAATGAATGCCAAAGCGATTGCGCGACCAAACAATCGACACAATTATCGCGACATTTGTTCGAGAATTCGACGGAAAAACTAGAATTCGAAACAAAAACTCTTTATTCGAAAAACGGATAAAAACTGAGAAAATCTGACAAAACTTTCACTCAAATCAAAGCCGACGCCCAAAAACACACTTCTCTGCAATACAGTCCGCGCACGCGCACCAACAACATCTCCGCGGGGCAGTCGGCTGATCGGCGGTCAAGTGGTCAGTCGTCGTCGTACTCCAAGTTGATGTTATGACCGAATTTCGCGTAAAGAGTTGTCTTAATTTTGGTCATTTCTGTCCGCATTTCCGACAAAACATTCTTTTGTTTTCCCGTTTTGTCTTCGATTTCGGCTTTTCTTCCTTCAATCCATTCCTCCGCTTCTTCAGCAGACATTCGAGCAAAAACTTCTCCACATCTGACCAGAAGTCCTCCGCTGCCGTCGTTGTCGTCTGCGATCAGGAGTTCGTTGATGGCATCTGAAGCGTTTTCGGCTAATCTGGCGGCCGAAGCCACGTCGGCCTCCAGTTCATCGCATTTGGCATTTAATCGCGCGAAACGATTGATAAGCGTTTGGTCGGCGAGAGTGACCTCACAATCGGCGGTTGAAGACGAATTCGCCATTTTGTTTGTACACTAATTATGTTTTATTATTTACAAGACGTCATTCATGGCCGCAGAACCCGCGTCCACGAGATGTCGCACTAATCGCTTGCAATCGCGACAAACGCGGACTAAAGGGCCGGACTTGCGGTCACCCGAGTCGACGACAACGGCATCGGATTCGCGGGTCAGAGCTCTGTATAGACGAGACTTGGATTCGGGTTTTCTATCCATTTGTGGTTTTCTATCGTTTCTATCGTTTTGCGGAAAATGTTTGGAATTTGTTTCCGAAGGCGGAGAAGGAGTCGGACTTAACATATAAATCGGCACTTTTTCGAACTGAGAAACAGGAATATGCATTCTGACGGCGCATCTGATCCACAGAAAGACATCATGAGATCATTTCAACCAAAAGAATATCACAAACCGGTCACAAACGGCGCGATCGCAGATCCGACACATTCTTTGAGACGAAAATCCAAATAACGAAAAACGCGTTTTCAAACACGTGAAACAGATCCGACCAGATTCAAGGTCATCGCGCAGAGAACGCGTCACGGCCAGAGTCTCGACTTCGGCTCTGGTCAAAACTGATCTAATATGGCGGACTTCTTGCAGAGAAAGCGAAAGCGACTGCACTTTGACCGCGAGTTCGCAATCCTGCCAAACAGCGGCCACATGTGATCTCGTGTCTTCATTTGCATCCAATTCTTCGGGAGTCGAATGTCTTCTTTCGGAACGCAATCGAAGAGAAACTAAAAGAAAATCCGATTAAAAATAAGCGAAAAATAAGCGAAAAATAAGCGGAAAATAATCGGAAAATAAGCGAAAAATAATCGGAAAATAATCGGAAAACAAACGGCTTTTTAGAGAGAATTTTCTGTTTTCTTGCGTTTTCGGACATTTCTTGTCTTCTTCTGAATCCGAATCTTCTAATGACGTCAGAGATAAACGTAAATTGAGATCTGCTTTAATGAGACGACGTTTGGTCGGAACAGATGCTGTTTCCTCGTGAGCGGGTGATGGGACGGGAGGTGGAGTGCGTGAACGCGGGGGTGGAGTCGGTCTGAGTGAAGGTCTGTCCGTTCGAATGCTTTTCATGAGTTTTTCGTAAAGAGATTCTGGTTTTTCGGGTTTTGGTTTGAGTTCTCGTTGTTGTGCGGGAACGAGTGTCGGTCGCGAACGAATGAAATCCAGAATCAACTGATGGGCGTCTCTTTTGGTTCTTTTGTTGTCTTCTTTTGGAATTTGTTTTAATCTATAATTTTGGAAACGAATGTCATTCAGGAGTTTCTCGAAAGGCGTTAACTCGTATTCTACGGCCACTTCTGGCCCGCGAGTCTCGACAGATCTTAATAGTGCTCCGCCACGCATCTGACGGATCACATGAACCCAAAGTCTGGCCCAAGTCATGAATTCTGGCGGAGATTCGTCGTCGTTGTCGTCCTTGGAGTTCGTCGTCCGAGACGACGACTCATTGCGTTCAATGGTTTCGAGAAATTGAGTTAATTCTCGCGTTTCGGAGACCAGAGATCGACAAACGGTTCGGTAATGAGTGGCCGCTGCTTCGGGAGACGCAAAGCGCGCGCAACACATTTCAAGTGCGTCGTCTAATGCTGTCTTTGGTTCGCATTCAATGCCTTCATCTCGAGAGTCGACGTCTTGGACGACGGCTGAAGACATTCGATCGATAAGTCGTTCCAATGGTCGCGACAAAGATGGTTCTTCATCTTCGCGAAGACCATAATCGAGAGCACGAAAGAGAACGACTGCGAGGGCGGCCAACATCTCGTTCTCTGAATTGGCTGAAGAACGACAGTCCGAGTCTACGGAACAAAACAATTGATGTTTTGATTGAAAACAAAGCAAACAAACCGTCGGTAAAAGAGCGGACGTCCACTTCTCCATCGCCGCCGACCAACAGATGTCGCGGTTCACTGACAAGAGCGGACTCTCGGGGCCGAAAGTGGACGCGAATGGCTTTAAGTGTTTGATGCGCTAAAGACCAACATTGCTCTTCATTTACGGCGACTTTAAAGGCCGACAAAATATCGGACAAACAAACGGCGGCCGAGAATGGCATCCGAGAAGAGCTCCGATCAGGCGTTCAGTCGATTGCGTCGTTCGTGAGTCAGAGAGAGTCAGAGAAACGCCATCTGTGGTCAAGATTTCCAAGAATTGAGTTTCAGTTTTCAGAAAAAGATTTCAAATCCAAAGTTTTGGCCAAAAATTGGACGAAAAAAGCGCTAAAAATGAGTCGATTTTTGGTCACAAGAAGTCTTCCCGACGGCGAACACATCGAACTGATCGCTGATTCGCCAGTGGCCGAGCAGACGCGATATGGAGCTGCGGAGCGCGCCGACGCCACGCGTGAGTATGCGTTGATCTAAGAGTTTGAATGCGTAATCAAAGCCTTTGAATGGCGGAGAATAACGACCAGAAAGACGTTGTCTTATCTCCGAAATTCGAGGTTTCGCTGATTGCTTCTGCACCCGATGGCGATGGCCATGGCCAGGCAGACCAGGCCGCGCCGTTTATTGTGTCGATGCCGTCGGAGGAAGGTCTTTAGATGGTCTTCAAGACAATCATTATTAACAGTTATTCTGTTTTCAGAGGACTTCGCGGCGACTAATGATCGACAAAACGCTATGTTTTTGTTTTCCGAAGACGAAGACCGACGCGTGTCCTCTCTATTGTCTCGTTTGGCCAATTATGACGACGCCATTCAACCCATCGATTGCGACACCAAGACTGCACAGCCGCAGAAGGCCAATCTCGGAGTTCTGACCGGAGTTTACTTGCCGTGCATTCAAAACATCTTCGGAGTCATTATCTTCATTCGCATGACTTGGATGACTGGAACTGCCGGCATTCCCGCCTTCTTCGCCATTGTTCTGCTCTGTTGTTCCGTTACTTTTTGCACGGTTTGTCTCTTATTCTTCTTCTTCTAAACTTTGACCCAATTTTCCGCTTTTCAGTCCATTTCGTTGTCCGCAATCGCCACCAACGGCATTGTCCCGGCCGGTGGATCCTATTTCATGATATCTCGCTCTCTCGGACCCGAATTCGGAGGAGCGGTCGGCGTTTTGTTTTTCCTCGGAACTTCAGTGGCCGGAGCCGTAATTACCGAATCAATTAGTCTTCAATTGAATTCAATTAATCTGTCTTTAGATGTACATTGCGGGGGCGGTGGAGATTTTGCTCAACTATTTGTGTCCACAATTTGCGTTATTCGGAGACTTCGAGGCCGACAAAGACATTCTCTATCATAACATCCGAATCTATGGAACGCTTTTCCTCGCAATCATCGGTTTTATGGTCTTCATTGGCGTCCGTTTCGTCTCCAAGTTCGCGCCAATCGCCCTGCTCTGTGTCCTCATTTCCATCGCTTCCATTTACGTCGGGATTTTCGTCAATTACTCCGGAATTTCCAAATACGAGATTTGCGTAATCGGAGAACGACTTCTCTCAACCAAAGGTCAAATCAATTGTTCGGAACTGTCTCTGGAACCGCTCTTCTGCAACCAGACATATTGCGATCCGTTCTTCGCCGCCAATCGCCACCGCGTTCACACGGAACTGGCGATTCCGGGTCTAAGTTCTGGTGTTTTTTGGGACAATATATTTCCGAAATTCCGTTCGAAAGACAGTCTCGTCGTTAAAGGGATTTCTCATTCGGTTTCCGCCGAAGAAAAGCCATTTCTGACGCAAACCAACTCTGTTTTCGTGGACATCACCACTTCCTTCACGATTTTGGTGGCAATTTACTTTCCGTCTTGTACGGGAATTCTGGCCGGATCCAATCGTTCGGGAGACTTGGCGGATGCGCAGAAAGCGATTCCTTTGGGAACTCTTGGCGCTCAGTTGACGACATCTTTTGTCTATTTGTCGGTAATTCTGTTATTCGGCGCGTCTTTTAATCCGCTTTTCATTCGCGACAAATTCGGCGAATCGTTGGGCAAAGAGTTGGCCGTGACGTTGATCTCGTGGCCACACCCTCTGCTGATTCTGATTGGCGCTCTGTTGTCGACATTCGGTGCTGCGCTTCAGTCGCTGATTGGTGCGCCGCGTCTTCTTCAGGCCATCGCCAAAGACAATGTGATTCCGTTTTTGGATTCAATAGATTACGTCAACAAAAGAGGAGAACCCGTCAAAGCAATCATGGTTTCGCTCGTAATCGCCGAATGTGCTATTCGTAAGCCATCACTAATCCATTAATCCATTGACTAATCCATTCTCTAATCAAGTGATCGGAAACCTGGACTTCATAGCTCCGATTCTGACCATGTTTTTCCTCATGTGTTATATGTTTCTGAATCTGGCATGTACCGTTCAATCGCTTCTCCGGTCGCCATCTTGGAGACCGCGCTTTCGCTACTTCCATTGGACGATATCTTTGATTGGCATCTTCTTGTGTCTTTTGGTGATGTTGTTGTCTTCGTGGATCTACACCATTTGCGCGATGGCTTTGGCGGCTTTTATCTACAAATATATTGAATATCGCGGCGCAGAAAAGGAATGGGGAGACGGCATCCGCGGTCTCGCACTCTCCGCCGCCAGATTCTCGCTGTTGCGTCTGGAGGAAGGGCCGCCGCACACCAAGAACTGGAGACCGCAGTTGTTGTGTTTGGTTAAACTGCAGGACTCTTTGGATGTGAGGAATCGTCGTCTTTTGACTCTTGCTTCTCAACTAAAGGCCGGAAAGGGATTAACTATTGTGGCGTCGGTTCTTCATGGTCAATTCGAACAAGATGCCGGACTCGGGAATGCGGCCAAACAGAGTCTCAGGTCAACAATGGACAGGGAACGCGTCAAAGGGTTCGCGGAAGTGGTCGTCGCCCGAGACGTCGCAGCAGGTTTGAGTCACGTGATTCAGACGGCAGGTTTGGGAGGTTTGAAACACAACACCGTGATGTGTGCCTGGCCTAACAAATGGCGTCATTCGACTTCGAGGGACAAACATGTCCGGTTCTTGAGTTTGGTTCGGGCCGTGACTGCGGCGAATGCGGCGTTGGTTGTGGCGAAAGGATTGCCGCAGTGGCCAGACAATAACGACCGATTGGGCGGAACCGTTGACATTTGGTGGATTGTGCACGATGGCGGACTTTTGATTCTGTTGGCGTACGTGTTGTCTCAACACCGGACTTGGAGGTCATGTCGTCTTCGGGTGTTTACTGTCGCGCAATTGGAAGACAATTCGGTTCAAATGAAAAAAGATTTGGAAAAGTTTTTGTATCATTTGCGGATCGAAGCCGCCGTAGAAGTCATCGAAATGAGTGATTCAGGTATTAATCCGATAATCCGTTGATCCACTAATCCCACTAATGCCTTAATCCGTTAATCCGTTAATCCGATAGACGTCTCGGCTTACACTTACGAACGAACGATTCTTATGGAACAAAGAACTCAAGTTTTGCAGACAATAGCGGCCAATGAAATGCCGGCCATCGCGTCGTCCAATGACTTGAAACCCGACGAACTCAATGTCCGCCGAATGCATACCGCCGTTCGTCTGAATGAAGCGATTCTGGCCAAAAGTCACGCCGCCAAACTGGTCATCGTGAATATGCCGGGAATCCCGCGCAACATGTCTTCGCAAAGCGGATCCGAAACCAATTATATGGAATTCGTTGAAGTCTTGACCGAAGGATTGGAACGCGTGTTATTAGCGCGCGGTTCGGGTCGTGAAGTCATTACTATTTTCTCTTAGATTAAGCACTAAAAGCACGTCATTTATGTCCGAACGCCGAATTGGGTCACAAAACGCGTCGCATTCGCGATGTTTCTCTTTGTCGTCGGTTTCGGTAATCAATGATTAATCCGATAATCCCTTAACTAATCTCTTATTAGTTCTATATATAGTCTTTTTATGCCACTCTTTTGGCCAACATTTCGACGCTCAACGCGTCCGCGATTCGCGAGCAATGGTTTTCCGTCTGCGAAACGTCTCGTCGCCCGACGTCTCCCGGATGCCTCCATTTGTCCAAAGGTTAGGATTAAAGACGAAGAAATCCAAGAAAATAATCTCTTCTTCTTCTTCTTAGAGGACATTCGCTCAAAACCTCTGACCATTTATTAGACGAAATGGAGGTTCCGGACGCCAGACGACGTCAGGACGACGACCGCACGACGCAAACACGACACGCCATCTCTAATACTCAGCGATACCGCGGACGCGAAAAGCGCCGCCGAATGCGCACTTCGACTACCAGCAGCACTACTACTTCTACTACAACGACGACGACAACAACAACGCCGGCACCAGAATATTACGGTAAGCAAAGAGACAACGACTGGACGACGACTAAAAAGTTGATTAATATTTAGATTACGACGACTATTACGACGATTACGACTATCACGTGACGACAACTACGACAACGACAACAACTGCTTCGCCTGGAAGACGACGTCAAAACCGTCGTCCGGGTAGACGAAGGTTTCGTCGTCCAACAGAAGCACCGACGACGACGACGACAACCACTTTGTCACCCAATTATAAGCAAAGACCCGACGGAAGAATCATTGACTATTCAGCGGATCCCAACTTCCCGTACGAACTTCGCGGCGCTGACCTCACGGAATACCCGTTTTACGTGTCGATTCCCGAATCCAAGTTTTCGTGTTCGGGAAGACACGACGGATATTACGCTGATATCAGTCTGTTTTGTCAAGTGTATCATCACTGCGCTTCTGGACACCAAAGATACGATTTTTTGTGTCCGAATTACACGCTCTTCGATCAGACGACTTTCACGTGTCGTTTCGTAAATACAGTCGATTGTCTGAATTCGGAAAACCATTTCAACCGAAACAACGAATTATACGTCACAACAATCCAATCAACAAATGCCGCGCGAGTGACCAACGCCACCACGTGACCCGATTTATTAGACTGTAAATAGCATTAAAACTGATTTTAAGCCGATTTCTCAGTCGCGATGTCCGACGCCGACGGCAACACCACTTTCTCCTGCGTTTGCGTCGATTTGAGTCGCGATTTGTCCGCCGACTCGATGGACGCCAACAATGCCTGTTGAGAGCGCTCTTGTGTCAGGTCTTCAGCCGACGGCAAAATGACCTTTTCGGCGGTTTCCGTGTGTCTTAACTGATGGTCTTCCGACTCGAGAGCCGATTTCAAGGGATTGGTTAACGGTTTCGGCAAATGTTCGGCCATTTCTTGGATTAATTCGATTCTAAACGCAAAACAAAGCAATAGTTTTGACAATAGTTTCAAATGTTCTGTCAGTCTATCCAACAGTTCTATAGTCTATCCAACAGTTCTATAGTCTATCCAACTATACAACAGTCCTCTCAGTCAACACCCAAACGGTGAGTCATTCCCTCCGTTCCCCCCTTTGGTCCCCACAGGACGTCCTCCCAGTCCTCGTCTGCCACCAGATGTCGACACTCTGGCCATTGACCCAATTCAAGGTCAACTTTGGGCCAAAAATATTCGGAATTTCGGCCAAAAGTTTATTAACTTTTTCTCAAAATTTGTATTTAAAGTCAAAACTCGTCTAAAAGTTATTTAAAACTCATTCAAAGCTCGAAATGAATCCAAACTTTGTTTCTCTTGTTTTTTTTGGTCTTTTTTTTGTCCAAATTAAAGGACAATATTCGCCGCAATCTCAACAATATCCACGAATCAAAATCGGTGGACCTCTCGGACAATTGGTTCCAAATGGCATTCAATTGGGAGCCGGTCTCGGGTCGATTCTCAACTCACTCATTGGCGAATCCGCCGCTTCTTCGCCTTCCGTCGCCGTCCAACACCCGCCGCCGCACCGGCCGTCTCATCCACAACTGGATCTGCCCTTCGCCGCCAACACTCCGTTCGCGATTCGTGTTCCGTCGGCGTCGTCTGGCCAACAAATGCTGCAGAAGTATGGATCAGCTCTTTTCGGCCAACAGATGGCGTCGCAATCTTTTTTACCACAAAACGAAGGTTTGTCTCAAAAATACGTTTTTTTCTCTTTTTTAACACTTTTTTACCGAAAGTTCTTTCGGCCGCCGCTTCCGAACATTATTCAACTTTGAGTGACTCTGCGCTGGCAAATGGGTCACTGAGAGGTCATCGCCCGCGAGTTTACGGTTCGTTGACCCCCGACTTGTCCTGATTAGAGTCGCTTTTGTCGCGATTTGTAAATAAATTATAAAATAAAACATTTTTTTATAAATAAAATACTTTTTATTCGAAATAAAGTTTCAATAATTTAATCGAATTTTTTACAAATAATGACTTTTTATACAAAATGAACGCTTTTTTAATGCTATCAATGCTTTGAATCAATGGCGACGTCGTTCGCGGTCGTCGTCCGAGACGTCGTCTTCCGATTCAGTTGTCGTCCTGTCGTCGTCCGAGTCGTCAATTGTGACGCGTTTTCGTTTTCGACGCTTAGGTTCGGGTTTAGTCGGCGTTCGCTTTAAATCAATACCAATGTCTACGAGAGTCACCTGACATGAGTTGCGACGAATAGAGTCGAGCAGTCGTTTGCGTTCGTTATCATTGAGATCGTCGTCGACGCGAGTCGTCGTCCGGTTGACGACCTGATGGTCGATGAGTGTCGTCCGTGCGTCGTCCGGAGCGACCTTCTTTCGGATCACAAATAGTTTGTTATGAATCAACTGATTCGACACATTCGGGTCATTTGAGGTCAATGCCACAGATTTAAAACGTTTGAACTCTTCTAGCAACTGCTCGGGCGTCGACTCGGCCGAAATGGACGGTGTGGCCAAAAGCAGAGTTTCGGCCAAATTTGTTGTTTCGATCTGTAATTAAATTGCAATTAAATTTGAATTAAATTGGAATTAAAGCGAATCTAATTAAAAGTCAAATCAAACCTGTCGTCTATGAATAGGTTTTTCCCAAGCTTTGGCCTCATTTGGCGAATACTCAAGGATTTTGTCGTCTTTTATGAGATAAAACTCTTTCAAAAGTTTCCGCAAAAACGCCACTAAATATACTCTTCTAAGCGATCGTCGGATTTGCCGAATAACCGATTGTCGGCAAACAACGGTTTCGTCGGCCAATAATTCGTTTGCAAACTGTTCGTAATTATCGTCGAATTTATTGTCCATAAGTTCTTCGGATTCGAAGCCAAAGAGTTCGGTAAAGAGTTGTGACGTATGCGCGGAATTCACGGATTGAATGCATTCTAATTGTTGATGAATATAAAGGATTTCGTCGATAACTGTGAACGGAAAGAACAACAACATCTCAAACACCAATTGGAGGGCCGCGTCGTCCGTCGTCCGCGTGTCGTCCGGAGCGACGGTCTGAGCGTCGTCCGAGACGTCGTTCTCTTCAAAGGCAATATCATTGGTCGCATTGACCTCAAAGTTGCGCAACAATTGCTGAACAAATCCTCTTCGCGATTGTCTGTTATTACACACCACGTGATAGAGAGTGGCCAGTCGTGACGTCACGTCTCCTTTGTCGTCGAGACGGAAACCGCGACACCGCAGTCGTGTACACAACTTAGTGGCCAATTGAATGCCGGGCCGTGTCTTCATGGCCACAAAGCCGTGGAACTTGCGCTCAATCTCGTGCAAGACGTGGTCAGCACGTGACCGAATGTCTCTGTCGTCGTCTGTCGTCATAGCAATCAAATGCGACACAAGTTGTAACGGATGCACGTGACCACCCGTTTGGATCACGTGAATGACATTGCAGGCGACGCGACGAATGGCCACCGAAGCCGAGAGCGCGCGGTCGAGCAGAAGCGCCAAATAGGTCTGAATGATCTGCGACTGAACTGATCCGGCGTCGGCGTCGTCCGTCATCTGTTTCAGCGATTCTCTTGACCACTCAATCGTTGCGTTCTTTTGTTCGTCTGATTCGAGACTTTCGTTGAGATAATTCCGGAAATTCTGAAGAACTTGAACCGTAAGCGCTTCCGGACTTCTTTCGCCCAACAATCGCTCGTACAGCTCGACAACGCGTGGTCTGAGGCAAACTCTGGGATCCGATTCGATGATAAATCCAAGAGAAGTAATACACCGGACGACGACATCCGAACCGTCGGGTGTTTTTGCGGACAAACCGTTTGTCTGAAGATTGCTTTGAATTAATTGTAAAATCGATTCCAAAACAAATGCTTTTTCTGTTGAATCGAAAGTTCGGGAAAAATGTTTCAAAAATAAACCCAAAGAATAAACGGAACGCAAAAGTTTCGGTTTATTCGCAACGGTTCCCGAAATCAGAAGAATGGCTTTGAATTTGGAGAACAGTTCGGTCGCCAAACGGAAGTTCCGAGTGTGCGTCTCTATGACAACGGCCAAACACTGAACGGAAGCGGGAAGAATCAGAGCCGAAGACTGAAGGATCTGTTTGGTCAGATCTTCTTCGAGACGAGCGGTTAATCCGGAAGAAGGATTGAAACCTTTGTTGTGAAGACATCTTTCCAAAGACTGAACGACTTTATTCCGAACGTGAATATCGACCACAGATTCACACGGAAGTGATAGCAACAGACACAGCGAATCCGCGTGCTTGGTCAGCGTCTCGGGCGCGATTCGGGCGAACATGCCGACCACGTGCATTGCGGACAGCGTGACGAGTGCGCGTTGGCGGCCGTCGGGCGTTTGGTGGAGATCAGCTGTGAGGACACGCGCGACAACAGTGTCGACAATGGTATGAGCGGCAGATATTGATTGCGGATCTTGTTTTATGATTTGTTCGAAGAGTTGATGCATTTGATCGACGGATCCGTCGGTTTGCAACAGAACTGCCATAACGTCTACCAAAGACATTACGCGCTGGGCTTGAGATGCGTCGTCCGGCACGACGTCCATCAGAGAGCGAAACCACAACTCTTTGACCGTTTCGTGAACTAAACGCCTGATTCCGTCCCCCTCGTCGTTCACACGGCGCACAATCTTCAGCTGGATTTCGGCGTTTTTGGGACAATCGGGAAATGCGACGGTCAGATCCCTGAGAATACGAATGACGCGTTTTCGGACCGAAACTCCGGTATCGAGAATGCGTTCTCCAATCAGATCCACGTATTTGTCGCACAAATCACGTGAACGCGATTGGAGGACGTGACGACCAATCAGATCGACGGTCGCTTCTCGAACTGAAGTGGAAGCGTCGAGAAGAGCGGCTCTCATTGCGATCTGAAGATCATTTCTGGCCAAGACTTGCGTCGACTTTTCGAGCGAACAATTGACGAGAATTGAAGACAAACTCTTCATTGCTCGCGATCTTTGAGTCGTATTTGTAGTCAAAGAGAGTGAAGAACACACGTGACTGAGAGAAGCGTCGAAAAGACGAGACATTGTCTGCAAATCCAAGACTTCCGACGATTTGACAAACAGTTCGGCCGTCGAGGCGTCGATCGGATCGTCGTCCATCGAATCCGACCGACAGTTCAGAAGCGAGAGGAACTGCTTCTCCAGACTGACGACCGCTTTCTCTTTGAGCCAAAGCGCGGCCCAAATATGTCTTTCGGCGAACAGTTTTTCGGTAACGAAGAAAGCGTTGACTCGAGTCATGACTTGTAAAAGTCGTTCTTCGCTTTGTTTTCGTTTATCTCTTTGATCTAATTGGCGAAGAGTTGTTTCCGTTTCTTCCAAGAGTTCCGTTTTTCGGGCAAAAAGTCGGGCAAAAGTCGAACAAATTTCGGCCAAAAATTCAATGGAATTCAGTCTTAATTGAAGAGAAACTGATTTTTCTTTCGACGAAACGTTTGCTATCAATAGTTTGCAAACAATTTGAACCAAAAGTAAAGCAGTTATAGTTTGCGGCGCAAAAACAGCACTCAATAAGTCGGACAACACTTCAGCAAAAAATGCCTTCACATCCGAGTCCGTCGTCCCGGACGACGCACCCGATAGACAACGACGAGTGAACGACGATAAAAATGCGGAAATTATTTGAAGACTTTCCGTCAACTCTTTGGACAGCGAATCACGTGTCACTCGAGTTTGGTCGCGCGGGAACAGAGCGTTTGTCAGACCAATGAGTAGTCGCGTGAAGACGCTTAGGGATCGCGTGTGGCGGTTACCATGGTGACCAAGACGATGAAAGCTTTGAAGCAATTCTTCGAGAATCGAGTTTCTAATGGATTAACGGATTAACAGATCATTAAAACAATGTTTTCAATCAATTGAAAGAATTCTTTTACCGGTGTTTAGGATAAGCGCCGAAAATACAGGCAATAGTCTGGACGGCGGCCGCGTGCAACTCTTGAGCGCCTAATAGAAGAGCGGAAGTGGCGGCTCGGGTACAGGTCAGCACAAGAGAATCATTTAAACCCGAATTTCGTTCCAAATATTGACACAAAAGATCCAAAAGTTCTGTGAAATGAATGACTTGTTTTCGAGAAAATGTCGTCAAAGAAAGACTTTTTTCGGATTTCTTTTTCGGAGATTTCTTTTCCGTCACGTGAGTCTTGGAATTGAGATTATGAGCGACAAAAGCGACCACAGTTTCCAACAGTTCTTCAAATAAGACGACACGAGAAGACATTCCTTTGGCTGTCATTACATTCAAAGACAATTTCGAAGCGCAAACCAATAATTGCCAAAATCGGTTGTCGTCCGGAACGACGTCTCCTTCTTCATCTCGAGAAACGTCTTCCGAATCTTTGAATCTCGAGAACCAAACAATCATTTTATTGCATAAAAGCGACAAAAAAGTCGCTAATTTTCCGCTCAATCTCTGCTCTAATTCCGATAATTTGGTCGCGAGTTTCAGTTTTGACGACAATTGAGACAAAATCTGTAATTCTTTTAATTCGATTTTCAAGTCAAACGAAACGCCTTCTTCTTCTCGCACTTCTTCGTCCTCCGACTCGCCCTCAGAATCACGCGAAGCACTCATAACCCGTTCGATGACGGCCTCGAAAGCGGTCACCGAATCCTTGTTCTGAAGTTCTGTTTCAGAGTTCACGTGATTTCTCTGTTTTTCTGAAGTTTTTTTCGCTTTTTTTAAAACGATTTCTGTTTTTTTGATTTCTTTTTTATCGACTTTTTCTTCGATTTTTTCTTCAATTTTTTCGGTATTTCTTGAGCGCGATTTCACTCGATCTCCGAGAGAAGAATAATCATAAAACTTATTATCTCCTCTTTCCTCTTCTTCGGCGTGAAGACTGCAGTCGTTTTGAAGTTCGGAAATCAGGTCTGAATTGAGTTCTAAACGAATCGTCGGTTCGATTGAATCCAAAGCGTCTCCTATTGTAGTCGTCGTCCCGATTGTCGTCCCGATCGTCGTCCCGATCGTCGTCCCAATCGTCGTCCCAATCGTCTCCCAAGACGACCGATCAGTCGATCCAACAAAAAGTCCTTTTATTGCCATTTGATAAGTCAATGGAGAAAGTGATGGATTTCCCGAAGACGGGATGTGATCGGGAAAATGCAAATCTGCCAATTGTTGTCTCGCCTGAAGAAGTGCCGCTTCAAGAGTCGGTTCAATAGCCGAACTCCAATTCGGCGCATTTCCACGACTCAGCGTTTGGTCTCGCGGTGAATGAGCGGCCGTCGGAAGTGGCAGTTCGCGCAACAGATCACATAAAGACTGACAACAAGCGAGAGACACCTGAGCGGCGCACGTGGTGTCGGCCACCGGGGGATCCATTGGACGACAGATTACAAGAAAAGAGAGAAAAACACTGTTTTTGTCGACATTTTGAATGCTTTGACACGTCTTTAGACGAGCCGTCCATAGAGTACGTCGCAAAACGCATCGTCCAAAGCGTCGTCCGACTCGTCGTCCGGAACGACGGCCAGAGAGACGTCGAAACGCAAAGCAATAGAAATAATAATAAAATGAATACAAAAGCCTTTTATTCCTTTGACTTGTTTTCCGACGAACTCTTCGTCCGAAACGACGGAACGAAACGCAAAATGTCTTCAAAAGACTCAATCATTCAATGGATTCGCGTCTTCGCCGAACCCGTACTCGTTGTACCGCTCCTTCGGTTCGCGTCAATCATACGGCGGACGGCAGTGAATGCAGAACGGGACCACTCGGGCGGTGGTCACCTGTTGTCGCGGCGAATATCGGCCACGTGTTTGTTTGGCGGCGCGCGAATGTAAACACGACGCATTTCGTCGTCTTGAGTGGACATTCGGCGGTCGTTTTGGACAGACCTCGGGCCGGACTTCGGGTCGTCTTTTTGGTCAGTAATTTGGCGGTCTTTGGACACGGCTTTTGCGTTTGGAACTGTTGTCTTGTTTTGTCCGTTCATTTCGGAACTCATTCTTCATATCAAACAATTTGTTTTACTTTTGAAGAAAATCCGAATTCATTTCCACCGAAAATGTCCGCAAAATCGCCGAAAAATACATTTAATTCCGATTTCTTTGAAATATTTTTCTCTATTTTTCCGTTCATTTTGTCAGACATTCAATGCTTTCAATCGCGACATCTGTTGACACAAACACTGCATTCATTCGACAATCAATTACGTCATTACTTTTGCATCCCTTCAATGGTTTTATCAATTCATTCAATCAATACATTCAAAACGTAATTCATATCATAAATGTTTATTTACATAACGGCTCACAAGTTTTCCGACGAATGACCACTTCTTCGGCCACTCTTCTCCGCGATTTATCCGCCGAACTGTCGGCCGTTAAGACTGCGCGGTTCGCCGCCGAGCGCGAGTTGGTGAGTGAAGGGGCGAGACTTCGGGAAATAGCGTTATTGTGCGACGTCGTCAACAATAATACCGACGATTGGGATCTGTTGTCTTCAGCCGAAGAAATGGCCGAAAAGGTTGACTCAGACGTGTCGTCCGATTCAGACGAACGCGACTCAAGTTCCGAGTCGTTGAACGCGCTTTTGCTCGAAGAGAAACTCGTGATCGCGGAATTGACGTCTTTGCGGACGGAGTCCGACGTCCCGAACGACGCCCCGGACGACGACATGAACGACGACGCGGACGACGAAGAATTGCGAGAATTCAGAAAAGTAGAAAACGATATTAAAGTCTCTGAACTGACGCACAGTTTGCGTCACGTGAGGACACAATTGGCCGAAAAACGGGAAAACCAAAGAAAACGTCGGAAACGTCGAGTCGAAGCACCGCTCGCCGACTCTGAGAGTTTGGACGACCGATTACCGCCTCGTCAGTCGCGTCCACTTACACTATATTTGCCACAACCGGCCGAACTTGACCTGAATGCACACGTGAGAGAGTTAGGTCATGATTTGGCTGTAGTTTCGGCTGAAGTTGTAGTAAATCGAGACCAATGTTTTGGTGAACTTCGGAAGCTTTGTCGTCGTTCCGCGAGATGGCGCAAACGGTTCTTTCTTTTCGATCGTTTTAATCGAGTTTTAGTTTATTTCGAATCCGAAAATCATTTCCGAAAAAATCAAAACAAACCGAAAAGTAATTAAAAGAAAGAATCGAAACATTCATTAATCCTTTAATCCGTTCTAATCTTAGGCGGCGTTCACTTCGATGAAATCCGAGACGTTTTTGTAGATCACGTGCGATCCGTCCGCGTCCACCGCCCCGTGTTTTGTGTGGCAACGGAAGGTCGGGTATTCGTATTGTCTGCGCGTCGACCGGAAGCGATGCGCGTTTGGGTGGATGTCGTCACTTCCGGAGCATTGAATGCAAACTCGAGTTTTGAATAAAAGTTTTTATTTTAAAATAATTTTTAATCCATTTCTTCGATTGTTAAACGAATCGACAGTTTTTGAGCTCTAATTCGACTCCAAATCCACGGATTATCGACTCCGACCACTTGTGCCGAAGCCAGCGCCGCGTTCTCCGCTCCCAAAACAGTCGAACATCCGATTCCGGACGGCATTCGAACCGAAGACCACAAATCAAGTGCCAAAGAGTCGGCAGAAGCGGTCGGAGGACAACAGAAAACGGGAACAGTTGCCAAACCGGCGGTCACTGGACCTAATCCGTTGCTCATTCCTGCGACGGCTATAATAGCTCTCAAACGCGGCGATTGTTCTAATCTGTGGACAACTCTTATGGCTTTTTCGGTCGCTTTATGAGCCGAACAAACGTCTATTGAAACCTCTTTTATACCGAACTTCTCTTTCAAAGCAAAAACAATCTTTTCGGCAAAAGAGCGGTCACTAGACGATCCGAGCAAAATGGCCACTACGGGAGCAGACGACTGGTTGGAAGTGGGCAGAACGTCGGTGAAGATTCGGTGCGTTCTTTGGGCGACAATTTCGAATTTCCCGCGAATTTCTTCCAAAGCTTTTGAATCGATTTCTTCGACTTTAAGATTGCGATAAATCTGTTTATCCAACATTAATCTCTTCTCTCCCGACGGCCATAAACGCCACGAATCGTTGTCAATGACATCTGCGACGACAATGGATCCGTCGGCCAAAACTCCGAATTCGATTTTCATGTCGATTAGCGCGTGATCCGCAGTTTGCCAAACTATTAAGCAATCAATCATTCATTCATTCGTTCTTTCATTCAATAAAAACCTCTTTCTATGGCTTCGAAGACGACTCTTGTGGTCGACAACATTCTCTGGACGTGTTTCTCCTTTATAACCACATTTCCGATCTTCAGATTCGCCGAAACCAACGACTCTTCCGACCAAAACGGATCATGATTCGCGTCGTCTTTGAAGAATGTTTCCAATTTCGGCGGACAAAAGCGGAATCCTTCTTCGACATTCGGATGTCTTTTAAGAAAAGATCCGGTGGCCACTCTTCTGGCCACAAATTCGATTGGAACCATTTGGCATTTTCTGGCCACGAAAGCTCTTTGCCAATCGGGATGAGAATCTTTGTTGATTTGATCGACAAAATGAGTTGGAATTCCTATGGACTGAAGAAACCTGAAGAGCGCGCAATTGGTTTTCGTCGAGATCTCTGCCTTTCCTTTGAGTTCATGTGCTTTGAGTCCATCGCCGGCTGTTATTCTGTCTTTTGAAAGAACAAAAACCAGAGAATCATTGGTTTTTAGATTAAAGACTCGTTTAGTCTTTCCTTCGATAACTAAATCTCCGATTTCTTTAACAGAAATTTCTGGAAAAAAACATTCATTTATTCGTCAAAAAAGAAATACATTTTCTCTTTTCTCACCCATTGTTTCGATCGTGAAATCAAATCGTCGTTTGAATTGATTTTTGGGAAAAACAACTCTATTTATGGCATTTGAAGGACAATCTCGAGGACAACAAACATCTCATCAATGATTCAATGATTAGATATTAAGATTCAGATCAACCAATCACTGCTCCTCAACAACACATCTCACGAGACGTTCACTGGATTTACATTTCAAAAATCGCGCCAAACGTCTGACGCATGCGCTCTGTCTTCGCAATGAACTCTCGAGTCGTTGTTTTCGCCAAAAGACGTATTTCTGGTCTTCCGTCGGCCGCCGTCCCCGCCGTCTATCCCAATATCAATCGGAAACAATTGAAACGGGGAACTGGGGGTCGGTCGTCGTTCAATGGTCAGGTGGTCACAGTTTTCGGCGGCGGAGGATTTGTCGGGAAATACGTTTTGAATGAATTGGCAAAAACGGGAACTCAAGTCGTGATTCCCTTCAGAGGAGATTTCTTTGAAGTCCAGAGACTTAAGGTTATCGGCGATTTGGGACAGGTCCAGTTTCGGGTGAGTCTCGATGACCTCTTGACCTGATGACCTCTGACCTTGAGATTTGACTTTCGTTTAGAAATTCGATTTGAGAGACGAAGAGTCGGTTTTTGAATGTTTACGTCATTCAACAGCTGTTATTAATTTAATCGGAAAAGACATCGAAACCAATAACTTTTCGTTCGAAAAAGTTCACGCAATCGGCGCCCAAACCATCGCCCGATGTGTCCGCGAAGCTGGCATCCAACGATTTCTGCACGTCTCCACAGCCAACGCGAGTCCGCGTCCAACACCGCATCTTCTGAAGTCGGGATCGGGTTTTTTGCGTTCGAAATGGAAAGGAGAACAACTGGTCAGACAAGAGATGCCGTCGGCTATTATCGTTCGTCCGACAGATATTCACGGATTAGACGATAATTTCTGTCAATATTTCGCTCGATGGCAAAGAAGACAATACGGAAAAGTTCCGCTTTTTAGAGGAGGTTTTCATTCATATAAACAACCGGTTTTTGTTAAAGACGTCGCCCAAGCCGTCGTCCAGGCTCTTCAAGACCCGAACGCCCCCGCAAATACTTACGAACTTTTTGGTCCCCGAAGATACACTTTGCGCGCTCTGGTCGAGTATATCAATAGATGCATTCAAAAACCAGAAGAAGAAGGATTCCGAGTCACGAATCTTCGTTGGTCGCCATCTTTTATGGCCAGAGTTTATCTGTTTTCGGCTTTAAAAGGATTATTCAAATATCCGTCGATTTCTTTGGAACGATTAGAAAGGGTTTGAATTAAATCGAAATTCGGATTAAAATTGGATTAAAATTAAGGGTTTTTTGCTTTAGGAATGCGTTTCTGATGTTCGACAAGAAAACACTCTCGGATTCGAAGATTTGGGTATTTGTGCGGAACCTCTGGAAGACAAGTGGGAATACCATTTGATGCAATGGCGGCGACAGTCGTATTACGGCGAAGAAGTGTCAGAATTCGTCCAAACGGAACGTCCGCCACAACAACCTATTGTTCAATAAAATCGTAATTTATTTCTGAAAACCGGTTTCGAAAACCCTTTTCCCAAACATTTCCCAAACATTTGTCACAAAATATGACGTCTTTTCACGAGTTTTTCGGACAAAAGTCTGTTTTAATAACCGGCGCTTCGGGTTTCGTCGGAAAAGTTCTTTTGTTTCGACTTCTTCGCGAATGTCTTCAAATAAAAGCCATTTATATTCTTTTGCGACCAAAAGCCGGACAAACGGCGGAAAAGCGCGCAAATCTGTTGTTAAGTCTTTCGCTTTTCGATCCGATTCGTCGCCAATCTCTTTCACAATTGGATAAAGTTATTCCCGTTTGCGGTGACGTCACTCTCGACGACTTGGGATTAAACGCTTTGGACAAATCCATTCTTCAGCAGAACGTCAACATTGTCTTCCATTCGGCCGCAACCGTCCGTTTCGACGAACCTCTTCGGTTAGTATAAGATATTAATCGCGAAATTAATCCCAAGATTAATCCGCAGACGCGCTCTTCAGCTGAACCTTCAGTCGACAGAACGCGTTCTCCGTCTCTGTCTATCTCTCGTCAAACTCGACGCTTTCGTGCACGTGTCGACCGCGTACTGCACGCGCGACAAAAGCAATGTTTTGGAATCAGTGGAGGATTGGAAAAGTCAGAGCGCGAGACGTCTTCTCGACGCCGCGCAATGGATGGACGACTCGGCTCTGGACGCGATTGCCCGGCGTCTGGTCGGCGATCACTTTCCGTCCACTTATCACATCACGAAATGTCTTTCCGAACAGTTATTGGTCAGTGAAGGTCGCGGTCTTCCATTGGCTATAATCCGTCCTTCTATTATCGGAGCCGCACTTTCAGAGCCATCTAACGGTTGGACCGATAACTACAACGGATTGTCCGGTTTCTTTGTTGCCGCCGGAAAAGGCGTTCTCCGCACTCTTCACGCCCTTCCAGATGCCGTTTGTGACGTCATTCCCGTCGATTTGGTCGCAAACACGTGTATTTCGGCGGCCGTTTCAGTGGCCACTCGCCGCCGCGAACTCCCGCTTGTTGTGAACTGTACTTCTGGAACTCTGAATGCGGTGACATGGCGTCAGATCCGCGACTACTCGGAGACTTTGTTTTTCCGATTTCCGTCTCAAGAGCTGTTCCGTTCGCCTTCAGTTCATTTACACACTTCTCGAGTCATTCATGGAATCCATTTGTTGGCCGAACACAAGATTCCGTCTTTTATTGTGGATCTTCTCTTCAGATCTTTCGGTTTGAAACCAATTCTCGGAAAAGTCTACGAAAAAGTCAATCGAAGTGTTTCTGCTCTCGAATTCTTTACAACAAATGAATGGCATTTTCGATGCGAAGAACTTCTTCGTCTCACTTCTGACCCCTCTTTCCCGATAGACGTCCGCGATATCAATTGGAAGTCCTATTTCTCGGATTACGTCTTAGGAGTTCGAAGACATTTATTGCGCGAATCAGACGACACTTTGCCGGACGCGCGACGACGCATTCAACGGTAAGACATGCGTTGGAATGCCGTCTAAAATCAATGCAATATTCGCTCACTTTTTCTCTCTATTATAGGCTTTACTTTTGGACTCAAATATCGAAAAGTTTTGTCGTTTTTTGCGTTTTTCTAAAAGTTGTTTCATTTTTACGACAAAAACGACAGAAATTGACGTCTCTTTTGCCTAAAGCGTAGATTTGGATTAGAAATCGGATTAAAACTCATTAAAAAACTTTTCCTTAAAGTAAATATTTATTCATTATTTTTGGGTCACATCTTCTGCTTCTTCTTCTGAAGGGTTGTCCAACTCGACCCAAACTCCTCCCTTTGTCCGCCTCTGTGTCGTCGCGTCGCCGCCAGAGCCGCCGCTCTTTATTTCTGCGTTTTTTGCGTTCAATAAATAGTATTTTCTGTCAAATGAATCATTCGTTTGAATCTCGCGTTCGAAACAACACTTTATTCAATGGTTTGAAAACTCTTTCAAAACTTTTTCATTCAAAATGTTTTTCCCTTTGATTACAGAAAACTCTTCCAAACCTTCAAACTCTGGTTTCTCTTGAATCTCACTATGAATTCGATGAACGCTTCCAACTCTTGCGTTCAGTCCTTCTCGTCGTTGCGCTCCACGCCTCCTCCTACGCCCTCTTCCGCCACCTCACTTCACCCCCACTTTCCCCTCTCGCCCTCTGTTTCCTCATTACAGCTCTGAGTCTTGTCTTTCTCTGTCTTTTACTCCAAACTCTGATTCCCGTTCGACTTCTTCGACAACTTTCTCGTTCTTCGCAAACATTTTTGTCTCTCTTGTTATGGACGGCATGTCTTGTCCTTCAAATGGTGGCCTCTGGTCTCGAGCCCGACCGACTACTCGACGACAGACATACCGTTCCTCCGTTTTGGTCGTTGTTTGCTCTTTTAGTCGCCCAAACAATGCTTCCTTTTCCCGTAAAAGTCACTCTTGCGCTTCAATTATGTGTTGTTTCCGCACAACTCGTCGTTTCGATTGTCGTTTTTGCGCGCATTTCTTCGGCTTCTTCGACGGCCGAAACGCAGTTCGTGAGTAAACCCTTTCCTCCCGACTTTTCTAATCTCTTTTGATCCGCAGCTGTTCTGCGACGCTCTTCTTCTGCTTCTTTTTCTATTGTCTTCTATATATCAACGCCATGTCTTCGAACGCGAAAGAAAACGCACTTTTTCCGGCGCTCAACACGTGATTGACGACAGAATTCGTTTGGAATTCGAACGGGAACGTCAGGAACAACTCCTGCTTTCCGTGATTCCCGCCTATATTGCAGCCGAAGTCCGGACTCGTATTCTCGAGAGAACCGCTGCTTCGCGTCAAGACTCGAGCCGTTCCTCACGTTTTCACGAACTCTACGTTCAAAGACATAACAATGTGTCTCTTCTTTACGCCGATATCGTCAACTTTACGCCACTTTCCGAACGTCTTTCGGCTTCAGAATTGGTCAGAACTCTCAACGATCTCTTCGGGCGTTTCGACCAATTGGCTCAGGTATTGTCAGGAATTCCATAAACACAACACTTGTAACTCTTCTAACACTTGTCTTCAGGAGAATCAATGTCTTCGAATCAAAATTCTCGGCGATTGTTATTATTGTGTTTCCGGTCTTCCCGTTTCCCGTCCAAATCACGCCATTAATTGTGTTCAAATGGGTCTTCAGATGATTGACGCCATCCGCGGTGTTCGTGACCGAACTCACGTCCCCGTAGACATGCGCATTGGTGTTCATTCGGGAAATGTCTTGTGCGGAGTCATTGGTCTTCATAAATGGCAATTCGATGTCTGGAGTGATGACGTCACTCTCGCCAATCACATGGAAGCGGGAGGAGTTCCCGGGTTTGTCTTTAACTCTATTAAATGGGTTAATCCGTTAATCCGTTGATCCCTCAGCCGCGTCCACATCACAGCCGCCACTCGCGACCTTCTGGACGACCGTTTTCTGGTCGAACCGACGGAAGGACAAACACGTGACGTATATTTAGCTCAACATCGAGTCAACACTTTTCTCATTATTTCTCCGAAAGTAAGAACTTTTGAAAAACTTTTCAAACTTTAATCCGAATTCGGAATCAGATCTGCGAAGAACCCATTCGATTGACTTCCGATCGACGGAAACGTTCGGTCTGTTCGTCGGCCGTTAAGCGAAGTGCCAAATGGACGGAATGCGGTCTTAATTCGGACGCGCCTTTTGCTGACGTCAGTGAACGCGTTATCGCAAGAAACGTCACTCAAACCGTAAGTACACTCTCAATACACCCTCAATACACCCTCCCAACCCCTCCCCTCCTCCACAACTAACTAACATTTCGTTCGAAGAGCATTGCTCTCATCGAAGCCTCACTTCTGCCTCCACGTGCTCTTTGTCCTCAACTTCATTCGCTTCAAGACATTCATCCGCTTTGTCTTCACTTCCGTTCTGCAATTCTTGAACGCGATTATCAATTACACCGTTTCTCTTCCTTCTCTCCGTCCGCCAACTCTTCGGCCGCCGTTTTCCTGGTGTTGGGCGCAATCCAACTCACTTTGGCCCCCACGTGAGCATAACCTTCAATAAACACAATAACCTCTCCCTCTGTCTCGCTTAGAAACTGGACTTCTTTGGCGTTGTTGTGTTCGACGGCTCTCGTTCTGCTGGTCGTCCTTTTGGTGCTCAACCTGCAACCCCCGTCCTCCTCCTCCTCCCCCTCGTCCACGCCCAGCCCCAGCCCCACCCCCCGCCACTCGATTCGAATCATTTGTTCGATTTTTCTCTCGACTTTTCTTTTGCTCGAAAATTCTCTTTCCATTGCTTTTCTCGACTGTGAGTCCACTCCCCGCTCTCTCAACCAATCACTGGTCGGCGATGGCTGGGAGGGCGGGGCGTGTGAGGCTCTTTTACGGCATTATTTTCTCGTTTCTCCGGCCGTCGTTTTGACCGCAGTTTCGCTCTTTTTCTTCATTGGATTTCTTTTGAAAACACTTCTAATGACTGTTTATCTGTTGGCTATTCTTCTGATTCTTTCGCGAACTCAACGTCTTCCTCCCGAAGCTCCGGAACTGTTGCTCTTTCTGTCGGCTCTCGTCCTGTGTTTCCTGTCCCGCGACCGCCGTCTGGAACGCGCTTCTCGGTCACACTTTTTATGGAGAGCTCGACTTCGTGTCGAACAACAGGAGGTGGAGACGACAGGAGGCGTAAATCGACTGCTTTTGGAAAACATTTTACCACAACACGTCGCGCAACACTTCCTCGGCGCTCTTCACGGCGACCAACTCTATGCCGAACGGTATATTAAATCTTTTAGAAGATGTCTCTCTAAATGTGTCTTTAGATACGCTTCTGTGGCCGTAATGTTCGCTTCGATTCCGAATTATAAAGAGTTTTACGACGAAAACGACGTCAATAAACAAGGTTTCAAACAATTTATTGATTTTATTCAAAGATATCAATGAATTCTAATCCGATTTTCAAAGGACTCGAATGTTTGCGTCTTTTAAATGAAATCATTTGTGATTTCGATTTAATTCTTTCAAAACCAAAGTTTTCCAAAATCGAAAAAATCAAAACAATTGGAAGCACTTATATGGCGGCCGCCGGTCTCCAACCTGGTCACGAATCGGCCGACGGCAATCAAGCCATGAATCGACGTTCAGTTGTGTCGTTAGTGGAACTGTCTTTGGCCTTAATGTCTGCTTTGGAACAAATAAATAGAGAATCGTTTCAACGCTTTAGACTTCGTGTCGGAAGTAGTCTTCTGTCTATTATTTGTGTTGTTTTCAATTCAAACGTTTTGTTTCGCAGTAAATCACGGACCGGTTATTGCAGGCGTTGTCGGCGCTCATAAACCTCAATACGACATTTGGGGGTAAGTTTTGAATGCAATTAACAGACAATTAACAGACAATTAACAGACAATTAACAGACAATTAACAGACAATTAACAGACAATTAATTATCAGAAACACTGTAAACGTCGCCTCGAGAATGGACTCAACCGGACAAATGGGATGCATTCACGTGACGCGCGACACTGCGATGGTTCTTCGCGAAGAAGGATACGCCTGTGAATCGCGCGGAGAAATTCATGTCAAAGGAAAAGGCATTTTAGAGACGTTTTTCGTTTCAAAATAAATCTCTATTTTATTGCTGTTTATCTGTTGCGAGAATTTTGTGGACTTTTTTCGGTTTTGTCGACATTTGTCGTCTGTTTTTGTCGTTTTCTTTGTTCTTCAAGTCCTGCGGCGATATAGGAAAAGACACAAAGAACGGCGTAACAGATCTGATCTGCCATTTGTGATCGATATCTTCGCTGAAGGATTTGTCGCGATTTTGGATCTGATTTGAGATTAGTTTTAAAGACTGAATGACTGATGGAATGAATACTTACTGAACTCTTCAAGGACGAATATTCCGCCTTTTTGTGTAAAACATTTGCGAATATTTTCAAGACGAACGAAGAACTGCGTAAACAAAGAGACTGTGAGAGAAGGGGGAGAAGGGTTGGCAGCGGTGGGCGGGCGGGCGGGCCGGCACTCGACTGAGAGATGGTCTCTAAGACTACTTTATTCGCTGCCAACAAATCTATTCTAAGAAATCGCAAATACCTCGAAGTCCTGTCAATTGAATGAATGGACAATCAATTGGACATGAATTGCGGCCAAAAGCAGAGCAAAAGAGAAGAGAGATAGAGATTAGTCGAGTGCTTGGAGGCCATCTCTCGAGTCCTGGGGAACGGAAAGCGGACACAGAGACGGACGGACAGATACCTTAGAGTTGGCGAACAACAGCCCCACGCCTTCCATACACACTTGCAGAAGACCTCCTTCACCGCTTCGCAAGTCTTGCACCGGAAACTCTCCTCCGAGTTCTGTTCCTAAGAATTATAAGAATTAGAACAATATTTTCCACATTCTATTCACAAAATACCAGGCAATGGACCCGTTCCTCTGGCCACCGCCCGTTCCATCGCTTCTTTTATCGCGTAATACAATTCCCGACATTTCCGCGTAAAATACTTGTGAAGTTGTGTTTGTCCGCCATTTCGACGCCATAAACACAAAACTCGGTTTTTCGGCGAATAAGTCATATTAACCAACCGTTCGAACCACCATCTCTCGACTATTGTCCCGTTTATCGATCGCAATATCAGACCGTCGTCTCTGACTTCGAGAAACATCATATCTCCCTGAGCATCGGTTCCCACGTGAACTGAAAACGTTTGTCTATGTAATTGACGCGAAGCCAAGGGTTTCAAATCGATGTCATTTCCACGCAATCTATCGATTTGGTCCAAAACTTCGTTTACTTCTTGCGAATAAACGAGTCCGACATGACATTTCCCTATTAATAGTCAATCAATCAATCAATGAATCAATGAATCAAAGAATACAAACCGAGAAGACGTCTTATTTTGCGACGAATTTCCGTTCTATTGATGTCAAGCATTAGCATAAAAGCCGTCAAATTGTAGAGAAAAGTCGCCAAAAGTCGGTCTTCTTCGTGTTCCAGTCTTTTGCGATCCATTTCACTCAAAGCCCGATATCTGTCCATCATTTCTTGTGGTCCTTGATCCATTCCCACGAGATCCCGTTCCTGAGAAACTGCATCGAGAAAGGCGTCTTCCCAGAACTGCATTTGATCCCAAAGACGTGATCTCTCTTTCCCTAGAAATCACTGGAATTTGAATCCCGTTTTTCTTGTCATAATTTCTTACCGATTATACTCTCGAAAAGGTATACTCTTGGTGCATCAGCTGGAACTCCTGTTGCGCCGATAAGAGCTCCGCCATGATATCTAAATCCCGTAGAAACCGAAGATTTCGAAGACCAGAGACTAGGAGTTCGAGTTCTTTGACAATGCATTCCCTAAAAACCCGATTCACTGAATATTCACTGAAATCCCGATTAAATCAATTCAAACCTCAATTTCCGAATCGGAAAACGTGTTTCGATTATTGCCGAGTCGCGAGCCGTACGCCGGATTCACTGTCAGAGACCCGGCTTCGGAAGCATTCTGAGCGGTCGGCGAAACTTCGTCCGATTGTTCCGAATCCAAACTCGTCTGCAAACGCGTCAACAGTTGCGAACGTTTTTCTTGAACCGCAGCAGAAATGGCCGCATCTGCACTCGGAGACAACACTACTGGCGGCGGCGAAGTCGCGCGGTGCAAGTTATCTGAAGAACCAAATGGAGACGAACCTTGAGAACAGGTCGCAGTCGTGGCCACCGATTCGTCGGTCGTCTGAGTCGTGTCACGTGCCCAGTAGTGGGTGTGAGCGATCTCGAGAATGGGAAGAGCGGACGCCATTCCTCCCAATCCTTGTTCGCAATAACTCTTCTCTAAACCGGAAATCAAGGCCGACAAGAGTTTGGCCATTCCCTTCCAAACAGGTCGCGACACCTGGACGTCTTCCACGTGATCGTCGGGACCGACTTTGCGCTCAAGAGTTTTGTTGACTCTCGAGACGACAAGAGCCCTGTAGTTCTCGTCTTCCATGAGTTTGCGAACACGTGACAACTTGAGCCAACCAACTCCTTCGCCGTCGAGAACAGTAGTTATGGTTTCTTTGAGAAACGCCTGGTTTTCGCTGAAAACAAATCACAATTAACTCAATTAACTGAATAAATCGGTTGAATACCTGTGCGATCCGGTCGACTTATCGGGAGGCGCCTCCTTCTTTTGATTTTGAGTCGAATGTCGAATAAGAGATGATTTTTCGACAAGATTTTTGCGTCCTTTTGGAAACGGACCGAACGGTTGAGCCGTTCGTTGGTTTTGTGTTTGTTTTGTCTGATTTCCGAACAATCCGGACAACATTCCGGCCGTTCGATCGGCTAAACCGTTAAAATCGGAAGACATGGAAGATATGAGCGAAGCAGAAGAAGACGACTCTTTGGCCACTTCTTCGCGTTTCCAAAACGCCGATTCCTTCATTGGTTCGCTAATTGCCGACAGATTCGCTAAGAATCGTTTCTTTCCGGCCGCGGCCGCCGGTTTTGCGACTTCTTTGGCGACGGCTTTGGCTTCTCTGGCCACTTCTTTGGCCTCCGAAGCGAATCTATCGATTAACGACTGTCCGATTGTTGAAACGGAATCTCTATGTTGTGATTGAGAACGAGAAAACACCGAAGAAATGGAAATTGCGCGCGAAAGCGTCGGAGTCGACGTTCCCGACGATCTGTCCACTGAAGTCGACGGAGACATCGGACGACCGGCAGCTTCCGACGCTTTCGGAGTTGACGAACGAGACGCAGTGTCCGAAGTGTCCGATTCGATGGGAGAACGACCGGAAGTCGACTGAGGAATGAGTTTCGGAGAAACGGGAGGAACGAGTCGTTCGTCGGGTTTGCAATCATATAAGTCTCGCGTTTGGAACGACTCGTCTTCGGCGGTCGACGCGACTGAAGATGCGTTCGAAGCCGTGCTTTGAGTCGGAGATGAAGACTCGGATCCGCGTTCGGACGTTCGGACGGGACTGTCTTCTTGCGTTTGTGTCAACTGAAGAGTGTCCGGAGGATGGAAAACGGAAGTGACGTCACCGATAGTCGGAACGCATGAAGACTCGCGAATCGCGTCTAAAATCGGAACAAAAGATAAGAGAATGGAATGGAAGACTTGGAACTGACTTAGAAAGGCAGCCGAATGACTGTTGGCGTCGTTGGCTTCGGTGTCGGCCATGAGTTCGGATAAAGACCCGTAAGATGAAGAAGTGGAGACATCGGAATCGCTTTCGTCGTCTTCCGAGTCGTCGGCCGTCGTCTCGAAGTCACCGAAAAGATCGGCGAAGTTTGCATTGTTGGAGACTTTGAAAGAAATGGCGTCCAATTGATGTCCAAACCATTTGTGTTTATCTCCGATAACTGTCGGATCGAAAACACCAGTTTGCACGCGAATAAAGGCCACGTTTGAAGGACACAACGACCACTCGGCCAAAAACTCGACGGCTTGAGTCCGGACAAAGCGGTGAACGAAAGCCGACGCTTTGGGTCGCGATTGCATGAAAGCGTTGACTTGAAAAGCGACGACTGGCCGCGGAAACAACCGAATTGTCCGCGAATATTCGCCGTAATTCTGAAGAATGTTCGACGAATTGAAGAAACGCACCATGGCAACTCGGGTGGCCACATCCACGCAGTCGATGTCATTTCCGTAAATCAAGGGGTTGAACTGGAGCGCCCCCTGTGCAGTGGGCGGAGGACGCGGTTCAGACACGCGCTCCAGACTCGGCACTTGCGGCGTCAAAGACATTGAGGCCAACGCCTGTTTCAAATGGTTTTTCAAGACTGTGGCCTCAGGTTCGGGAAGAGGAGGGATATCCTCGACAGCCGACGGTTTGACGATTTTATTTGCGTCCAAATCGACTAACCAGACGTCATCTGGTAATCGGAATCGGCGTTTGAACGCCAGAAACGAAGCCGGAACTCCTATTATGAACGGCGTCGGCGCCAACAACAACTAAACAGAAGAACAATCGGTTGGAATAGTCTTAACATTAAACTCTGATTTTGCGCTTTCACTGCAATACAGGAGTGAATGCAGAGAAAAACAACTTTCAGGAAAAGCTATTTTTAGAACTGTTGGTCCGGGGGTTGGGCTGTGGCTGGGGTTGGGACTAATCAGACAGACTGGACTGACTGGACTGTACTGACCTGTTCGGCTGAAGACATACAAGTGGGCAAAAGAGGAATAACGGGAAACATGTATTCCAAGGGATAAATCATTGTAACGAAAGCCATGACAGACATCGACAACGCGTTGTAATCACGAGATTGTAATAACAATTTGTGTTCCATTAGAATTACGGACAAAACTTTGAGACAAGTGTCCACTCCCAACAGTTCCAACGGCAAATGCAACGGAAAGTCCACCAATGAAAACCGCGTGTGATCCGGCAATGACATGACCAATGGAGGACGAACCTCGCGAGGACTCACTTCTAGTTCGAGACGTGTTTTGCCCGGAACGGGAACGGGAGCTGATAACAGACGAAGGCACCACAGCTCGACTTCACGAAAGTCTTGGATCACTTGAGACGGGAAAGTAGCCGAAGTCTCGGGACTGACGTGAGTCGTCAAAAGTGTCCAAATGAGATCTCTGCGGACGGAAACGGAAATCAATAAATCAATACTTAAAGAATCTTTAAGTCGTAAATCTTGCCTTTTGTGTCGTTTTTCGGGTTTGTTTTTGTGATGAACTGAAAAAACCATTTTTCTCAAGACATGAAGACATTCCCGAAAAGACGAGAAGAATGGATGATGACTTATTATACAAAAAGACACCAAAGATAGACATCTTTGCGTTCGATCCGATATCTGTCGCTCCACTGGTCGGTAAAAGTTTACACAAATCCCGTAACTAAAGTCCGCAAAACAGGAAAAGTGGTCACAACTAGGCTCTAGTGCCGCGAAGTCCGGACTTACCGCACGCGCGAAGTGTCCTTTTCGGTGAGCGCGAAGACGAAGGAATTGGTGTCTCTTTGAGATAATCTCCGATATGAAGACGTCACACAGCCTTCGGGCTGACAAAAGAAGACGACGTCCGGCGGCAGAGCAAAGTCCGAGTGGTCTTCGGGCGGATATCGACGCAACAGTTCCGGTAATTGCAGAGAATGGATGTCTGCACTCGTCTGACGACTTCCCACAACACATATATAGTCGAGAAGTCGTGGACTAAAATACTTCTTCACGCAATCGGACATCGGATCGTCGTTTCAGTCATTTCTTGCTTCTGATCCCGAATTCACTTCATTTTGAGTCAAAAATCGTTAAATCAATCGAAAGATCACATGATTTGCGACGAAAGCAATCGATTTTTTCCTAACATTTATTACAACTCATCTCAAGACACGTCAGTTCCGCTCTTTTTCCTACTTTTTTGTCGCTTTTGGTCTTATCTTTCATTTATTTTTACCGATCAGTCGTTTTCCGGTCGATCGGGAACTCAATTCCCGAAACAATTTCCGGTTTCTTAAAGCTTTTCGTTTGTTTCAAACTCAAGACGTTTTTGATGCAAAACATCTAAGAATTTTAATCAACACTTTCAGTACTTTTTTATTTTATTTATCCGTTGAGTTATAGTTACAAAAAGGTTACAAATATATCGCATAGAATATAATGTTTTTCGAAATTATTGATTTTCAATGAAATTTTGTTGAAAAAAATCCAAGCATTGAAACAGCGATTGTCTACAAGAGTTAGTAATCAATTGTACTGTTGATTAAATAGCTATCGTTGGATAACACGTGTCAAAGATGTCAATCCCGACTTTCATCGATATCACCGAAACGGAACAGGTTTTGACACCAATTGTCCCAAACATTGATCTAACATATGTTTTCAGTGCGAAGAACTGCGCGAATACTTGACGTCTTTGGGCGCAACTTTGGGTCAAAAGAGCGACACTTTTGTGTCTGAATTGAAGCAAATAATCGGCGTTTCGGACACTCTGTTGACTGAATCGGACAAAGACGCCGACACTGAGTCGGTTCTCAACTCAATTGTCTCTCTTTTGTTGACTTCAGTTCCGCAATCTTCACCCGAATGTTCGCTTCTTGTGAATCACTTTTGCGAACAACTATTGAAAGCAAATAACGCAAAGACTTCTTTGGTTTGTCTTCGAGTTCTGAAGAATCTGTTTTCGGGACTCATTGACGTCGATCTTCGGTTCCGTGTTTACGAGACTTTGGTTCGATTGGCGGCCATTTCTCTTCAGATTGGACTCGTTTTCGAAGACACTCTCAAACTGAAGGAATGGTTTCCCGTGAAGACTGTTGGAACCGAAAGATGGCAACGATTGCTACGACTTCTCCACGAAGTCCTCCTCAGTGCCAAACAGTCGGAAGCGGCGTCACGTGTTCTCATAGAGTTGTTGTCGACTTATACTGAAGACAACGCTTCTCAGGCTCGCGACGATGCGCACCGGTGTATTGTCTTCTTTCTGTCCGATCGAAACACTTTCCTAATGGACCACTTGTTGGCTCTAAAACCGGTCAAAATCCTCGAAGGAGAACCCATTCACGACTTACTGACCATTTTTGTGGCCGAAAAACTGTCCGCTTATATCAAGTTCTATAACGCGCGCAAAGACTTTGTCGACAGTTTGGGATTAAATCACGAGCAAAACCTGCAGAAAATGCGATTATTGACTTTCATGCAAATGGCCGAATCGCGCAAAGAAATCCCGTTCGACGCCATTCAACACGATCTTCAGCTAAATCCAGATCAGGTCGAGTCATTCGTCATCGACGGTCAGTCATTGTCTACAACTATAAGTCTTTTTATAACAATTTTTATTACTAATTCACAGTTCTTCGCACGAAATTGGTGCGCGCGAAAGTGGATCAAGTGAACCATCGTGTTCTTGTGTCTTCTACAATGCACCGAACCTTCGGAAGACCGCAATGGATTCAATTGCGCGAAACTTTGCATAAATGGGCCCAAAATTTGGCTAAAGTTCAGCACACGGTTCACGTGGCCACTTCTCGAGTGGATTCTGTCGGCGCGTAATTTCTATTGAATAAAACGAGTTTTTGTTAAAACGATTCCATGATTTCCCGATTCGTAAAACACTTCTTCCAATTCCGCGCTTTTGATTCCCGAAACCAGACCTTCGAGTTCTCCTTCGCGAAACACGTGATAGTATCGGAGATGCGTTTTGTTGGCAAACGGGACGAGAACTTCTTGGTCTGTGAAAGCGGTTCCTCCGACATGAAGACAAAGACCTGTTTTCGAGTGGATTTGCGGTTCTTTTTGCGACTCTTTTCGGATGTAATGACTTTGGGATCCGTTTTTGTTTTGTTCGAACGCCCAAACAGTTATCAAAGCTTTTCCTCCAATCGATAAACAGTCGATAATCTGTTGAATGGCTTTTCGACGTCTTTCTTCAGTCGACAAATGGTGAAGAACTGCTACACAAAGAATGGCATCGAATTGTGGTCTAAAAGAAGATAAATTCAAACAATCGGAAACAACTGATTCCAACTGTTTTTGCCGACAAATCTGAAGCAGACTTTGACTTCTATCACATCCAATGACTGCCAATTCGTTTGTCTTTCTGATTGTCATATATTTTCCATTTCCACAGCCGACGTCTAATAACAACGACCCGATTGACAACGAATCCACAAAACGCTCGACACGTGGCCATGGCTTGTATCGCGTGCGGGAAAAGTGGTCAGCGATGTTGTCGTAGACGTCGTGAACAAACTCGCGCTCCAATCGTAGAGACGACACATCAAGAGTTGATTCAGTCATCAAAACAAAATCACGTGCAGACTATCTCTCGACTATTACTCGACTGTTTGGTCCCTTTTAGTAGTTTGTGTGTAGTCTATTAGAATGTATGAAAAGAGGCCAAAACATGGACGCAATGGAGTGATGCTTGATTAGTGTCAATCAATTGTCAATCAGTTGTATTGAATGACTTGATGTTAGACTCCACCCACTGGTGATTGTTATCCAATGAGTGTTTGTGTATCGTATGAGACGTCAAGTCATACCATCTGTGATGACGTTTGACTGAATTTCATCACTGAATCACTTGTTTATGCATTGATTCTACGATTGTCTGACTTATTGTTGACATTGAGAAAGGCTTTAACAGTGATGTCTTCGGCGACCAATCACGAGGTGAGGGCTGAGTCTATGTCTGACTTTAATCACAGTTAAAGACAAACAATACTTGACTTCAAATAGTTTTCAGTTTTCAAACAATCGTTTAAAGCCTTCAAACAAATACTGCAATCATTTGTTTCTCTTTAATGACAAGTCTTTTCCGCTTAATTGCAGCCAAAATGTCCGCAAATTCTGACCAAACGCTCGAAGACAGCCAGAGGTGAGCATTAGTGTCCACTCTTGTCTTTGACCACTCATTTGTGTCCAAAAGAGACCAAAAGAGGTCACAGTTTTGACAGATTTTCACTTAAAAGTTGAGTTTTCCTCAAAAAATCCCAAAAGCGGTAAAAATGTGCAAAAAATCATTTTTTAGAGGAAGTGTTGATAAAAATGCCAAAACTGCGACTTTTGCGACCCCACAGCCGTCGGTCACTCGTAGGCCGACCTGTCTGTCCATTCAGGCGACTCTTCGAGTGTTTGTTTGTGTCAATTGTTGATCGCCTGAGGGCTCAAAACCAAAACCAGTTTTTGTCAACAATTTTCTCTATTTTCTCGGCTTTTAATACCTTTTTGTCGTCAAAACACCGGCTTTTTCACCAATTATATCGACTTTTGACCCGATTTTTAACTCTTTTCTTCTGCATTCTTCAGCTCAGAGACTGTGACTTCCGATAAACCGATTTTTACAATAAACACTTGTCCCGACTCTGCGGACGATCAGTTGGGAAACGAAGAAGACTACGAATCGACTCATAATTCGTTGACTATTGAGACGATGGATTCGAAGCGTTTCCATCGTCAGACGCGACAATTGCGACAATCAATGTCTGGAATTCATTTATCACTTCAAGATCGCGACCGACAGGATCTGACAATCGCGACTCCCGAAGAGTTCATTAAACGTTTTGGCGGAACAAAAGTCATAAATAAGATTCTGATTGCGAACAACGGAATCGCGGCCGTCAAATGCATGCGAAGTATCCGCCGATGGTGTTATGAAATCTTCCGCAACGAACGCGCCATTCGTTTCGTTGTTATGGTATGTTATGTCATTGCTGTTCCTCTGCTTCTTCTAACACGCCTTCAACAGGTCACTCCCGAGGATCTCAAGGCCAACGCCGAATATATCCGAATGGCCGACCATTACGTGCCGGTTGCCGGTGGAACCAATAACAACAATTACGCGAATGTCGAACTAATCGTCGATATCGCCAAACGAATGAAAGTCCAGGCCGTGTGGGCGGGGTGGGGCCACGCCTCCGAATACCCGAAATTACCGGAACTGTTGGGTAAAGCGGGAATTGCTTTCATGGGACCACCGCATCTCGCCATGTGGGCTCTGGGCGACAAAATCGCGTCTTCCATTGTGGCGCAAACGGCGAAAGTGCCGACTCTTCCGTGGTCAGGTTCGGGTTTGGTGTGCGCTGATTGGACGGACGGAAAGACATTCAAAATCGCTCCCGATCTCTACCGAAAGGGATGCGTTCATGACGTCAACGAAGGACTGACTGCCGCTCAACAAATCGGATTTCCGGTTATGATTAAGGCTTCGGAGGGCGGGGGCGGGAAGGGCATTCGGAAAAGCGAATGTGCGGACGATTTCCCGCAAATGTTTCGACAAGTTCAGTCGGAAGTTCCCGGATCTCCCATCTTCGTCATGAAACTGGCCAAATGTGCGCGACATCTTGAAGTCCAACTATTGGCCGATCAATACGGAAACGCGATTTCTTTGTTTGGAAGAGATTGTTCTATTCAAAGAAGACATCAGAAGATCATAGAAGAAGCCCCGTGTATTATAGCCGAAGAAGACACGTTTGCTCAGATGGAAGCCGCAGCCGTGCGTTTGGCCAAAATGGTGGGTTACGTGTCGACGGGAACCGTTGAGTATTTGTATGATCCGAACGAACAAAAGTTTTATTTTCTTGAACTGAATCCTCGGCTTCAAGTCGAACATCCGTGTACTGAAATGGTGTCCGATGTCAATCTGCCCGCCTGTCAACTCCAGATCGCAATGGGTTTACGTCTTAATCGCATCAAAGAAATCCGTCTTCTTTACGGCGAGAGTGCGTGGGGCGACACTAACATCGACTTCACTAAAGGAAGGGCTCAACCCTGGGGTCACGTGATTGCCGCTCGAATTACTTCTGAAAATCCGGACGAAGGGTTCAAACCGTCTTCTGGAACCGTTCAAGAGCTGAACTTTAGAAGTAATTTCAAAAAACTGTCAAAAAATTTCTAATAAACTCTTGCTTTTGAAGGCAGTAAAAACGTTTGGGGCTATTTTTCGGTGGGCGCCTCCGGAGGTCTTCACGAATTTGCCGATTCTCAGTTCGGACACTGTTTTTCGTGGGGAGAAGACAGAGAAGAAGCACGAGAAAGCCTTGTTCTGGCGCTTAAGGAACTGTCGATTAGAGGAGACTTTAGAACTACTGTCGAGTATTTGATTACTCTTTTGGAAACAGAAGACTTCCAGAAGAATGAGATCAACACGGGATGGTTGGATCAGTTGATTGCCGAGCGTGTTCAGTCGGGAAAGCCGAAGACGTCGTTGGCTCTGATCTGTGGTTGTATTCATGTTGTGGATTCGCAACAACAGTACAATTGGCAACATTTCCAATCGAGTCTTCAGAAAGGACAGATTCTTCCCGCAAATACTCTTTCAAACACTCAAAACGTCGAACTTATCTACGAAGGCGTCAAATATGTGGTCAATGTCACCAAATCCGGACAAAACTCTTACTTTCTCGTTATGAACAACACTAGCAAAGAGGTCGAAGTTCACCGAATGTCAGATTCGGGTCTTTTGCTTTCCGTCGATCATTCTTCTCATACCACTTATATGAAGGAAGAAGTGGACAGATATCGGGTTGTTATCGGCAATCAGACGTGTGTTTTCGACAAGGAGAACGATCCGACGATTTTGAGATCTCCTTCGACGGGAAAATTGTTGCAATTTCTGGTGGAAGACGGAACTCATGTCTATTCGGGTCAAGCGTATGCTGAGATCGAAGTCATGAAAATGGTTATGACTCTTACCACTCAAGAGTCCGGAATTGTAAATCATATCAAACGTGCCGGTGCTGTTCTCGAAGCCGGTTCAGTGCTGGCCCGTCTTGATCTGGACGACCCGACGCGTGTTCATCGAGCCGAACTCTTTACGAACGGTTTTGACGCCATTGAAGCCGAAAGTAAGCGATTATTGAATGAATAAAAACTGAATTAATGTTTGAAATAGAATTAGAAGAATCGGGAAATTCGTCGACCAATTCGTCGATAATTGACACGCATTTATCGCCGACTGAAGTCAAACTCAACGTTGGATTCAATGTCGCAAAAACACATTTGGATAACATTTTGGCCGGTTATGGTCTTCAGGACCCGTTTTTCGGCCAAAACATGAACTTTTTTGTCGAGCAGTTTATGGAATGTCTTCGCGATCCACGACTGCCTCTTCTGGAACTTCAGGACATTATATCGTCGACTTCGGGACGCATTCCGGCTCAAGTGGAGAAATCCATCCGCAAATTGATGAACAATTACTCGAGTAATGAATTGACTAAAAGTTGTCCCGAATTTCGCTAATTTCTAGTTTTCAGGTAATATAACTGCAATTTTGGCCGCTTTTCCGTCGCAACAAATCGCGGCTGTTATCGACTCTTACGCGGCTACTCTTCAGAAACGCGCCGATCGCGACGTGTTTTTCCTCAACACTCAGGGAATCGTTCAATTGGTTCAGAGATATCGAAACGGAATTCGCGGACGAATGAGATCTTGTGTTCAGGAATTGCTTCGGAATTACATTGAAGTCGAGCATCACTTCCAATTAGGACATTACGACAAATGTGTTTCGCAATTGAGAGAGAAGTATAAAGACGAAGGAATGGCAACTGTTGTCCAGAAAATCTTCTCTCATTTGTCGGTAAATAAGAAGAATCTATTGATAATCAAATTAATAGATCATTTATGTGGACACGAACCCGGAATTACTGACGAATTGTCGTCAATTCTCAACGCATTGACTGTTCTGAACAAAGCCGAAAATGCAAAAGTGGCTCTTCGGGCGCGTCAAGTGCTCATTTCCGCCCATCAGCCGCCTTTCGCTTTAAGACACAATCAAATGGAATCCATTTTCTTGTCTGCAATCGATATCTATTCTCACGAATTCGAACCCAATGTCTTAAACAAACTGATTCTCAGCGAAACCTCGATTTTCGATGTTCTTCATCAGTTCTTTTATCACATGAATGTCGTCGTCCGTCGTGCAGCTCTCGAAGTATACGTCCGTCGCGCTTACATTTCCTATGAAATGGTTTCTCTTCAACATCTTGTAATCGGAGGATCGGAACGACATTCCATCGAATCTTTGTACTCCAAGTCTTCGCCACCTGTTGCTCGAGACTCTTCTATTCCGTGCGCCGTTTACCACTTTATTCTTCCGTCTTCGCATCCGTCGATTGTGGCCAACACTGCGGCCAATAACACGACAACAAACAGTCCGTCGATTGCCGTGACCTCCGAGTGTTCGGAAGAGAACCAAATGGTTTCGTTTTCCAACTATAGAGTTGGATTAATCGCTGCTTTCAATACAATGGAAAACATGGAAGTTAGTCTAATATGACAACCAATCAAACAATTCCTTATCTTTTTCTCATTTCAGACGCATTTCGAAGAATTGATTGAAATCTTGCGTCAATCGGAGGAAGAGATCAATGTTGACAATCAATGGCAACAATCATTGGCCGGAGATGTCTCTGTTTCTCCTCCCAACAGACAAAGAAGTGGATCTCTTTTGGTGGCCCGCGAAAGAGCGCAATCCCTGTCTATTCAGGCACTTATTGAAGACGTGGAACCGATTTATATCATAAATATATGCATAAAAAGCGATGGAAGTGAAGACTCTGTTCTGACTAAACGTTTCCAACAGTTTTGTCATTCGCGAAGAGCAGATCTCGAGAAGCAGTCTATACGTAGAGTGACTTTTATTGTTTGCGATAAATATCGGTTTCCGCGGTATTTCACGTATCGTTATCGCAACGGATATATCGAAGACACTATTTATCGACATCTGGAACCGGCTCTTGCCTTTCAATTGGAAATCAATCGCTTGAGAAACTATGACTTGGAAGCCATTCCGACCGCTTCTCAGAAAATGCATTTATATCTGGGAAAAGCAAAAGTCATGGCTCCGGGACAACAAGTGTCTGATTTTCGATTCTTTGTTCGAACCATTATTCGTCACTCTGACCTCATCACTAAAGAGGCTTCTTATGAGTTCCTCCAAAACGAAGGTTTATTGACTTGTGTTTTGTTGTTTCTATTCTAAGACTTTGTTGTTTAGGCGAACGTTTGCTTTTGGAGGCAATGGACGAATTGGAAGTCGCTTTCACTCACTCTTTGGCGCCAAAGACTGATTGTAATCACATTTTTCTGAATTTTGTTCCTAAAGTGACGATGGATCCGACGAAGGTACCATATGTACGTTGTGTGCAATTGTAGTAAAACGTCTTTCAATTTCTGTTTCGGTGTCGGTTCGCATGCTTTTCGGTTCAATATTTTTTGTTGACTTTTTTCTATTTGAACGATAGATAGCGGAAAATGTCAGAAATATGGTTATGCGTTACGGACCAAGACTTTGGAAACTTCGGGTTTTGCAGGCAGAGATCCGAATGATTATTCGGTCGACGCCTACTTCCAAGTGCACGCCTTTCCGTCTTCTGTTGGCCAACGAGTCGGGCTATTATCTGGATATGCATCTCTACAAGGAAGTGCTTGATCCCGTGTCCGGCGCCATGAAGTTCGAGGCGTGGGCTGGCACGGGTAAACCCGGTCCTCTTCACGACTTGACAATTTCGACGCCTTATATGACAAAAGACTATTTGCAATTGAAGCGGTTCCAGGCGCAGAGCAACGGAACAACTTACATTTACGACTTTCCCGACATGTTTCAGGCGGCTCTGGTCAAACTGTGGGAAGACTATCTCGAATGCAGACCCGAACTAGAAATGCCGGCTCAAGTGATGCAATGTATGGAACTGGTCATTGACCCGACAAATCCGACCCGAATGATTGAAATGAAACGCGTCCACGGAGAAAACGATTGCGGAATGTGCGCCTGGAGAATGACACTCTTTACTCCCGAATATCCCGACGGACGCGATATTATTGTCATCGGAAACGACATCACGCATCTGTTGGGCGTTTTTGGTCCCAAAGAAGATCTGGTCTTCCAAAAGGCATCTGAAAGAGCTCGAGCTATGGGTGTTCCGCGAATCTATTTGTCGGCCAATTCGGGTGCGCGAATCGGTTTGGCCGAAGAGGTCAAAGGTCACTTTCAAGTCGCGTGGATCGACGAAACAAATCCCGACAAAGGCTTCAAATACTTATATTTAACTCCAGAACAATACAAACGCGTCGCCGATTCGGTAAAAGTCGAGCTTATTGTTGAAGACGAGGAAACGCGATACAGAATCACAGATATCATTGGTCAGGGAGAAGGACTGGGAGTTGAGAACCTCAAGTTTGCCGGAATGATCGCCGGAGAGTCGTCGCAGGCTTACAACGAGATTGTGACCATAACAATGGTCACGTGTCGTGCTATTGGAATCGGTTCTTATTTGGCGCGTCTTTCGCAACGAGTCATTCAAGTGGACAATTCGCATATTATTCTGACGGGTGCCGGTGCTCTCAACAAACTGCTCGGACGTGAAGTCTACACATCCAACAATCAATTGGGTTTGTCTTGTCTTTCATTGTCTTCAGTATAACATTGAAAACCATTTTTAGGCGGAATTCAAATCATGTTCGCCAACGGAGTGTCACACACCACTTCCCAAGACGATCTCGATGGCGTCACTACTATTCTTCGATGGCTGTCATACGTTCCCTCTCAACGATTCGCTCCTTTGCCGTGTATCGAGTCTTTGGATCCAATTGACCGCGAAGTTGTTTTTACGCCCACTTCTTCGCCATACGACCCGCGATGGATGTTGGCCGGAAGAGAGAATGCACAGGGAGTCTGGGAGGACGGGTTCTTTGACCGCGGATCGTGGCAGGAGATATTGAGTGGTTGGGCTCTGACAGTTGTGACGGGAAGAGCGCGTTTGGGCGGAATTCCGGTCGGAGTGATTGCCGTCGAGACAAGAACCATCGAATTGATAATTCCAGCTGATCCGGCCAATCTCGACTCAGAGGCCAAAGTGATGTCTCAGGCGGGACAGGTTTGGTTTCCCGATTCGGCTTATAAGACGGCTCAAGCGATTAAGGATTTTTCACGCGAAGATCTTCCGCTAATTATTTTCGCCAATTGGAGAGGATTTTCCGGCGGAATGAAAGACATGTACGATCAGGTCTTGAAATTCGGCGCTTATATTGTCGACGCTTTGCATGAATACAAACAACCGATTGTCGTTTACATTCCGCCGTTTGCCGAACTGCGAGGCGGCGCGTGGGCTGTTGTCGGTCTGTTTGTCTCATTTGGCTCTCAATTGGCTCTTTGTTTCTCAAGTCTTTTCATCTCATTTTCAGACACAACAATCAATCCTCGACATATGAATATGTTTGCCGATCCGGATGGACGTGGAGGAGTTCTGGAGCCCGAAGGAACGGTCGAAATTCGATTCCGACAAAAGGATTTGATTAAAACAATGCACAGATGTGACAATGGATGCAAAGATCTCTTAAGTAAACAAAAAGACAAACAATTAATCCGAGTTTTAATTATTGAGTCTTCAGTTAAGATCAATGAAAGCAATTCCGCGGACGAAAAGAAGCGACTGGAGGGACAACTGCAGGAAAGAGAGACGTCTTTGTTGGGAATGTACCATCAGGTGGCCCTCACCTTCGCCGATCTTCACGACACTCCGGCGCGAATGTATGAAAAGGGTTGTATCTGTGACGTCGTTCAGTGGACTAAATCACGACAATATTTCTATTGGCATTTGCGTCGCGCGCTTTACGAAGACAGAGTCATCGATGAGATTCAAGCAGTTGTTCAGAATAAGAATGAATTGGAGGTCAAGTCTATGATCCGTCGGTGGTTTAGTGAACACGTCGGACAACACAATGTAAGTCTTTTAGTCGATTAGGCGTTCAGTAATTGACAATTTTCTATTGACAGCAACATCTCTGGGATGACGACAATCGCTCAGTCGCTGAATGGTTGGCTTCTCAGTTGGAAAGCAATTCCTCAACAGTTTTAGAAAACATTCGATGCATTCAAAGAGATGCTCTGACGCGACAAATCGTCGGCTTTTATAACGACTATCCTTCCGCTACTTTAGACTCTTTAGTCCATTTGATTCAGTCGGGAATGAATCAACAACAAAGAGATGACCTCTTGGCCACTCTTGTGTCACTCGAATCTCAAACACCAAAAACAGACGCCACGGATAGCGCGGACAAGAGTTCCTGCGATGAACTGTCCGTTAAAGAGGAAAGTATTTAGAAATAAATGAATGCTTTATATACTTAGCAATCGTTATATATTTTTATATTTTGTTGAATTTTCTAATTTTAATAATACATTCCAAATCATATCAATAAATGTATTTTTTATTTATTTTTGATACACTTTCTGAACAAATTTCTTAATAAAATTACGCAAATCTCAAACTAATGTCTATTAATTCATCAAAAATACAATTAATTTTTCCAATAAAACACAATTTTGCTTATATTATAATTTTTATTGTAATCAAAATTAAATCCATTTATAATATTAATTAACACTAAAGTGTTTGTTTGACTTCAATAATGGACTCGATTTGCATTTGTCTGACATTTATTTCAAACTTTTCTCAAAATTACAAAAACCAATAAAATGTTTGAAAATATTCATGTTTTTCGTGTAAATTAAAAATCCATTTATTTGATAATATTCTCGTTTGTACTTAACTTTTAGTACACTTTTAGTACATTACTTACACTTATAATACGTATGTTTTGTAAACCAGTTTTGAATCATTGTTTTCAAACTTTTAATAATAAATTAATAAAACTTAAGAAATAATATAATTTATTACATAATTAAGAGAAATAATTTAAATTTATATAAATTAACAACAAATAGTATAAAAATTTACTATAAATACAATTTATTTATTTTCTTTAATTAACCAAAACTTAATGTTTAAATAAAACGGGATTTAAATATTCTTTGTCTGTGTTCTGCGTTAAAAACAAATCCAATTTGTGTTTCAATTCTTCGACACTTTTCAGCAAACCGTTGTCTATCAACTGCCATCTGTTCCCATCCACCACTACGAGCCTGTCTGGAGGCATAATCCCAAACACATAGCACTCGTATTAAAGGCTTATTTGGAGAGAAATTGACTTTTGTTTGTTTGCGTTCTTCTGCCAATTCTTTGCCATAACTTTGATTCCACTTTTGATTAGCCAAACAAACCGATTCATGAATAGCTAAAAGTTCTGATTTTTCGTCCGCAAAATACGAAGTTTCAGACGGTTTTGGATAACAATGTGTTTCGTCTAAAATGAAAAAATCGTTAATTGAATGAATTGAAAGAAATAATAATACCGTTAGAAGTCGTGGTTTGTTTGCCAATAAAGTAATCGACTAAAAGATGTTCGCACATCACTTTCAAATCAAGACATAGACTCATCTGATTTGAGTCGACGTCTATTTCATCACTACTTTCCGTCTCGTAGTCGGACTCTGTGTCCAAAAGAAACGAAATGAACTCATTTTTCCCAATAAAGCACTTTTTAGGCGAAGAGTCTGTCGAATCGGTTGTCTTTACACTCTTTTTCTTTCTTCTTCTTCTTTTTCGTTTAATTCGTTTTTGTCTATCGTTTTGCATTGAATCCAAAACACGCGAATCGTTGATTGATTGCATTCGGGCCGTCCGATCGCCCGAAGAATCGGAATCAATGGACATATCGTCGGCCATTGTATCTACGCTTTTATGTTCTTCAAAAGTGTTGTCTGACATAACTTCACAATCACTACAAACATCAGACGATAGAATAGAGTCAGTCATTGGAAAAGCTGTTTTCACAGCCATTCTTCGGATCACTTGTTGAGAGACGAGTTCGTCGAGTGAAGAATCGGCTCTAACTCTCAAACAATTTCTTGGACACGAATTACACAAATTCGTGTTAAAAGACACAAACTTTGAGCTCAAATGAGACAAAAGCTTTGTACACAAGTTATTCTTCGGTGGCGGATATGACCACGAAATTGAAGAATCTGAATATCTTCTCGGAGACCAAAACATCGACGAATGCGATGAAGACATCTCTTGGTTTGGAATTAAATAAGTCTTTTGTGAACCAAGAGCTGAGACCAGAAATTGAGACATTTTTTTGTTTAGTTGAGCGCCGACTTAGAGGACACTAAACCTTTCAATTGGTAACCATTTTGCCGATAATTTAAGTCTAAACCAATAGTTTCACTGTTCATAACATAAAACAATTTGTTAACTGTTTTCAAACAAAACATGTCTTTTAGATAACAATTCAGACAATAGTAATGACAACTAATTAGTGATTCTTCACACACTTTAATAGCACTGATGATCACTGAATCAAACAAACAATTGGTGACTGAATTATAAGACATTTCACAAGAAATCAGTTGAAATCAAATCACTGGACATTGTATTGAATGTATTGAATGATTGATTGGTATTTAAATCATTGAATAATAAGTTAAATAAATGAATGAATGAATCAATTATTGGTTTGTATTCGACATCAAAACAAAGTGATGAACGAAATGATGAAATGTTTGCAAATCTTTTCACAACAAAAATGGCGCAAAACATATACCGTTAACATCTCTATCACTAAATGCCAGTCATCGACACAAACACTTAGCACTTGACCGACGGTTACTACCGATGGCCACATATTCACCACCTCTTCATCAATGACCTCACAATTTACGACATCACCAGCTGATCCGTTAATCCATCAACCAATCACTTGGTGGTCAATGTAAACGTATTAATACATGCTATAATAAGTGATGTGCAAAAAGGGCGTAAACTAAATGTTGATTATAGTGTGAGTTACGACTGAAATTAGTATGCATTGCATTCAATGATTAAAGTTTTTTATTTAAAGGGAATGAACTTAATATGAGATACAATACATTGAAATTGAAATCAATAGTTAATTAATTGATTATTACATTTTGATGGCAAACCAACTGATCATAACTTACCTCAAAAAGTATTAACAAAAATATATAAATATATCTATAAAAGTCTTGACATTAATGCAAATCCGGTCACAAATTAATTCATTTCAAAGAGTCTTTCATTTGGTTTGTCTATGAAATGAACAAAACATTAATTCTGTCATTCATTTTAAAAGCATTAATCGATTCACGGATTCAATTATTTTTCAATACAAAGTTATGACAATAACTTATACCAAATATACAAAGCTCTTAATGGTTACGACTCTTGTGGTAAAGGAGTGGGCACTAGATTGTCATTTTCCTAAATAGTTAATTAATAATTTAATTTAGTTGACACTCGAGTACATCAATTGATAACATACTTGTTTAGTGAACTCTTTTGGTGAAAATTGGGATTCGCTTTCTTTTAGAACTTTGGTCACAGATTCGGTAACTTCGTTCTCGTCAAGAGATCTTTTCGAGTTATTCAATGAATTCTGTAATATATTTATAATTAATAATTGATTTCTAAAAAATCTTTTGTTATGACTTACATCAAGTGATTTACTGCCATTAGTTGCCATCAATTCTTCGGCATCAGTTTGTGGTATCTCTTTTGCAGTATTAGTGGCATTGGTCGTCGAGTTAGGCGTTTTGGTGACGGCATTGTTAGGACTCGCGGGCGTCTAAAAAGTAATTAACGGTTAATAATAATTTGGAAAATATTTCTACTCTTATTGTAATACTTTGTCTTTTTGCGGCGTTTTTGGGCCTTTAGTTGTTTTGAAATCATTTGGTGATAAATATTTTCCCAATTCTTTTCTCTTGACGTGTTTCGTATCGATAGTCATCTCTGGTTTATAAAATTTGCTGTATTTCGCTGTATTTGTCACTAAAAACAACACAAAAAAAGATTCGCTTCAAAGTAAACAAAATTAGTTAGAATTAGAGTTATACCGGTTTCAGCAAATGTTTTGATGTCTTGAGTTAGGTCAACATTAATGCCTTCTGCTTTGTTAAATTCAAGACCAATGAACCACATCGTTTGGTCTATCATTTTGTTTTCGGTTTTAGTTTCGCCATCACTTTCTTCGGGTGTAATATCAACGGCCACTTCAGCTGTTCGAGTGAAACGTTTGGGATTAACGTGAGCTAAACTAATGCATTTGTGTTTCTCCAGATTCTGCACTAATAGCCGAATCTTGGACTCGACGAGACCAACCCATTCGGCATTAGAAAAGGCCAATAGAACAATGAAGTGTCGATATTTGGAGAAGAACTGAACCGATTCAAAGAGGGCAGTCCATGGAGTTTGTCCGCTCATAATTTGGTCGATCACTTCGGATGCTTGAATGAATTCTTGAGTCATAATTGCTTTCGTGCTTAAAGTGACATTAAATGTTGAGTTTTGTTGTGGATATGAAGGAGTAATAATCGGCATCAGATGATAGCGATCGGCAGGATTTATGCGCGGATCCCAAACAGGAAAACCCAGTCGCGCGTCATCTTCACTATTATGTCTTAGAAGAACAGGCTTAGGCCACGGCCACTGTCGGAATACCATAAAAAACTTCTGAAGTAGAGTAGCGGCAGCTGCTCGTGGATACAATTGACACGTGCGGGCGACAAGCATTGCCCACGAAACACCTCCTGTCAAGTGATAACCAAATAAATAAGAAAATACAAAAATACCCAAAAATTTATACCCAAATATCCCAAAGCATTGGAATAAATGCCGCGACGTTTAGCCCACAGTTTGACGGCTCTGAGGGCTAAACGAAAAGATTCGTGATTCGGCACCAAAAGCAATATATCGTCCGTAACTCGCGAACCGTTTAGCGAACGAACGCTCTTTTCATCCAAATTCTTAAGTAATATTCCTTCGCGTAAATCCTGATCCGGCGGTATATTCTTGAGGGCCAATCGGGCGAACAGAATGTCTAATTCGATTCCTTCAATCTTGGTTTTTATGAGCGGAACAAACGCCTCCTCAACCGGCAACACGTATTCGCAGTTTGGAATTTCGGTAATTATTTCGGGAAACGTGGCGAAGAAGTCCATTCTCTCGATATGACGCGGAGCCACCAGAAGAGTGTCGATATCGGCGCCCTTTGTGTGAACGCCCAATCGATAAGAACCGAAAGTAAAGATCTTTCCCGACATTTGGTCGGCATTTTGTTTGGGCATCTTCTTCGTGGAGATATCTTTGATCCAGGACTGGACGGTCTCATTGACTTTGGACAAGACATTCATCCTGTGCTGCATTTCGGCTTCACTTTCGAACAAACCGTAAGAACGAAGACATGTTTCGAGTTCACAACTGGCCTTCAGATCGCTGTCCTGCGGTTCAGCCATCGAAATGGCAGCCGTGACGCCAAAGGTTCGTCCGTCCGTCACTTTGGCCATCGGGACGACTACGAGAAGTGGCCTTTAGATCGACACAAAGCATAACACCGAACACAACAACGTTTCGGACATTTCGCTCAACAAACACAACAATGAAGTCATACATCAATTACGTCCCACACATGCATTGGTTCGGTTGGGGTTAGGGTTAGGGTTGGGTTGGGTTGGGTTGGGTTGGGTTGGGTTGGGTTGGGTTGGGTTGGGTTAGCCTACATTTGATTTGACTTAAATTGAGTTTATTTTAATACAAAACAATAAAATCTAATTAACTGACGAAATAATCAATATTTTTAAAAATACAATCTTAAGTTAAATTGTATAACAATTTATTAAAATGTTATTAATTATTAGTTAAGTGTATATTTACGGATCATATTTAAGTTTAATTGTTATTTAGTTAAAGCCATTAATTACAGTATAACTATAAGATTTAATTCAATGCATTAAAAACATTATACCATTAAATGATCGGACAATTTATAACAATATAATGTTATAGTGTTTTTCATTATAACCTAAATATAATATAAAATTGTATTTACTGTCAGAATATCTAATATTAGAGAATATTTTTCTAATTTAAAAGTTTTTATTTGAAAAAATAATAAGTAATTTAAAGTATTAAATGTATCATTGAATGACATGGCATTAATTTATATTATATTACCAGTACTTATAATAATGTAATTAAAATAAATTACAATAAACTGTTTTAACATTATTTTAAAGCGTGTCTTTCAGTTTCTTACTTTACAAGTTGTTTAATAATTTATTTATGCAATTATATAAACTTATCTATTAATTATATAAAATATATCTTAAATATTTTCAAGATTTATTATTTATAGTAAAAGTATATTACAATAATATTTATTTATAATATGGTATATCTACTGTATTATTATATTTACTGTTTTCTAATAAACAATCAATAGATTAGAAGTAATTTTTAAATTTCATTATAAGAGTTACTAAAATTAGACACAAAAAATTATCAATTTTTTTAATTCAACTTAAAAAGCAGATAAGTTTTGAAAACAATTATAAACTAGATCTCAATTAATTATTTAAAGTTAAATAACAGTTTTAGTAAAATAACTTTTAATTTATTATTTCTAATAAAAGCAAATGTAATCTATAAACAGATACTTTTTTGATAAATGTTTTATTATATAATCAATAAATATTTCAAACATTTTTATTTATTTAATAATTAAAACATATAAAATTGAAATGTTATGAAACTATTTAAAAATTTGTATACAATTAACATTTTTCGTACATTTTTAAATATTTTAATGCTTTTCGCGTATTTAGAAAAAACAATATTTAACAACTTTATAGTACTTTGTACTTTCTATAGCCGTCAACTTATCTTATTTATAAATTATAATAATTTTTATCATAATTATATTATACCAGAAAATAACAAATTATTGATAATTATTTTAATTTTTCTCTTATCAAATGAGTATAAAATTATTTTTGTTAAACTTTTAATTTGTGTTTATTATATAAGAAGTAAAAGAATAAATTAAATATATATATATATATCACTATATTTATTATACTTTATGTTTTACATTTGAAATAAATTACAGAAAGTTTTGCTCACATTTTAAATGGAAAATTGTTTTAATCATTAAAATAGTGATAATATGTCCGATAGACTATCATATCAACGTTGGTCACCACATAAGTGTTGATTTATGAGATACCAGTGCTGTAAATAATATTGGTTTTAGTATGGGTTAAGTGGATATATGATATACTGTACTGTAGTGTCTAATTTTGATTTCATTTATTAATTATTAAATGTCTAAAATATTAAACATATTTTTGCCAATCATATGAAATTCATAAATGATAATATAAATTTAGATAACCCCAAAATTATTTATAATAAAATAATTAAAAAAATCTATATTTTAAAAATGTCAAATTAAAAATGTAGATCTCATAAATGAGCAAGCAAAAAAAATCAAACATTTATTTCTAACACATATTCAAACAAACTTAAAATTTTGGTATATATTAGTCTATCTATCTGTCTGTCTGTCAAATGACTGCCAAAGTATTAAAAATTTTGATTTTGAATTAATATAAAGCATTAAAATTTAGAATAAAATTGTAATATTGAATAATATTGTCTAATCCTATCGTAAACATAGTTAAAATGATTGACAAAATTATTTATAAACATTTTGATTGGACTTAGTTTAGTACTGTATATATGGAGTTTAAAACAAATATAACTCATAATTTATAACCTATCGTATAGTCCCTGACCAGTAATAAATGAGATATAATAGTCTCCAACCAAATGTTTATTTTTATATTTAACAATCCGTTAATCAAATCATTCAATGATTGTTTTGATTATAATATTAATAATGGTTTTCAGTAATAACTATTTTAGTAATAATATACGGAGTAAACGATATTTATATTAAATATTTTGAATGTTATAAATAGAAACAATAAAATTTTAGTAATTAATATATTTTTAGTATTTTATTATTTATAAGAAGTAATTGATTTCATTAAAGTTTGTTCTGGCAATGCTATCTAGCATTATCAACTGGTTAAATATATATTGTATCATTTATTGATAGTTAAAATTTAATACCAACTAATATTATTAATTATTTTTGTCTAATAATTATCATTTTCATTAAAACATTTTTGAATACATAAAATTTCAATCTATACTTAGTTTTAGTAAAATATTATTATTTTAACTCAATTATTGACAATTATCGATGTTTTGCAATATTTAAAGCAATTTACATGAGATTATTGTAAAGTAACGCATATATAACGCCAGTCATTGATAACTATATTTACATTTAAGTACATTAAATGAATTACAACTTTAATTAAAATTATTAAATGTTTTTATCTATTAAGCATTTTTCATTTACCGGCAAAATATTTAGTACATTATTAACGTAAAGTACTATTTGTACTTAAAATTTTGTACCAATTTTTTCAATTAAATAATATCAAAAATAAATATTTGTTAAAAAATAATTTATTGATATTTCAACAAAATATACAAACACTTTAAACTCATATTTGATGGTAGTTTTCGGTGAATGAAAACCGATTTAAAAATAAATTTAAAAAAACTGAAACTAAGATAACAAAAACCCATAGATTAAGAATGTATTATAAAGTTATTCAAAAATATTTGTGATATTTTATGGACTATAGTATAACAATTGATTCGGTGGTCCCGCGCGCACACATGTCATGCACACCGGGCGGTCACTGTTGGCCACTCTTGGTCTCATCTGTGGGTTCATCGGCGGGTTCGCCCTCGTCATCGTCGCCGATGTGATCACTCTTTTCGCTGGAATCGCGAACCAATCGGCCGACATAGTCGTAGCGTTCGGAGAACTGTTCCATCCATTCATTGACTGATGACATTTGATAAGGTGTCAGATCCGACACGTCGTCCCATTCGCTTTTGATGGCCTCAACATCAAAGAGTGCCAGAGAACGGGTCGCGTCGTGACCGGCAAGTGGTGCGTATGGACCGTTCGGACCGTAGAAACGGTGTCCTTTGATAACAACATATGATTAGAGTGAAGGCTATCGTTAAGTGATAAGAGTTTTGTCCAAACCTTTGGTGCAGTCGTAGACTTTGCCGAGAATTCCGATACAAATCCTTTTGTCGGCTCCTTTGCCGTCGTATTTACTCAACTCTTCTAATGTCATGTCGTGTTTGGGCAACGGTTCCGGCAATTTGAACACTTCTTCCTCCGATTCGGCTAAACATACATATATTAAGTACAATATCTGCTAAATAGTATGACTTACGTCTGGTTTGTCGAGTGCGGCCTTTGATGAGTCGGTACACAAGATATGCGATGACAACAGTGAGGATAACATTGACCGGAGACCCGAACATTACCGACAAAAGTGTGTATAAACTCGTATCGTCCGCATTGATCACTGAATCACTTTTGATGTCCGCTTTTGACGACATTTCATGTGATTTCTATCGATTAAAAACTAATGTTTTGATCACAAATATAATGATTTGAATTATAAAAAAACAAAATTATGAGAGAAAACAGTTATGCGATTGAAATGTGTTTTATTTCCTCATAAATGAAACGATTATTTAGTTAAACAGTGACTAAAAATTGCAATGAATTCACAGTTTTGTTATGAATTTGCAATTATTTTGCATTTATTACTCGATTTCAGGGATTTTTCAATCGATTCAATGCATTCAACGCTATATTCAATAAACAAATCTCTATTTAAAACAATACAACAAAACTGGTTGTACTGTATATGTGGCGACATCTCTGCAAACATTGCTTTTAAGTTATCGTGTAATCAGTTTTAATAAATTTATAATTAAATAATAAATACAATTGTAGTTCATTTCCATTTTATTATGTGATTAAAAAATAATATACAAATAATATATTATTATTTTATCAGAATTACAAATAAAATAAACAATTATTTAATTTTACTTTTTGTTTCTCTTTCACACTTTCTCACTCACTTTCTCACTCACTTTCTCACTCACTTTCTCACTCACTTTCTCACTCACTTTCTCACTCACTTTCTCACCCGCTTATTTTGTCTCACACATACTTTCTCTTTCACCCACTCATCCACTCACCCACTCACCCACTCACCCACTCAATCATTATAATTATAATTTATTAATTTAATTTGTATTTTATTTTCATTAAACAATGTTTTCACGCGCAACGATGTTTGTAATATAGAATAAATAAATAGATATTTTTATTAAATTAATTAATTAATAATAATTGTAATAATCGCGAGACCCGTTGAAAATGGTTGAACTTTATTGAAATACATTTATTACATCTCTCGCTATTATTAATTATTTAAAAATATATATAAATTAATTAAATTAATTAATAAATTCATGAGATATTAATATATTGTTTGGCCAAAACACAAAACTATTTTAATATATGCAGTGATTATCAGTTTTATCAATAATAACATTAATCTTATTTATATTATATAATAATTTTTAGTAACATTTTTATTTCAAACTATCTTTTTAAAAACTCTTGCATTTTTTATTATTATTATTTGACTTTTACTTTACTTTATTTTAGAGATTATTTATTTTATTAATTATAAATTAAAAGACATTTTTAAGATGATAAATATTTTTTTGTGAACTAAAGTGGTATAAAAATTATTAAAAAAATTGTAATATAAATTACTACTAGTTTCCAATTATACAATAATATTTAATGTTATAATTTATAAATCAAATATCAAATAATAAAAAAGATAATAAGAAATATGATATCTTAAAAAAACTTTTGAACAATTTTGATTACTATTTATTTAATAATTATGCATTAATACAATACATAACAAATATCTTTATAAAATTATTTAAATTATTATTACTTGTTATCAAAACTAGAATTATGTAAGAATCTAAATTATATTAAAATTTAAAAATGACACTGATCATTGAATAAAAGAAAAATGTCCATTTATTTAATAATGATTTTATTAATTTTAATGATTAATTTTTACTTAAAATAACACAAATCATCTATTGTATTTTGTATAATGTGTTAATTAATCTAAAAATTTAAGATTAATTTAATTATTTGAAATATAATACTAATATTATATTATTGTTATTAAATTTATTGAATATTATTTATTAATATTAAAAATACAGAATAATAGGAAAAATATATTTGTGAATAACGCAAATTGTAATCACATTAATTGCACATTAGATTCAATAGAAGATCTGTTGTATTTTAAGTAAAAAAAATATTAATCTTAAAATCTTAAAAATATATTAACATTATTATTATATTAAGAATATTGTTTAAAAAGCAGTGTTTTTATATACTGTAAAAATGAAATTATAAATTAGTAAAAGTAATATTAAAATTCATAAATATCCTTCTTTTTTAATATGTATGTATAAATTAAATTAACTATTATGTGATTTACGTAGAGAAAGACTTGAAATTTTTAAAAAATAAATCTTAATTAAAATTTTACTTTATTAAATTATATCTCAAAGCAATTGTAATAATTCTAATTATATTATTTTTACTAAATTATTAATAATAACATTTAATAATTTACAATTAATTATTATATAAATGTATGTAAATTATAATATTATAAAAAATAATCCTATAGACTAAAGTTTTTTGTCAATTCTAAATTTATTTCAATTAATTTATAATATATTTTTAAATTTAAATGACAAATAATAGAATTAAAATACTTAAACAAATGGGATTATAAACTTAATTATAATAATTATATAATATATATATAAAAGTTATATATATAAGTGAATAGAATATAAGATAATTTTTGTTTATTACTAATAATAAAATATTATAATAAATTTATTAAAGAAATAAACTTATATAAAATTATTTTATTATTTTTATATTAACTTATATTAATTTATTTCTTTAATAAATTTATTATAATATTTTATTATTAGTAATAAACAAAAATTATCTTATATTCTATACATTTAAGACATTTGTTTTGTCTGTTTGTTTGTCTGTCTGTCTGTCTGTATGCGTGCACATTTCATCAACAACCATATTTTAATTCAAATGTAAAAATGTATTGTTTTATTTTCATTTTTTATTGAAAGCAATGTTATTTCTATGGGAAATTTTAAATGATTATTGAGGTCAAGTAGATTTTGAGGACAAAGAGGCAGGTATTGTGGAATTACATTTTACTATATTATATGAGTCATAGGGCACCGGGAGGTTAGCTACCTGTGCTAAATTTTTGTAAAATTTTCTCAAATGCAAAAATTTTCAATTTGTATTAAAATTTTCAATTTTTTCAAAAATTATATATTTTTTAAATTGTATTAATTTAATTATTGCACGAGAAAAATAATTTGTTTATTTATTATTTATCATTAAATACATAACAATTTTAATAAATCGCGTGATTTAATAAATATTTAATAATCGCGTAATTTAATAAATATTTAATAAACGCGTGAAATATAAATTTAAATATCACTTTGTTTTCATTTTGACTACAAATTTGTTTTCATTTGCTATTTTCATCAATATTGCTATCATTTGCCTTACCTTCGAGGAATCAATTGGACATTTGGATTTATTTTATAAGAGAAGTATACTTAAACTATTTAATTTTGATAAATTTTTCCTATTATAACATAACAGATAAAGATATAAGGATTTTTTTGAATAACGTTTAAACAAGTGTTTACATAATGGAACCAAATCTGGATCAGTTGGAAGCGTCATTGACTGACATTTCACTTACAAACATCAGCCAATTTCCTATGGAATACAATGTGACACCGAGTAAATTAAGAAGATTAATCGAAACAACAGAAGAAAGAGAGAAAAGACTTGAAGCCAATAGACAACGCGACACAAATAGAAGGTTGAATGAATCTCAAATGGAAAGAGAACGGCGACTAAAATCGAATCGTTTACGAAATATTGACTGTCGATTAAATGAGACACAAGAAGAAAGAAATTTGAGACTTGAAACCGATACTCTACGCGTAACACAAAGACGAATGAATGAGACACAAGAAGAAAGAAATTTGAGACTTGAAACCGATACTCTACGCGTAACACAAAGACGAATGAATGAGACACAAGAAGAAAGAAATTTGAGACTTGAAACCGATACTCTACGCGTAACACAAAGACGAATGAATGAGACACAAGAAGAAAGAAATTTGAGACTTGAATCCGAGAATTTACGTGTAACACATAGACGAATGAATGAGACAGGAAGAAAGAAGTATAAAACTTGAATCCGAGAATTTACGCGTAACACAAAGCCGAATGAATGAGACACAAGAAGAACCGTCAAGTCTTTAACCGTTTCGAGACTTGAATTGGTGTTAACATCTTTTGAATTTATTATAAACGTATTGATCAAATGTTGTATTTGGATATCTGACATCAATTTATCAAACTCTTCCTCATCCTCGAAACCATTTTCCCATTCATTGGTAACATCGTCGACCAACTGATCTCTTTGGCACTTATCATTGATTAACTCTATCTCTGGGATCTCATTCTCTGGGATCTTAATCTCTGGAATATAAATCTCGAAGATCTCAATCTCTGGGATCTCAATCTCTGGGATCTCAATCTCTGGGATCTCAATCTCTGGGATCTCAATCTCTGGGATCTCAACAAATTGTTGATCTTCTTTAATGCCATCATTAAAATTAACGGAAATCAAATTAAGTTGTAGTGAACTGGCTTTAGTCGTCTCGGGATTCGAATTGTTGTTAACATCTTTTGAATACATTATCGAAGAGTTGATCAGCTGTTTTATTGGCATTTGTAACATCAAATGATCGAACTCTTCTTCATCATCAAAACCGTTGTCACATTCATTGAGAACATCGAGAACAAACTGTTCATCTTTGCATTCATCAGACATTTCCATAAAAACAGGCATTTCTATCTCATTAAATAATTGATTCACTTCTATGTTGTCTTCATTGAATTCTTCATCATTGAAATCTACGGAATTCAATGATATCATATCAATGTCATCCATCTCTAAATTTATATTGTTATAGGTAGTCACTGCCATTTCAATGCTATACTGATTGGTGTTTTAAGGCTATAATTATTTCAATACAAAAGTGATTTTTGTTTGTGTTTAAATTTACTAAAGTGAATTTAACACAACGCTTAGTTTTATTTTTATTTAAATAATTATATTTGCAAACCAAGGTTTGCTTAATACTAAAATCTAGAATTCACTTTTAAAAATGCATTTAAGTGTTATACAGAAAAGTAAATAGTAAACACCTACTTTTAAGCAAAGTTTTATTTTATTTTTATTTAGTATTTCACTGTTAAAATAATGCATTGAAATGTTATACAGAACAGTGAGTAGTAAACTCCTACTTTTAAGCAAAGTTTTATTTTATTTTTACTCTGTATTTCACAGTTAAAATAATGTATTGAAATGTTATACAGAAAAATGAATAGTTTACGCCCAGGGATTAAAGCTGACTCAATACGACCTGATTATTTCTCACGTACACTTTAGTATAAATAGAGGTGTCTTTCAGACACCAAAATGGGTTCTCTTCTGAGATCAGTTCTCAGTTCTCTTCGGAGATCTCTTCGGAGTTCTCTGGGAGTACTACAATGTATAACTGTTTATAAGATGAAATAAAAGTATTTGCATATTACTTTGTGTGTATTACTTACTCGTCGCGGCTGGTGG